TTTGCAAAGATTACTTGATTTGTTATATACATATTTGCAGCATTGCTTCTTCCTTAATTTTTCTTAGTAATAGATTTTCGAGATGTTTTTTAATATAAAGATTTAGATACTTTCGTAGTTGTCAATTAACAGAATTATTATATAATATAATGAATACACGTGATGTATACTTATATTTTTGTATATTTGTGTTAAGCAACCTAGATAGATGAAAAATAAACAATGTGCAATTAAGCTAAATTGATCTGATCGAGTTGCAATAAAATAGGTATTAATCGATTATATAAAAGTATCGCTATATTTCCAGAACAAATATCGAAACACTGTTTAGAAAGGTTCAACGCTAAGAAGTTAAATATATCAACATTAGACTTTTGTCAAAGCTTGAATGACGAGATTAAATAGCAAAACGTTGTTTTAGACTAAACGGTCTAAGAATTCCATCAGCAAATAGACTATCAAAAGTCATCAAAGCCTCAATAGAAAAGTTTGCGAAATAATAATTATTGTTTTAAAAGAGAAGATGGAAGGCAATCGTTATACAAAGTATAAGTAAATAATAACATTATTATAAAACTATAATTAATAGTTTTATAACCTAATCCATTGATAAGTTATATGATTCTACTAAAGAACTTTGTTTTAGGAAACCTATCCTACTCAAAAGAAGTTAATAGACCTCAAATAGAAACCCGGTGATTCAAAATTTTTAATAGTAGTATTACACATTATTATTGGAAGTAAAATATATTAATGGTTCTATTATTTTAAAGGTATATTTTTTTTTGGGGAATAGATTCTATGCTCATAAAATATAATATTATGGCCTTGTGAATAATAAATAAGTACTGGATATTTGTAGTACAACAGTTCAAATTACAATGGATTATTATATCTCAATAAAATATGACTTTTGCTAAAAATTTTGAAAAATTTTTATCATTGAAGAAAAAAAAGAACAAAACCAATAAATAATAAACCTAAAAATTGCGGAAAGTCTACAATATTTGCCTCCGTCAAGTGTTACCTATTCAAACAATAAGGAATAATGTTGGTTGCAAAGGTAGCCGGTTACCTTTTGAAGTAGTCACCATTGATATTGACACTTGATTGTAAGGATTTTGCCACAATATCCTTTTAGAATCGGCGTGTCTGATGTTTTATTCATAGGATGTTTTGCGACAAATTAACTTTGAAATCAGCCGACCAAACACTCAATTGAAAAACGTGTCACAATGACGAATGCAAAGAATTTCCATTATTCTTCCTACCTGTTGTCACCGAAAAAATACACACAATTCTGCAATTATTAAGACAGAATGAAAACTACTGAAAAGCATGAGTTTTTAGTAATGAAAGACACAAAATTATTTATAGCAGTCAATTTAGCAGGTTACAATTTAATTTTAGTTGTGAATATAGCTGCAAATCTGACAATTATCCTACTTAGAGTTACACAATCATAATTCCAAGAAAATCATCAACCATCAAAAATACATGAAGAAATAATGAAATCATTTATGACAATATGAACAGTAATAGAGTATCTAACATAAGCGTATCTAAGCGGTTGTTAGAAAATACATCTAATGAATTTTATCAATAAAAATTATAAATTATTTTCTTAGAATTACATATCGTCTATAGGAATACTTTAGTTTAAAGAAAAACAGTACAGATAGTTGGAGTGACATGTTTGTATTTCGACTGTATCTAAACTAGTTCGTCATCAAATATATCATATAAACAAGCTCGATAATATTATATCATTGGGCGTACCAAGCGTGATGTAAACTTTCCATCTATATTGGCATTGTCGTAACTAACAACAACGATGTCAACCTAGAAATAAGAGTAAGAATTATTATTGCCGATCGGTATTACTATGGTTTCAGTAAGTTATTGGACTGTGAGATTGTTCGAAAGAAAAGCTCTTCATAAGATCTTTGGTCCACTACTATTCAACGAAAGCTACCGCATCTAAATAAACCACAACCTATACGAGCTTTATCATTACATCGTGATCGTTTAGTGAATAAACATACAGTTGTTGAGAACTACTTATTGGACGAGACTGGAATAGACACGCAGGCACCAAGGGCGGCTAAAAAGGAGTGATAAGTTAAACCGAAACTCCATAAAGGGTTGACCAAATAAGAAGAAAGTTGGATACAATAAGTGTACAATATAGCCTGTTGAAAGAAATCTCTTTGTAATGGGTGAATAATCGACATAGAAACGGATAAAGAGTGTAGGATTGGATATACACTAAAGCGAACATCATTACTAAGAGGAATCTATCATAATCAAGGAAATGGTCATTCCAAGGAGGAGGTGAAGGTGTTCTGTTTGATATAAACTGCAAAAGTAGAGCCTGATATAGGTGAGATAAAACCATAAATGCTGCATAGATTCAATTAGAATAAAAAGATTGCTAAAGCTTCAAGTACACATTAACAGTGAACAAAAAGGGACAATTTAAATATACGTAATTAAAACCGCAGCTCATATTAATAAATGGTTTTGTTTTGTCTTTATGTCTACTAAAGTTTTTATATATAATTACTACATTAACTGCTCAAAAATAAGATACGATTACTAATTTCGAACCTTTTGGTTGCATGAACGAATTAAAGTAAACAATCGACTCAGTAACAGCAATCGTATGACATTAAAGTTTTAAATCATATAATCTAAAAAGCCGATTTTTATCCCTTCTCAACCTCCTGTAAATAATCCAAGCGAAAATCGATTTAAAACGCTTAATTTAAAAGACGTCAGCTTGTCTACTTTGGTTGGCAGAGCCTGTTTGGCCACCAATATCAGGTATCCTTACGCCACATAAAAGCGAATTGACATGGTTTCCTATGAATAAATTTGTTGTGGTAGCATCAAATGTCTACAATACAAATATGACTTTATTGCCAACAATACCTTGTCGCATAGTGTGTTCGTCCTTAAACTAATTTTTTTTAGAAAGACATGCTGGTTTGCTTCCATGACATAAATGCTAGTGTCATTATTTATGTGCTGATTTCTTTAAAAAAAAAAAGGTGTCAAAAATGTGTCGGTCCACGATACGAAGGACGATACACATTTTCCTCTCCTATTGAATTGCTTGAGAGGTGCAATGAGTGTTTGTTTTCTTTCGTTTGTAGCACTTTTATAAAATATTAATACTTAGAAGAAAATCTTTCGATTTTTATATAACAATCCTTTTGAGATCTTACTCAATAAAAGACCTTTTGTGGACAAATTTCGATATCTTTGAATGCTATTGTTAAATGTTTAATGTTTGATATTGCCATTAATATTTTCATGCGGGAATCGTAAACGTGTATGTTCGTATTTGTTTGTGGTTCGTCATACAAATGGTTTTCGGAATTGCAGCAGATACAATTTTATTTTGTGCGGAATAATCTTGTTGATAGCTGCGTGATCGCCCTTTTTTGACTTTGGGTTTCTGAAAAATAGATTTTATTTTTTTTTTTTTTGTTATTTGCATTTAATTCAGCACAAACCAAAATGATGTCGTAATGCGTTTAGGCATTCGGATTTATCATCCCTCCTCTTCAAATGTTGAAAACTGCATTGTTTACTTCTGGAGTGCCGCATTACTAAATGGCTTTGAAAGTGTGAAAGGTGAGGACAAGGGGTGTATTTCATTTTTATTTTGGTTAACAATTACAATTGCGGCTTAAGTTTGCAATAATAATACAAATTACATAAAATATTAAAAGAAACTATGAATATTTAAATGCGAACTAACTTTTAAGTTGAAATTGATATATCTTTTCGAATGGAACACTTCAAAACGGTTTGTTTAAATGCTTTGAAGCAGGGTTGTCCAAACCAGATGCGATTGCTGGCCAACAAAAATCACTGTAACAGATTTTAGCCGCAGATTTATATAAGTTTATAGTTGTTTTCGAAAAAAATAGAAATAAGGTTATAATGTTAAATTTAGTTTTATTAATTTATCAATTCAAATGCATTTATTTGGTATACCATACAAATAAAATAATGTGGTTTTACCTGTTCACCAAAAAAAATTTGCGTAATTGTAGTAGATTAAAAACATGTCGCCGGCTGTACAAACATTAGACGCGGCCGTGTTTTGGACAGCTCTGCTTTAAAAAATAGATAAATGCCAACCAGCAGCTTATCTCTTAAAATAGTAGTTTAAAAACTTAAAAAGTTCTATTATTAACATCTATATTTTGAATTTTAAAATATTGAATGTTGTCGAATTCGAATTGATTTTTTTTTCCTACTCTGATCTATAACTTCAACAGACTCCGTTCAAAGGTGTCCCTACAAATAACTTTTATTGTACTTATAAATTGAGAGTTTCATTAAACTTATTAATTTATGAAATTATAAAATTTGATTTACATTTCATTTATAAAATATTTGTATCTATATGAATTTAAAATTTAGTTTATAAATATGTAACATAGAAATAATTAATAACAGAATAAGTTAAGTGAAGTCAAAAGTATACTATGAATATTTGAAATGTTCTTATATTCCAGCAAAGCATTTAAAAATGTGAAAGTAAAAGCTTTCTATCACAGCACAAGTTTTATCCAATGTTGCCACACTCGAATGTATTTTATTCACTTTTGTAAATAAAAGTTTTGAGAGAAAAAGCTTAAATACTCCCAATATTAGAGTGCGTAGTAGTAACGGTTATTGCTTATCTCATGTAGCAATTGTGGTGAGTATGTGAAGCAAATGAAAATAGATGTGTTTGAATTAATTTTGGTGGCTACTATCAGTTTGCTCAGAGAATCGCATCAGTTACTAACGTGAAGCATATAAAATAAATTATTTTATTAAAAAAAATTAATATTTCATATAATACATCATTCTCATAGGAAGAATAGTCTTCCTAAAAATAACCTTTTGCAATGGTTATAAGTGCTATATGAAAATCTTCAAGTAACAAAAATATTTTTAAAATTATTAATTAAAATTTGCAAAACAGGATGCAATGAAGTGCATACTTATAAAATAATATGAAATTTCCTGTGTGTAAAAATTGAAAGAAACACAATTTTCGACCTTTTCTACGCAACGGTATTTCTTCTGTATCTGTTTTCCGCACACCACCCACCGAAGTTTGGGCAAAAGTTTAATATTTCGTGGCAAGCAATAACATAAAATTAAGTGAAATTAAAATAAAAAAATATTTATATATTCCATTAAAAAAACCAGCAGCAAATTTTTACTTAAAATAATTGATCTCTAAGTGCTGCGTGCGCTAAGCTAATATAATAAAATTTCAAAAACGACAATAGGAAAATGGTAATTCAGAATGATAATAATTATTAAATAAATTGTTATTCCATCCATTTTTTATACAAAGATATAAAAAGAACTTATTGTTTAAAAGAAGCATTAAAGAAAACAATTGTATTTCCTTAACGCGGTGCAATCGCTGACAATTTCATGAATAACAAAAGCAACTGCGATAGCGGAAAATAGTATTTTTGCTATTTTAGTTGCTTGGTTTTTGTTCCTTTTTCATTTTTTCATTATTTTGCCTTTTTGCCTTCAAAATTATGTGGGAGGTATTGTCATGCAAATATGATGTAAGTCTCATAGGGTAAAAATCGTATTGCATGGCTGGGTTATTGGGTAGCTGGGTAGCTGGGTAGTATAAGCATAGCACAGAAAGATGAAGAAGAACAAAATTATAATCATGTCGTCATTGTTTTTAACTTTTGTTGTTACTTAACAAAATTTATGTTACAATAACTATAGCAAATAAAAAAATAACAGTTACTTAAACAGCAGCAGCAGTTATTGACCCACACTTGCAGTAACTTGAGCGCACTTTTATAGCAACATTTACACACACATACACACACATAGCAACTATACGGCCACCCATTGATAACAACAACAACAACATAAAAATCTCACAACAAAATTTGTAAATCGATATTGTGTACGGCTGTGGCCAAGTGGCCCACTGGCGGAAAGCCTTTGAGTCGTTACGTTGCTGTGGTGACTTTAGCCACGTTGCTCTTTTGATTTTGCACGCTTGTTTCAATTGCTTTAACATTAACTTCTGATTTCTATGCTTTTATGTTTGAATTCTTTTTTGCATTTGCTAATAACAAAATTGATTTAAAATATGATTGAATTAATTTGTGTTAATAGGTATATGGTATGTATGTTTCATGATAGGAATACGCACACAAATAGGATATATATTTATAACTCATACGTACCACCGCACACATATACTCGTACGTAGGAACAAGAACATTTCTAGCGAAATGTTATCAAATAGCAAAAATGACTATAAAAAATGTAAACAGAAGCTAACAACAAACAACAACAAAAATTAAGTGGTTGGCAACGTGTTTAAATTGTGAGATAGTATGCGTGTGAGTAGAGCGATGCTGCTTTTATAAGATTAACACAACTGACGTATGATGTCATGGTACTGAAAAAGTGCTGCTGGATCTGCATTTTTGCGCTTTGTACCAAAACTCTTTTTCTTATTTTCTTATTTTCTTATAACCGAGGAAGTCTTACAAAAACTTTATAGAGTAAATATATTTGTAAGTCTTTATGCAAATCATATAGAAGCAATAAATCTGCAACTTTAATAAATGCAGTTGATTTATTCAAATGCGAAACGGCGGTTATCAGCCGCAAAATATATATGTTTTTGCTGTGTTAAACCATTAATATAAATTTAGACAGATTAAAATACTTAAAATAGAGAAGCAAAAAAGACTGTTATTAAAATAAGACAGAGTTGAATAGCACAAAATATTATGGCAACAAAAGTATATCAAATTTCAACCATTTGACAATGCATAAAATCATTACATGAATGGAAGCCAGTCATAATTCCCACAAGTTTCCAAGTCAAACTAAATTCCATGTTAACTAGAGCTAATGTATACCAAAAAATAGTTGGATATATACATATATAAATATTTTGTCTACATAAATATTATTATTTTTTAATATATAATAATCAAATAATAATAAACCATCTCTATTACTGGGCATGTGTAGTCCATGATGCGTTTTCACTTTTATCTTCGTAACAATTAATGCTTCAGCTCGGTAATGTTGTTTAGTAGCCCAAAAAGAGGACCAATATATAAGACAATTGGAAATATTTAATACAAGCAGAATGACGTAGGCAAGCACTCTACATACATATGTAACCTCGGCATGTTGCTGACTAACTGTAAGCTATATTGGAGATTTTCTTTTCTTGAAAGATAGGAAATCCCATTAGACAGTAATATATAACATTTTATCTTTTTAATGATAGATATTCTTATAAATCTTATATACATGGAAGTTAGTTATCGGTTGAGTGTAAAGTTAGTCAATAATAAACAATCACGACCAAATATGACTTATTACTATTATCATTAAAACATATTAATTAAAAATATTATTGTATTATAATTTATGGATTCAGTTTATTTATAAGTAGTTTACAATTATTTCTTATTCGTATTGATACCCATACCCGTTTCTATATTTTAAAAATTTTTAATAAGATCCAATTCTTTATACTTCCGTTGTTGATGACAAAAATTTCCAAAATATTCAGTCTATGCTCTAATCTTGACATATGTCCTGCTGAATATATTGACAGAATTACTAGGAGTAAACTGTTCCTTTTAATAACTTATATTATACTTGTAAATAGAAAATTGGACAGTATTTTCTCAGTCATTGCTCGGCTAATACCTATTGTTAGTTTCTTTGTCTATAATCTTTAAAACTTATTTGTGTCCTATATGAGTGCACTTTGGATAAGTATAATTTTTTAATGGTTTCCGTATACATATAGTGTATATTATGATACATATGGTGTAAGTGAAATTTATTTTGAATGGTACTATCATCTCGCCTTAACATAGCTTGCTTTGGGAAAATATATATAAATCGGTAGATAGAATTACCTATTTTGTGCCATTTGCACAACAATAGTCAATACGTATAAGATAACCTCACATCTTTTGGGTTTACCCTCCAAACTTAACTTAGCTTTCCTCAATGGGATTGGCTTTCATTCCCTTGATATTTTTAAATTGGTGGAAAGCTAAAATAGTATCAAAGTGATATAACATATATGATGTAATTGAAACTTATATTTTATAGAACTTATCATAGCTTTTTTAAGGAAATAGTTTCTACATTTACGCAAGGTATATAAATCGGTAGATATCTCAAATGGTACAACAATAGTTAATAGACATAACATAAACTTACATAACTTTCTTGAATGCAATGGTTTCCCTATCATCGATAGATGTACAAATTTACAAAAAAAATTAAAAAAAAAAAATATTGAAATCACTCGGTAGCGTAAATGGTAACACAGGTATTCATGTAACCTAAGTAAGCCCCATATCTTTTAGTGTATCATTGCTATCCGGACTTAACAAAGCTTCCTTATCTCTTGGTTAAATATAATATATTCTTTGGAAATGTTATTTTCTTAACACAAAACTCGTTTTAGTTGTAATTTCAGTTAAAAAGTATTTTAAAAACTTAACGAAATGGTTTTCACTTTCCTCAAAAGATTTAAACAAACTTGTAAGATATTTTGATTTTTATACGAATTTATGAACTTAGTTATACTTTGCACTTAATAGTTTTCTTACAATCGTATTTGCTTTCAGTTGAATTACGGCTGCTACTATTAATCCGTGGTATCTGTCTCGTGTTACATATCTTTTGGTTTTTTTTTTGGAAGCAAAGGCTCTTAACTGCCAAATGACATTAGTCGTATGCTTTAGTAGCACCACAAGTAATGCTAATAAAAAATAACATTTGAACAAAACTAATCCCCCAAGCTATTGTCTTTACAGCCTTTATAACCACTTTATTGTAGGAGGCACTGTAAGAAAAAATAAAAAACATGAAGAAAGCCGGGAAAATGTAAGAGTATGTGCAAATTGTGAAAATGCGCTAAAATCGCTGCCTTTGTGATAAATATGTTAAATACTATCTGTCAATATTTTAACTTGCATCATTAAAAGTATTAAACATAAAACATCATATATCACCCTATAACCAGACTTTTCTGGTAATCATCAATTGATATCTGTTTGGAAGTAATTCTCTCCACCTATGGCAGAAAATGAGCTAACATTATTTTTATTAAGATTTAGAAACTTCTACAGAAAACGCTTATATAAAAATTTTTATATTTAAAAACAGTTACTTCATAGTTATAATAAAAAAGTGCCAACCCTTAATTGTCTAATATGCAATGTATATGCATAAGTTTTTTTTAGTTAAATCGGGGAAAATTTATACATATATCTTATATATGTTAAAATTTACCAGAGACTTTTATTGTTTCTGTCTCTGCTACACCTCTCACATATACAACGACTATTATATAGAATCTTTTAACATTTCGATTGGTTAACAGAGTTATCTCTGTAGCTTGTATTATCGGTTTTGAACAAGGGCATTTTGAACCAATTATATCGGAATGTTTACATGAAAGATAAATTTTCATTTAATAATTTATTTTAATAGGTACATATATATGTCAATTAGTACAGCGAAACTTGTGAAACCATTCGGTTCCATTCTTTAGTAATTTATCCTAGGACAATATATTACCAATAGGCACATATAAAGTAGTAATAGTAAAAATAATAAAAGTAGTCAAAACAGCTTAACTAAGTAACTCCCTGAATAAACCGTTTAATCTATGTGTGGACACAATATATCTAATAGCAAAATTATATATCTATTATGACCGTACTTTAATAAAATCCATGTTATAATGTTATTGTAATCCCTATGACTGTTATAAGAGAAAGCTGCTCAAAATAGATTTGCATTCTACGCTGAATAAAGTTTATATATTATTTGAAGCATGATAATGTTAGCTAAGTTTGAAAAAATATTTAGAAACTATTAAAAACCATATTAATAGATTTCTAATTTTCTTGATTTGAGGACTAATTCAATTCAAATTTAAGATAAGGTTATGTTTAAAAATTTCAATATTTATTATTTTAGATAAGAAGAAGAAATCGACGTGCCCGCCTTTGGAATATGGGTTTGTTATTACTCATATACTATTGCGTTACTGTATATTCAGCAAAAGGTGAAAAAAAATCCGAAGGACTATTTGATATCGAGAATTTAGAAACAGAGGATGAACTTTTAGATCTTCCATTGGCAAATAGCAGCAAAGAAAGCATAGTAACTGAGGTAAGCTTAATTCAACAAATAAGTCAAATATTTAAGTATAATAAATATATGCTGCTCATTATATATGTTTTAGGCAAATATTGTGTCTACAGAACCAACGTACACAACTAAAAAAGGTGCTGTACCAACTTGGCGTCCGAAACGAGAGAACTGCACACCTCCAGCTATCGAACAATTTCCTCAACCGTTAATGAATAAATGGTTAAGACAGCATGGCGGCCTGATAATACACGTTCTTGTCGCTGTTTTTACTTTCTTCGGCCTAGCCATTGTCTGTGACGATTATTTCGTTGCTAGTTTAGATAGATTATGTGAAGAACTGAAATTGTCACCTGATGTAGCAGGTGCTACATTCATGGCTGCTGGCAGCTCTGCACCTGAGTTGGCGACTGTTGTTATCGGTGTTTTCTTTGCCCAAGACGATATTGGCATTAGTGGTGTAATTGGATCTGCCGTCTTTAATATAATGTTTGTGATATCAGTGTGCGCACTCTGTACAGGTACTGTGTGCCAACTGAATTGGTGGCCACTCGTCCGAGATTGTTTCTTTTATTGTCTTTCTATACTTGTCATGCTAATTATAATCTTTAATGACGTTATATCATGTGTAAGTTACTTAGTTCATACTCTCGATCTTTCAAATTTATTAATAGTGCACAATAATTTCTTGTTTTTAAATTTAGTTCGAATCTGTATTTATGTTACTTTGCTATGTGGGTTACTGTGTAGCACTACACTTCAATACCGAACTGGAACGTTGGGCAATGTCACTTAATCTTCCTTTTAAACTTCCTACCAAAGAAGAACAGTCTTCACTAGTCACTTATAAAAATATACCGGAAAGTAATTATACACAAGGTGGTCAGCAACAAACTAGCCTATCTCAAGATGCAGATACAAATACTTCAGGATCCCAGCAGCAACAACAACAACAACAGCAACAACCGACTACAGACTATCAAAGCTATACGGATCCTAACGCAAGCTGGGATCCAAATGCAGCTTGGGGAGATCAACCAGCTAATCCAGTCGGAGTCAGTGCTAGAACTACTCAACCACCGGTCGATGATTGGGGCATGAGCCAATTTACTGCTGGTCAAGGTCAAGAAAATATGGCCTATAATCCTGACCAACCTGACGCTGTCGTAACACAAACAGCTACAAATGATAATAGTAAATCTGTTGTTGGAAAGCCACAACCAGCAGGTGTAGATTACTATAAATCAACTGATAAATCAAAAGAGCCACGTCCCAATCCGTTAGAAAGACCGACCGAGGGTGGACTTCCAACACTGATCGCCTGGTACGTTGTTTATCCCATACATTTTCTTTGCCAGAAAACTATGCCAGACTGCCGCTTGGAGAAATACCGTAATTGGTACCCATTCACTTTTATAATTTCAATGATCTGGATATCGTTTTACTCATACTTCATGGTATGGATGATAACAGTAATTGGTTCTACATTGGCCATACCAGATACAGTTATGGGATTGACATTTGTTGCTGCTGGTGTTTCTGTGCCCGATGCCCTAAGCTCAATAGCAGTTATCAAAGAAGGATTTGGTGATATGGCCGTCTCAAATGCAATTGGCTCTAATGTCTTTGATATCCTAGTGTGCTTAGGTCTTCCGTGGTTTATACAAACAGCTATTATAAAGCCTGGTTCACATGTAAATGTAATATCAAAGGGTATGTAAAGACTACTGAAAATTGTTAGTAGGATGCTTGTGATAATTATGAATAATGCATGTAAGTCTCAATTTTGCTTGGGTAGAATTCAAATTGCATGTGCTAGAAATGTGATTACAAATGAGTGTGGTATTCTTATTAGACATGAGCTGGAATAAGATTGCACACAATCGCAATAAAAAATAATAAAATACGTTTGGATTTCAATATGACTAATACTTATAAGAAATATTTCAAAAAGTTAATTTGCTAGAGTAATGATTCATATCTTACATAAGGTTGACTCCTTAATATGCGTAATGAAGCAAATTATTCTTTTCTAATCGATACGAATCATAATTAATGATATTTATTGTTGAAACGGAAAAATTTCTTATACCATATTACGCATATTAAGGATAACTCCGAATATCAATTCTTTAAATGGATACCTTATTATATATGTTAGATTTTAATCAAAATTAAATAATTTAAAATATCTTATTATATTATTAATTTATTATTTAGGCTTGGCATATTCCACACTTTCATTGTTTTCGACAGTCATATTCTTATTACTGTCGACACATCTTAATGGCTGGAAGTTGGACAAACGTCTTGGAATCGTACTCATGCTTTGGTATCTCTTCTTTATAACTCTAGCATCTCTTTACGAATTAAATGTGTTCGGCTACATGAATCCACCAGAGTGTGTCAGTAAGTTGAATTTGGCTTTTAAAGTAGATTTTTTCGTTTTGAAATTTATGCCCTTTCTATTTCAGGCGACTATTAAACTAAAATATAGATTTGCAGCAAATACGAATATAAATCAGGCGAATAAAGAGTACAAACAATTTTACACCCTTGTATTTGTACTCAGTAAAGAAAAAAGTAAAATAACAACATTTATTTAAGTTTAATTTTATCAAATCATTCAAGTCTGTTGTTAGTATAATTACATAAAAAGTACATGAAGAAATTGCAGTGCAATTATTCAGTTAATAACATAATTACATTCCATAAATGTTGCACAAATGCTGTAGTAATCAGTAGCTGACTGCTGTAAAATTTTTAGTTATTTGTTAACCCTTAGTTGTTAGTGGTTGAATGAACACTGTTCAGTCTGATCAGCTGATTAATGTTAACTAAATATTAACTAAATGTTAACTAAATGTTAAATGTTAATTGTTAAATATTGGTTTACATTAGTCAGATGTCGAGGTCTTTCTGAGAGTTAAGAAGACACATATAATCGTATAGCTTTAAACTGAATAATCAATGCATTATCATATACATAGCAGGCATAGACAAATTTAGCAATATATACAAATACTCATATATCAAAATTAAAAATCTCACATAAAAGCAAGACCGTTTAGCACAGTATATTAATATTATAAATATATATATACAAAATTTTTAACATACATATATAAATAGTTACAAATGTAGAAATATTTAACAAAAACATTTTACATTTTTACATCGCACGGATTTATAAAAAACAAAAAACGATATTGAGACACTAATGTAGATAGGTCGTACTAAATAATTATTAATATTTATCTACAGAACATGTAAAGATATAAAGATCAAATTAAAACTCAAAGAATAATATAAGCAATAAAACTAATTATTCACTAATTATAAATATACTGCAATTATATTATAATAATAAATACAAACTGACCATAACAAAATGACATTTAATAAATGTTTAATAAATAAGGCTAAATAATATATTCCCCTAAGCTAAATTTTAATTTTAATTTATAAATAAAATTTTTAATAATAGTTACGTTAAGTTGCTTTACCATAAATCAACGATAATATAAAAACAGGAACATTGAGCTAAAAAAGGTTTCAGTTTGAAATTTAAAAGGAAAAAATTTAAAACATATAATTAACAAAAAATCGCAACGAATTTTAAGTTTCTATTTAAATAATATATATAATTAATTTAATTAATAAATATCTATATAAAAACATATTGTTAACAAATAAATTATTTTTTTTAATTATTTAAAAAAATTATATTTATATATACAATATATAGTCAATTTTGTGCATATATTAAAATATAGTCAATTTGTCCAAACAATATTATTAAATTTAATATTTAAGTTTAAAAGTAAATTTAAATAGATAATATATGCTTTTAAATATTATTAAAATTATTTTATTTAAATGGCTTAAATAAATTATATAATATTTTAAATATATGTAGATATATTTTATTACTTATAAACAAGTATTAATAAAAGTTATATATATTATTTTATGTATAAAAAAATAGCATGAGATAATATAAAATGATTAAAACCTCAAAGCAATTATATATAAATTTGTAAAATATTAATTAGTACGTACAAATAAAATAATAAAATGAAATGAAAGTATTTTGATGTATACAAATCCAATTTCTGTTCCGAAATCCGAGAAGACTATATTTAACTACATAATAATAACTGAACTTCCCTGGCACAATACTGTTCTCTTGAATGACATATGCTGAGAATAATTACCTATAACAATAATTAAGTTTCAAAGATTTTATTTTAGAATAGCATAAAAGCGCTGTTAATAATATATATAAAAAAAATATCTTATATAAAATAGCAAAAACTTGTTAAAAGCTATTATTGCATAAAAGAAGTTGTATGTTCAATCTAAATTTTAGTAAAATGTTATTGTGATAAACGTGAAAAATAACATTTCCAAAATAGTTAGATAATTTTTAAATTTCAATCAAATTTATGTGTTCGGTTTAAAACTTCTTAATGTTTTAAATTTTAATTAAATAAAATTTTAAAATTATCCCTACTGTCGTAATTCTATTATTTCTATTATTATTTATTTACATTTCATCAAGTAATAAGATCTAACATCTAGAAAATCAACATTAGGAAAAGCTGTTGTTTTAATTAAAAATTGTTAAATACCTCAACTATTAAATTCATATTAGTTAAAAATAATTAAAATTAAATAAAAATAGCGATTTCTAGAACATTCAAAAATTGTAAATCATAAAAAAATTAATAAACAAAATTGTATAAAACGTCGTATAATTAATAACATTGTCAAAAATAGTTAATTTTTTTTTGCTTCAATTTATAATATAATGTATATGTATATATTTGTAATAAAATAAAACGATATTTTTATTATAATTTAAATAATTATATTTTAAATTAAAGATGAAATTATTGATCAGAAATTATACATATATATACATATATATATATATTAGTATGGTCAAATGAAAGCACAGATTTATAACCCTAAAATCGTGTAAAACTCGTAAATTTAATCGGTGGTTAGGATTACTAATTAATACCAAATGACTTCCCGAGAGTGACGTGTCTTTATGACAAAAGAAACTATTTAAAAGTTAGACGTATTTGAATAGCAAAGAAAAAACAAGTACAAAAATTTATTTAATTTATTGAAATTTGGTTTTGTATGGTCAGCTGTTTCGAGTATTGCCAAGTACTCATCATCAGTTGTCTTAGGGAATATTCGAATTTCTTAATTAGTTTATAGTTCAAACAAATTATATACGGACTATAAATTAATCAAGAAATTCGAATATTTTCTAAGGCCATTGATGATAAGTACCTGACAATACTTGAAACAACGTTGTATGGTCAGCCAAATTTCAATTAATTAATTAAATTTTTGTCCTTGTCTTTTCTTTGCTATTCGAATCCGTCTCACATGTTTTATATTTATAAATTTATAAACTCGTATAAATTTCATACAATCTAGAAACAATATGATATGATATTTTTTTTTCTAATAGTAACTATATCACTGTTTGCTTTTAGAAAATAAATATATTAATATATTACAAATAAAGAGTAAGCGTCATGAATTAAATCATTTAATGATATATTTGTGATCAAAATTTGGAAATTTGGAATAAGTTATGAGAAAATGTGTCGTTCAATGCATGTCCTATAGGTACTCAATGGATTGTTATTTTTTAGAAGTTGTATCTTTTATTTGAATCTAAAACATAGTAAAATATAATTTAAACAAACATTTGAAATAAGAATAATCAAACTTCTATTCTATCCATTGCTTTAGATTATAATCAATGAAATGAAAAGCATTCATTAAAGAAGTGTAAACCCCTCACTATCTCGTAACCCCACTGCAATACTGTGTACCAATATATTTTCTAAAGGTACACTGCATTTACAAAGGAATTTTAAGATATCCGCGTATATTTGGTCTCATGAAGGTTTTGAAAACTCGTGGTGAACTACATAAATTTGCGAGATTTACAAGGTTTACCTACCTTACACTAGATATTTTTTCCTTTACACTATCGTTTTTACAATATTAATTTAACTTCATATCATATATAGTTAACAAAATAAAGTTAATTAAAATTAAAAAGGACATAAAATTACATATTTGATTTGAATTCGTTTATTAAAATTTTAACATGTTTTAATAATAAATAATTTTGCATATTTAGCACACCACCTTTCTTTAAATGCTATTGTTAGTGAAAATAAAATTAACTATACAGTTAAATACAGTTTAAACTTTTAAATTATAATAAAATTAATAATAAATCATAATAGGGTTGTTATGTTTCTTTTATGAAAAATTAAGATTTTTTAATGTATAATTATGATTTTAAATTAAATTGTACAAATTAATTTTACAAGATTATTTTAATTACCAATCTTTTTTAAAAATTATTATTTAAAATATTATAAACTATATTGAAGTTCATATTAAAAAGTAAAATCAAAAATTATTTTTATCTTATATTATACATTAACATAGTTTAATATATTTCTCCATTTTTTTTTCGTATCCAATATTAATATATTATTGTTATATAAAAAACAATATTTAAATTTTTAGTCAAAAACTTTTAATTCAAATTTAATTCATATTATATTATTGATTATAGTTCATAACTTAAAAGTTAAATAGCAATTATAATTATATATTATTTTACAGTTAAAACTTTATTTGAATTTTTAATTAAAATTTTAAAATTTAGAGCTTATTTCTAGAAAATCAAATATAATACTTAATACCTACCCTATCCTATCCAAATTATAATCTAACCTTATACTTAATAACCATGTATAAAATTACATTACTGCTATCAGTACCAACGATTCTCATACATTAAGCAATTTTTAATCATATATATTTTATGAACATAATTGTTCTTCCCAAGAAAGGGGTCAATTCTTTGAATCAATTACCTACAAAATAAAACTAATTATCTATATTTAATTATACATATATATAAAATGATTTAACAAAAATTTAAAAATTAATTAATATAAATTCTTGTAAAGTTAAAAGTATATTGATATAATATATATAAAAAATAATTAATAGTTTGTGAATTACGTAAAGTATATAAGCACTTAATAAAACATATATATATATATACAAACAGATTTAATATATAAGTTTAATAAATATATATATGTTAATGATTGAATTTAATGCAATTTAACTAATATTTTAACGTTCAACGTAAATTATTTGATGTTTAAGAACAATATTTACAAGATAAAAAGATTATTAACAGAAGACCTAAAATTACATAAATATATTATATATTAAATATTGTGTTTAATTTTCAAATTCTTATATTACTTTTGCTGTTTATATATTTATTAATTAATATTATTGAACATTTATGTAAAATTTTAATATTATTACATACATACAAGTACATACCTACATAAAAGCGACTAAATAGAGATGGATAAAGCAGAAGCAGAATCAAGATAAAATACTAATGATATATTAAAATATTTACTGTTGATGTTATGTTAGTTTAATAAAAATAAAATACAAATCAATCATTACAGAGTGCATTTATTAATTCAACAATTTAGTTATTTATATTTTAAACCACGAGGCAATTCTTATCTACAATATTTAAAGATGTTAAAGGAATTACCATCCCAGGCAATGATTGTGATTATTTAAATAATATTAAATTCTCAATTCGATGAACTGTTGATTTCGTTGAAATAGATTCTTTATCATTATCTGTTATTTGTTCTATTAAACTAAGGAAAATACATTATTCCTACTGCTTCCAGAGAAGAAATTCAAAATACATTGTTGAGCGTAAATACATAATTTTCTCAATAAAGTTCTATGGTTTAACAGAATTTGAAAACGAAATTTAATTAAACATATATACACAATTTTTACTTATAATAACTTTATAATTTAAATAATTATTGGTAACCCTAATGCTACCTGCATAGCAATAAGACGTCACTGTTCAATGCCTTACTGTTACTGCGTTCCAGCATTAAAGTTTAATGTTATAACATTATCTTGGTAATGTTTTTCACCACACTCAAGTATTTCATTTTCATTTTGCAAAGCTTTCAATTCAAATATTTTTTTCACAGTTGTTTTTTTTCTCTTTGTACTGCTAAAGGGTGTTAAGCTTTTATATTGCGGAGAAAAAAATATAAAACACAAAAGACTGAGGCACATTGCATTGTTTACGCATAGAAGTACACTTTTATTTAGGCATTATCGATTTAATTCATTTTCATTGACAAATTTTGTGTGTACTACAAATGAAAGTTCATCTCAAACATATAAAAATAAATTTCAAATTTAATAAATTGAATATAATTAATTATGTATAAATGTATGAAAATGTGATACTTATAAGTCAATATGCTAGGTTTTTTTTTATTACACATATTACATATTACAACATAATATAATTACTATGTTTTTCAGGTTTAAAACTAAACTTTTTATTAATTAATGAACAAATTAAAAATATAATTGACAAACATAAAATAAAAACAAATATAGAGTTTCTTTCTTCTTCTTTATTTAAACTAATTTGAGCTACTCATTTTTAATTTAGATTTTATCTTTGCTTCTGATTAAAGTGTACTTGAATGTCCAAGTATTAAATCTAAATCATTTTTCAGATCTTTATTTCAGTGCGAATTGCGTTCACTGAAATCTTTCTCGTCATTTGTTTGAAACCTAATTTTACCGAAACAAAAATCTCTCACTACGGTAAAAATCTCACTAAATTCAGCTGCGTATAATAGTTTCCAATTTCCCACAAAAAAATTTAATTGACTTAGCAATATATTATTATTGTTATTATTTTAATTATTGGAATATTACTTATAATATTACTTAATTACATTTATAAATACAATCTAAGCGATAGTAACTAAGGTTTTTCATGCAATTGATATACAATTCATATTATTAATTGTAGCTTATAGTAAGGTCACTATTACCGAACAATTGAAACCTTCATTTTCGTTATGTAGAGTATTTAGGTTTTTCTCCAATTTGACTGATTATTTCTTTCCAAGCTTTTTTAATGTCGACTCATTTAATAGTTGCTGCCAATCTGCCAAACCGGTAGGTAAGAAGAGTATCGCTTTTTCGTGCTGGAGGAAATCCAGTAGTTCGATGTCATTTCAATGAAAATTTATAATTCATTTTGAAAAAGTTTCAGTGTTTTTTTTTTTGAGATAACTAAAATTTCATTTAATATTTGATAATAATAACTTATTCTAAACACAAATAAATATTTATTTAGTAATTAAATAATAATTACTATTATGTAACAAGTGTTTATAGTGTGGTATTATTTTATTGTTTTTGCAGCTAAAAAATTTTGGTTCAAAAAAAGGTGAAAAAATCGTAAAAACTTGTGCCGCAATGCATATAAACGTATATACTATATATCGATTTTATCTGCAAAAACAACAAATTGGGCAAAAAAAGCATAAAGATTATAATTATTATTATAATGAAAAATATGTTAACCTTAATATCTATATATATATATATGTGTGTATATAAATATAGTATGTACGTATATTATATACGATAATTGATTTTATATGTACATATGTACGTCAGATGGAAATGATCCCTTAGTTCAAAGATTAATGTGTTTGATTGATAAGCGAAAGTGAACAGATTTAAAAAAAAATTTTATACTAATATTTATACATATATTTATATGTATCTGTATAAATATGTACGTGAACAAAATACTCACTTTTTTTCTAAGTCGTTCAGATTGATAAATATTTTATAATAAATTTAATCTTAATTATAATTTTATTGATCTCAAACTGATAAACGAATGTTGTTGGTTAATGTTAATTTAATGTTAATGTTAATTTAACATTAATTTAATAACATTGATACGGATGATATGCCTTAGCCGTTATTTGTTTATAATATTTTTTAAAAAAGTAAAATGTGTGTAATTTAATATGTTCTGCTATAATGCAGAATACAGTCATATCCTATAATATTCTAAACAATTCTTTTATTATTAAATTTTTGTTTTAATAATAATTACAAATTATTTTCACTATCTATACCCAACTGTGATAAGTAATTAAAGTAAAAAGCATATAATTATATTAGGTTTGCATTGAACGAAACGGAACGGATTAAATATGTCAACACTGCCAAAAATTGATATTGATCAGCCTAAATATGATCAGAGCACGTATTTGAATCGAGCCAAACACTTCTTCCTACTCACAAATCCACTAAATTTGCTGGCGACAAATGCGGAATTGGAGCGAGCACGACGCATTGTGAGTGATTACAGAGCTGGTAAGGAAGTGAGCGAATGCAAGAGTGTGGAGGAATTATGGCGTGCCAAGTATCTTTACGACTCTGCATTCCATCCCGACACTGGAGAAAAGTCTTTAATAATTGGAAGAATGTCTGCTCAAGTACCAATGAATACACTCATCACAGGCTGTAAGTATACTTCAATCTGATAACATTTATTAGTTAATTGAGATAATAATTGTTTGTTGTAAACGAATATTTATTGTAATTGGAATAACTTGTGGTTGCGAAGTTACTTCGAGTTATTTTATTATAGAAAATTTTATTTATTCCATAATTTTTTTCCTTGCTTTTAGTTAACTAACATTTTTTATTGTCTATTCTATATTGTAATTTTTCACTTTTTTGTGCTTTTAACCGATATTTTGATATTTGTTTCTCTTAACATATAATGCCAGTTGAATAATGTCTGGATATGCAAATGAAGTGAAGGATTTTATTTCGTAATTGATTTATATTTATAATATATTCCATATAACTAAAAAATTCCGTTGCCTTATCCATGTTATCTTATCTTATCCTTTATGGTTTATGGTTCTTAATTGATTTTATTTGTATTCAACTTACATAACAAAATAAGTTTAACATTTTTCATATTATCTTTCTATGTGCTGAAGTTTTAGTTCATTTAAATGACCAAGTTTAAAGTTAGTTAAAAAATAATTAATATAAAAATAAATTTTAACCGTATTTTACAATTTATGAATTTACGAATATTAACGAATTCGCCCTTCAAAAGTCCCTGAAAAAACTGCCTTGTACCTTATTCCCGCCGCACTAAATGTAGAAAAGTCACAACAAAACCAAAAAATAAGCCCAAAAATTTTTAATTAGGTGCCATGAAAAATTTTGAAATTTTATAGACTTAGTAAAATCTTAACGGAAATAGAAAATGGGGATGAACTATCGAAACAAGAAATACGTAATCGTCAAGGAGGTTCGTAAATTAGAAACTCTAAATTATTCATACCCCAAAAACAGTAAATAATAAAATGAATAATAATAGAAAATTATAATAATCTTAAAAAAATTATTGTTGATAAATGGCAAATACATAAATAATACATATATCTACGAAATATTTTTTTCAATTACCAGTAATTCTAATATGTCCAATATAGTATAACCTTGAACTTAATGTTCTGCAAATTTTAAAATGATAAGATAACAATAGTTTATTTGTTTTATTAAGTAGAATTTATTACCGGTCATTCACTTAAGCTCAGAATACAGTCAACATATTCACATACAATTCTGAGCTGCGAATAATTTAATTAATAATGACGTTCATGTAAACTATTTAGTTTGTTGTATGTTTACTTCCGTCTAAGTTCGTTGAGAGAACAATAATTGAAGTTCAAATCAATTTAAATTTAGCGGCGTATAATATAGATTCCAAAAACAATTTCATATTGTATTATTAAATATTAAGATTCTAAGACAACTATTATTTCCACGTTAATCAGTGATTTTTACGTTATTCATTTACTTCTAGTAAATAGACTAGTATAGATCAATACTAGTCAATATACTTAGTTTCTTCATTACATCACATGAGGACATCCGTTGAAAAAACACAAATCTACCGTACAAAGTCTTCCCATTGCACATTATAAAATATAAAAAAATTTTACGATATGATCAAAATAAAAAAAAATATAAGTACAGGGCTTTCTTTTATACTATTTATATTCAAGTTTTTTCTAGTATGACCAGATTATTAGTGCCGAAGGTATTTTACTTTAAGCAATACCCTTAAGAAATATGCCTTCGTCAATTCTATAATTATAACAAGAAACTAGAACCATTCCTATATATAAGTCTCTGATACACCGATACACTCTCTGATAAACATCAAACAAACCCAATTTAAATGATTTAGTGCTGCTGAACTTTAGATCTTACTGAATTCGATGCAAACGCGAACTCGACCATATAATAAATAACAAAATGTCAAAAAATATATTGTACTTTAAATATCAGAAACTAAGATAAGAAGGACACGCGCAAGGAGCCCTTTCCCAGTCGATTGGCTAAACATCTATTTACAATACCTTTAACTATAGTATGCAATAATACACAAAACTTGTTTTTCAACAGGTATGTTATCCTTTTATAAGACTACACCAGCAGTTGTGTTCTGGCAATGGGTAAATCAAACATTTAATGCTGTTGTCAACTATACCAACAGATCTGGATCTACACCCATTTCTAAAGAGTAAGCACCAAATTATAATATATAATATTAATATTATCTTAATAATGTGTAATAGGCAGTTACTTACGTCTTATGTTTTGGCTACCGGAGGCGCGTTAACTACAGCACTCTCTCTTAATAGACTTGTTAAGGTATGTTTTTTCAAACTTTTATCTGCAAAGTAATTTTCTAATATTATGCTTACTAGAATTTAAATCCTTTGATTGGAAGACTTGTGCCATTAGCAGCTGTTGCTGCTGCCAATTGTATCAATGTGCCTATGATGCGATTACAGTAAGTAATTTAAATATCAATCAAATAAAATTTTCTTTACTTCACCATTTTCTTTGCAACTTTATAGAGAACTGAAAAATGGAGTTACACTTTTGGATGAGAACAATAATGAGGTTGGTATATCCAAGAAAGCAGCAGCTGTTGGCATCACTGCCGTTGTAGCTAGCAGAATTGCAATGGCCACACCTGGTATGGCATTGACACCAGTTTTAATTGAAGCACTCGAAAAACGAGGTTTCCTCAAACGTTTTCCAAGAGCGAGCGCTCCGATTCAAACACTATTCTGTGGTTTTGTTTTAATATTTGCAACACCACTAGGCTGTGCTTTCTTCTCTCAACGGGCTTCTATAAATGTATCTAGTCTAGAAGCCGATGTACAAGAAGATATTAAGAAAAAGAATGATAAACTTAATGAAGTTTGGTTCAACAAAGGATTATAAATCGTCCATTTATAGCTAGAAGCTTTTTAAAAACTAATATGAAAAAGCCTAATATCTGAAATGACAATATTTTTGTTGCATTTATTTATCTAATTATAGTGAATTTTAATTCTTTGCAATTAGCATTTATTTAAGTTTTAATAAAATTTGGAAAATCAGGGCACGAAGGCAAGCAGCACTTCAACTTAACGCAAATACCTCAGGATACCTTAGGATATTGTCGTTATATATAGAATAAATTAACTATAATAAATTAAGTATTTGTGTTAAATATGTGTTTCAATTAAATGTTTTAATTGTAGATCAATGGAGAAAATTATTGCATTAAACTTAGTTTTAAGTCAAGCATTAAAAATAACAGTTATATACTTATATATGTATTTATATATATATTAAAGACGAAAAATTTATGATCCTTAATAAAGAGTATAAATAAAATATAAATTAGCGTTTAAGTGTACTTATTTTATAAAATACTAACTTATTTTCTTAATTAGATGACACTGGCAGTATGTTACAGTATTTCGAGTTATGCAATACTTTTTGTTAATTACCTGTGTATGTACTTTCTTCAAACAGCTAATATATTCAATATTATTTCACCTACTTTAAACATATAGAAAGTGATTTTACGATCCAGTAAACTATGCTTCTTGTTTACTTTTCAAATGGCTGTAAGAGCTATTAAAAATTGTATCTATTTCTCAAATTTCTGGACTGACATCAAGTAAACCCCTACAAAGTAATCACCATACGCATAAATTGAATTATTTTATCAAAGAATTAGTAATAATTTTTACTTAATTAATAAAAATAAAATGAATTATTATATTGTAATTCGACAATAACTGAAAGTGTCATATATAACGACATAAGAGGGTTAAGTTAAATATTTAAAAGAGTGAAATCCTTATTAAAATAAAAGCTTTAGGAATTGATAGTTTTGTTATGAATTTATGTTTTTTACTTGACAAAAATAAAAATAACATTATACCTAACAAATATTCCACTTTGAAACTTCCACATGTTAAGCCCGCATTTCTGTAGGCTTACTAGAAAACTACAGGCTCCAGAAAACGCCTCAAAGTGACATTTCTATTATTTATGGGATAAAATAAATCACTTAAATATATAAACGGCAAATATAGCTATAGATATAATAAATTATTTTTGGTAATGTTAACGTTAAGAATAAAATTTTTTATTTATACACTGAATTAATATATCAAGCATCATAAACATCATAAATTGATAAATAAACAATATTTTTATTAAGCATCGTTTTAGTGTACTTGCAAATATAGGAAATACAACAAAAGCAGACTCTGTAATTAGCTTTCACTTTTCTTATATATTACAATCTATTGTGAACTTAATTTTATAAGTTATGGAAAAAAAATATATTTTGATATTATTCTGTGTAGTTGAACTTTATTATAAAATATATAAAATTAAGCTAATAAAAAATCAGATAAAATATATAAAACTATTTAGATAGGTAGGTGAAACAGAAATAAATCTTTTATAAGAAAACCGTTTTCATTCCACATTCCACATGATTGTGGGTAAAAAATTCAACATATTTGAACCAGCCAAAAGCATTGATATAATTTGCAATTATCTGATTACTAGACATTTCTAACTAATGTTAGAAAAATCGCTGTTAATCTTAATTTTAAATAATAATTAATTAAAGTTAATATTATGAATTGGACATCCAAAAGCTTCATCTTGGATCTAAATAATCCTAAACAGAGACACATTATTTGTTGTATAATTAATAATATTATTTGTTATTGTTATGTTTTGTAAGAGTTTTGGTAGAGCAGGCCGAGCGTGGCTTTATGCTTTTTTGTTGTGTCTCGATATTATCTTATTATCTTTAATTTTACTTGTATGGATTAAGGTCACGTCGCTGAAGATGTCGCTATTAGCCCACTATTTTGTATTACTTGTTATACTCTTTCTACTTTATATTATATAGACTATATTAGTATTTGTTTAATGTTTCAAATTTATACGATATTTTGATTTTACATAATGGATTTGTTTACAAATCGATTTATGCGTAAAGATAAATTTACATGTTTCAGAATATAACCATGTCAAAATAATAAATGACTTGATTTGTTGAAAAAGCTGTCATTATATACAACAAAGCTACTAATATTGACTATTAAACTATACTATGTTGACTATGTTTCGAACTATACAAAAAAGACGGTGCTTTTTCTAATGTGTTTAAACTAAAACTACATTCCTCACTCTATGGGATACAAATTATTACCACACCATGTTATATATCATATTACATATGATATTAATCATTTTATTAAGCTCAAAACTTGATTCATTCCCAAAATTCCAAACATGCTTCCAAAGCTGTGTATTCTTAAGTTCTCCCAATAGTAGAATTTATTTTTAAAATGACATTTCCTATTAAGCTGTTCTCAGCAATATAAAAAACACAGTAACATATTTTTTTTGGAATTTATTTAAAAAAAAATTTTTTTTATATATATTTTTATTATATACATAAAATTTTTTATAAACAAATATTTTCTTTACATAATTTTGTGCAAGTAAATTTCCACCATTATAAAACTGTTCTCACCTAAATTATAATCACATGTTTCATTGTGAATGATATTTTTGATTATGAAGCAGAATTTAATATATAATGTAGTCCAATTTGATCAAATTCTCTAACTTTTGAATGCAGTTGTTTTTTGCGTGTTGTGTGAGACGCAGATTTTTTGAAAGTGAGAGTCTGCATTTTGTAACAATTAAATCATATTGATAATTAAATATAACAAAACGCTAAAAAAATACTGACAGCACACAGCACTCTTCACTGCTAATCAAATAAATACAGCACGGGTCGGCGATTACCTGTCCACATTTTTATGTTATATTTACAGTGTTGAATTTTACGATTTACCGCAAAATTTGGTGTTATTATCCAGTGAAGAAGTAATTCAAGTATTGAACAAAATATACAAAAAAAAATACTTGCAATGAATGCGGACGACTATGAATCTTTACCCACAACAAGCGTGGCAATTAATATGACAGCTGGAGCAATGGCAGGTGTCTTGGAACATTTCATCGTATATCCATTAGATTCAATAAAGGTACAGTTAATTGTCATAATAATATAGAAATCACTGCAAGATATATTTTCTAACCTCATAGAGCAAGTCGTGATGTAATTTTTTGTCTTCTTTTTAGTTTTTTGCATTCAATACTTTTTATGTTGTTATTATCTTTTGGTTTTGTTGCCTGCCTTATGAGTTCTGTAATAAAATGTTCGCAAACATTTGAAACCCCATAAATCTCTCATAAAAAAATGCATGAACAAGTATTAATGAATACTTCCCATTCGACATACTTTTATTTCATCTCAAAGGCTATCTGTAATTTATTTACTCATATCTTTAACAAGAAAAACTCTTATCACCTCACGTTGGTTTACAGTGTTTATCGCGTCTTTGCGTAAACTGAGAAAATTTGATAAGATTGACAAATTGTGTTGGTCATGCTTTCAATGTGCTTAAGCTTATATAAATTAAATTAATACACAAACTTGTATCGGCGGTATTTCGTACCGTTCGATCTAAAGTGATACAAAAAAGCGGCTTTGTAATTAATTTTATGTACTATATGAATGCATTCATTAATTTATAATTTATCTACAATTTATGCAAATAGTAGTGGGAAAGAGAAATTGCAAAAATAAAAAAACTGTTTGTATAAAAGTTTAATATCATATTATTGCTATTGCTGGTAAATATAAACAATTAAAAAATTCTGAGCTGAAGATGACAGCTCGACAAAATTTACTGTCGATTTAATTTTGTCAATTTTGTAAACCAACAAAATCCGGAAGATTTTCATATTATGTACAATGTACATCACTGTCGAAAAATTTTTTTTTGCTATAATTATTTATTTCTTTACATTCATATTTTGTTTGGTACTTTTTTATTGTTTGTGAGTAATTGTTGTATCTTTATAATTGTACACATTTTCCCTCACATATACCAAATAAGTTATATTTGTTTACTGGCATTATTTGTATAAACTATGTATCTATATTGTAAATATGTATATATGTACACCATTATAGCAAGGTTATGGTTATATAAAAGCGCAGCACTGCTGTTCATACATGACTCCATAGCTCTCCATAGAGAGAAGCTCAGAATGTAACTTATTATCAATTTATTATAATTATAATTAATACAATGCTACTGTTCCCAATATAATGATACGCCATATCTGTTAAATATCTATCTATATCAGTGATATAATTACGTGATTCAAATTGTATCTCTATTTAATTGGTATTCATTCAGTAAGCATTTTAGTTTTTTATAATTTTCCAGAGATAAGGCGATGCTTAACGTTTTTAATATATGACATCTTTATATAAAATTTTCTACTGTAGAATAACTTTTTGTTTATCTAAATAATATCTATTTTTTCAACAAAATATATCTAAATGAATTATTTTCGTGACGTTGTTAAAAACCGTAATAAACTTTATGTACTACAACAAAATTTTATTACCTTACATATTATATTAATTTTTATTTATTGTTACAGAAGCTCATATAGCTGAACATGTGTATATTTTATATATACATAATTACATACATTTAGGTGTATAATTATATTTTTATATTACAGAATTAAGTTCAAGTACGAAGAGTGCTCGCTATTGGGGAGCTATCAAGTAAAAATAAAATATAATCAAAGTTCAAAATTAAAGAAAACGAATTTAATTGTATTATGACTTAAAAGTCGTCTTTTAAGTTTCAACATAAATTATTATTGCTTTACATAAGTCAAACTGACACATTCGTTTAGAATCGCTTTAAACTCATTTCATTTTATAATTACAGATGCATTATCGTCAATTGACCTAAAGCAGCACTGTTTCCTTTATTCTGACAGTATCAGTACCTTTCTTTACTTGTCTTCTAGAGGTGATAAGCAGATATTGTGTAAATAGACAGATAAGGTGTTAATTGCTTGTTCATTACAGATATAATTCTGCAAGTGCAATTTACTAGATATATAATAAGTCTATAATAAGTATATTTAATCAGCAGTTTTAGCTACAAAGAACTATAATAAATTTCTTTAAGTATATACGGATTATAGTATACCAAAATAGATCCTTACCCATTATTTGTTTAGGTATATCTTTACAAAAAATAATTCAGTCAAAATGCACACATAATAAGCGTATTCAGATAAAATATATTTATAAAATTTGTTATAAAATTTTTAAACACAAATTCTTTTTTGTATTGATTATATTTATTCTATTGATATATTTACTCTATTGTCTATATCTATTCTACTGTTTATATCTATTCTATTGTCTATTTTTATATTTTCCAATTTTTTATGAAAATAAATATGTGTAAGAAGGATATTAATCTAGCTATATTATAAAATATCTAGTAAATACAGTGTCCCGATTCAATGGGAACTGAACTCTCTATTATTTAACTATTTTTCTTAGTGGGAGAAGATCTCTGTAGTAGCTAGAGATTGTGGTATCTTTTGATATGCATACATAATAATTATATTTTTTAATTTGCTTATTTGAATAATTTAATGTCTTAATGATAATGTCTGGGAATGTTTAAAGATTTGATAGTCCGTATACAATTTTGAACTGGAGGTCTATTTATATAACTGGCTTTGATATAATTGTTCTTATTATAGCACAGTTGGTGGAAATAAGTAACAAAAACTAACAAAACTTCAAATTTGAAGAATTAAAAAATTACTTAAATTCAAATAACATTTTTGTTAAAAATTTTTTCTTCATTATAAAATCTTTTCTTAATTTTTTTGATCTAAATCTAGTTCAAACTCTTTTGATCTAGATTTTACTTCTTATATATTTCAAAAAAATATTAAAATCTGCATAAACCGGATGTAATTGAATATTTTTTGCCCGTATCGGAAAATATTATATGATGAAAATAATATGTTTATTATATTTCACTATGTTGAATATATTTAACGTAGAGAAAAAGATCTTTATTAAATCATCTTACGTCAGATAGGTAAGAAGAAAATTTTAGAATCTCTAGTCGGGCTACGGCAACATAAGAAATGATTGTAAATTAACTTGATTTTAATGTTTACAAAATAAAAGTTAAAGAAATGAACAAAGTGTATGTCTCAATCAGAGCATCCATTAATAACAATATTTATAGCCATTTTTTCTTAAAAGCCTATCAAGGGCTTTAGAAATAATAATATAAAAAAATAAAATAAAAAAGAATTAAAATAGAGTATAATTAGAGAAGAAATTTCACATACAGTTCTGAAAAAATACATGTCATTAAAAATGTAAGACTGTCTTAAGTAAACTTCTCACATTTAGTTTGAAAGTCAAAAAAGTGTTATAATACTAAATAAGTGTGATCCTTGTAAATGCACAAAATCAGCGCGGTCTCCCAACCAAGACTTTATCAATATGTGCCTTAGATCAATTTTATTAATACGGTATGTAAAACGAATTATAATGTGGATTAGTAAAAACTGACAAACTCACCAAATATCAGAATCTAAATACAGATCAAGATGTCAATATATCAAACATATATTGTAAAAACCAAACAAATTTGCAATGAAAAAGATATTAAGAATTTAGTGATGACCATTTGGTCCATTAGAAATTCATTAATTAACAAAACTTTATTAATTGATATGATTAAAAAGCCCATAAGAGAAAAAGCAATAATAGTTTGTTTTCGTTAAGTTAAATTATGTGGCTTTTGATTATCGTGAACACATTTAAGTCATTTACTGATTCATAATAGTAGCGTTTGCGTTAAGATTTGCTTCCCTCCTGTGTTGTTGATAGGATAATCTGGACATTTTTCGCCTCGTTCTTTCAACTTCAACTAAAATCTGGAAATATTACATTTAGCCATTGGCAACGTTCCTTATGCATATAAATATTTTTTTTGTACTATACAAGAAATTTTATTTCCTATGTTAACTTTATTTTTTATGAAGGAATAATTATTAAATATATAAATATAATGAAATTGCGTTAATGTTCTTAAATAATAGTATATTTCGTGCCTTATGATTCAGTAGATTAGACATTTTTGGAATAATAAAGTTGAATATAAATGAAATTTATGCTATCGCTTTCTTTAAAAATACTGTCATCATGATAAAATAATGAATTATTTTATTAGAACTTAAGCTTTATAAAATATTAAGTTTCAAAAAAAACTAATCTAAAAATTATTTTTTATTTTTTTTTATTGTGAAATGCACATTTCTGTATACTCAAATATTTGTGGTTTCTTGTTGTTGTAATCGTGTTTTTTGTATTATGAGATAATGTTTCTATCATCTGAGTTAGAAACAGTTGCATAACGCATCCCACATAATTTAATTCTATCCATGTCCCTCCAATAAAACAGATTTAAATCCACAACTTGGTATATTCAGAAACATAAGCTGTATTGTGCGATAAAGCAAATGTGGCCACACCCAAATAAATGTAGTAAGGAATATTCAATCAAATATAATATATTTAAAAAATTGAATATTTAATGTATATTTAAAATGAAAAATACATATATTTTGTTATTTTTTGGAAATAATCTCATAGCTTTTAATAGTTTTATATCGATTACAAACACGTTCAACTTTTTCATATCTGTTTCTCTTCTACTTTTGGTTTTGTATAGATAATTATAGTACATAACACAAATGTATACAGAATAAAAATGTTTTCTTTTTCGATACAATATAGAAAAAATGTATGTGTACATATACCATAATGCATAAGATTGATTACCGGTTCGATATAATGAACCCATATATTTTATTATCACCATGAGATTGCATAATTTAATCGCTTACAATATTTCGTCAACAAAAATAAGCTAAAAACAGTCTCTTTTTTAAACTATGTTTAAATAATTAATTGCAATACTTATTAATAAGATGTCACGATATGACCCTATTATTATAAACAATAAAAAAAAATTCATTATAACTAAAATTTTCTATTCCCGGATCAAATCGGGGGTGTACCTGACTAATAAAAAAATTATTTTTAGCTCTAATTACAATGTATTTAATGTATTTCGTATTATTTATTTATGTTTCATATATATTTCAGACAAGAATGCAAAGTTTGTCACCAGCCACATCAAACTACAGTATATCTAAGACGTTTACGAATATGATCAAAAAAGAAGGCATTTTAAGGTTACTTGAAATATTTTCCATAATATTGATTTTTCCACTAACCACTACCGAACCGATTTTTTTTATATTTGTTATGAAACTGTAGGCCGATACGTGGTGTTAGTGCTGTTGTTATTGGTGCTGGTCCTGCTCATGCGTTGTATTTCGGTTCTTATGAGCTAACAAAGGAATTATTAACTAAATTTACTACCAATAATCATTTGAATTATAGTAAGTTCTCATATTGTTTGGCAAAAAATATATACATTTATATATATATATATTTATTTTTTAATTTAATAATTATAGTGCTATCGGGTGCTGCGGCAACACTGATACATGATGCTGTTTCGAATCCTATTGAAGTAGTCAAGCAACGCTTGCAAATGTATAATTCACCGTATCGATCTGTCCTGGCATGCATGCGGGACGTTTATAAAAATGAAGGTATTAAAGCATTTTACCGGTCGTATTCCACGCAACTGATTATGAATATACCATATCAAACAATACATTTTACTACGTACGAATTTTTCCAAAATATGGTACATAATTATAATAAAAAATATAAAATTGTTACTGTAATTAATGTTAAACATTTTTTGTAGCTCAATCATGAAAGAAGGTACAATGCTCCGGTACATATGGTAGCGGGAGGAGCAGCCGGTGCTTGTGCAGCTGCAATGACAACACCTTTGGATGTTGTTAAAACACTATTGAATACTCAAGAAAACGGTTATACGAAGGGCATGATGGAGGCAATTAAACAGGTAAACTTAAAATCCCATATCGAAGGTACATATCTATAAGTTTAGGTTTATTGCAAAAGTTATGTCGCAACGAATCCTTAACTTATGGTCAAAGTTATTACATCTAGTGTGACTATAGTAATTATCTAGAGTAGTTTTGAAAATAATATCAGAAATATCAAATATCATATATCATAAAAATAGGACAAAGAAAGTATAAAGTATATACCGCCTTTAGATTTATTAAAAATTATTAGTAATAATAGTAATGATTAGCTAATAAACAATATTTAGTATATTTGATTTACAAGATCCAAATAGCAGCCTGTCTCAAAGAAAACACTTGCCCGTTGTCATTAATAAGTTTCATAGCGAATATTTTTTATTTTATAACAAGTTTTGAATATCATTTTACTATAATTAATTTTAATAGAAAAAAATTATATGAATCTCTTTAACAAAATTATTTATAAAAAAAAATTTTTTTTTTTAAATAGATTTATGCAGTAGCTGGGGTCAATGGTTTTTTTAAAGGTATGGCAGCTAGAGTTCTATATTCAATGCCAGCTACAGCTATTTGCTGGTCAACATATGAATTTTTGAAATTTTATTTATGTGGAGTGAAACGAGAAGATTACAAATCGTCAATTACTGGTAAAAATATGCTGCAACCACGAGACACCTCAGCAGAGTTTGACAATGAAGGCGCATACGTTCTGCCAACAACATCAACATCAGGTTCAACTACACCTTTATCTAATGAAACTGCAAAAAATACTGAAACGACACAACAGTCAACATCTACGACATCACAGACACAAAATATTCCCACTGGATCTATAAAAACAGTATGTGAACTTACGACCAGTGTAACGTCACCTACTTTAAACCTGCATACGCGACACAGCGAAGTTAAGAGCCCCTTTGATAGAGGCTTCTCAAATTCATAATTTCAATCACCGCAACGTACAAAATTAGGAAAGACAAATTAATCAGTTAAGAGCAAATCCAACTGTTCAGTATATACAAAAATTTTATATGAAAAAGCAGTCATCGGCTATAAATACTCAATATTGTTAATTGTCCTTTAAAAGAATAGTACCGACGACAACATAGTTGTGCACAAATATATTTTTGTCTTCTCTTTAAAAATGGTATATTTTTTTTAAATAAAAATTAAAATAAAAATGCATTAATAAACATTAAGATAAATTAAAACAAAAACACACACATCTTAAAAAATAAATTGTATGAATTTGTAAAAGTGAAAGTAAAAGTAAAATTATATGTATTGTATTTATTAAATTATTAGATTTTTTTAATTGTAAACAAATTCGAAAAAATTATTATGTGTTAATTATACACAATAAAAACCTTCTGAAATGAAACAATTTGTAATTAAATTACAAGTTTTAAAAATTCGTAGTTTTGTAGTTGCTTTGTTTTTATTGTATTTTTCAATACAAACTTTCGAATTCGAAATCAAAACGTTTGTGAAAATCGGTTAAGTTTATATTAAAATTGTTATTAATATTTATATTTTATTGTAAATTGATAATTGTCTGTACACTTTTAAGCTGAAAGACATACTTATATTTTATTGTTATTATTAAAGATAAGAACTATTGTAATATATTCAAATAAAAATAAATCCTAGATATTTCTGAACTCTGTATATATATAATTATACATATATATTCTAAACATATAAAATGCTTTAATGCTGTAATTTAAAAATGTTTCAATTAACATTTAATTGGCAAAATAATTGTGTATTTTTTTTTTATAATATTTTGTTTTTAATTTCAAAAAAGAAAAACATTTTATATTAAAATATATTTGTTTTATTGTATTTATTCTAACATAAAAGCTAAATGAATTATGTACATAAAAATTAATTAAATTGAATTGATCCCTCTGCGTCTAGATTTTTGGCTTATAAGTGGCCGGGGTTTATAGAGATCTTCACTATTGTATCGCTGTTGTTGACTTAGTTTGTTTTGCGAAATATTATGTCGGTTGGTTTGTGCTATTTTAGTATTATCTGTAATGATAAGCTTTACTTGTAAACTCTGAAAAAATATATACAAGACTTAAAATAATAAATTACTAAATGTACTAATTACAATATCTCAACCAAGAAATTGAATCGTATATATTAAGAATTTTTTTACGCATGTGATTAAAAAATAAGGCCATGAATTTGAATTAAGTAAGGAAATAGACGAAAACTCGAAAAGTAATGCTTTTGAAAGCATTCCTCTAATAGATAATAATGATATCGCATAAACTGAACTATTACAAATAATAGGAAACTTTCTTGATTGTGGATATATAACAATATATTATATGTACGTACGTGCATGCATATTAATTTAATAAAAGTATAACAAATTTCCTTACCTAATTGCTTCACACTATTCTACATGAAATCATACAAATTGCAAGTTAATATAGTGGTTACGATAGTAATGATTCTTGAGTTGTTATTTACGCATAGAACAGTTTATTTGAGTATGCATATCTAAAAAAATTATGAGAAATGTAAACACTTAACAATGAAATATATAAAAATGGTTACATTATCGATAACAAGAATTGACAAAAAAAAACAAATGAAAAAAGCACTCTTTTTTAACAACAAGTAATTAATTAAAACAAATTATTTTAATAATATGGACAATAATAAATTGTTTATTTACCTATATTTTTGTCGAAACCTTCATTTTCCTTAGAATTAACACTGGTTTCAGATGGTGTCGGTGAAGCTTTTAAAATTTCAAGATTGTCCTCGCTTAATTTTAAACGCTTCTTAGATGACAACAGTTCACTTTTGATATGTAGTCTAGATTTGGCTGTATATTTTATTGGGATACAGTCAACAAGAAGTTCTATTTCTTCTTTTCTATTTAACTTGTATTGATTTTCATTTTGTTTTGTCTCATTATTTATCTCATCAATCAATAAATTTTCATTTGAACGATTATTTTGAATTTTAGCACATTCTTTAGATATTTTTGAAAAATCGAAGACTATATTATCAATTAGTCTAATACGTTCTTCAATGTCATCGACTTTGTTTTCGAAATAAAAACAATCTTCATCACATTTAGTAGCTTGTACGTTAAAGCTTGATTTGAACTGTGGCTTAGATTCTATATCTATACACGATGATGTATATTGTAATATATCATTTAAAATGACTACATTACGATATTGCTTATTATCTAAAAAGACATTCCAAAATAAGAAATTAATTACACAAATATGACAGCTCAATTATTTACCACCCAATGCGGTTTTTGCAGAATATTCTTTAGCATTTGTTGTATTTCCATTTCCTGAAATTCCTTTTTGATTGGCAACAGGATTTGACGTAGCATTAAATGTAGAACTTATTGTATGTGTTAATCTATTATTAGGATATTTGTTTTCATCTTCTGAATCTGTTGATTTCCGCCTACGAATTTTGTCTTTCGATTCATTGTGATCATCGCGCACTTTCGACTCTGTTTTACTTTTTGAACTACTGGATTCTTTATATGAATTATGACGTTTTTTATACTCTTTATGCCTATAATTTTTACTATCGTACTCAGATTTTACAGACGAGGACGATGAAAATGATGTTGAACGTTTTTTGGATCTTCTCTTACTAGATGAACTCGATATTTTTGAATATTTTGAATTGCTAGATGAGTATTTACTAGATCTATGTTTATCTCTGTCTCTACTTTGATGCCTCTTTGTGTCCTTACTTCTTTCTCTGTATTTATCTCTGCTTTTATGCCTCTTTTTGTTTTTACTGCTCTCCCTATATCTATCCCTACTTCTGCCTCTGCTCTTATCTCTACTTTTATCCCGACTTTTGTCTCTACTTTCATCTCTACTTTTTCTTTTACTTTTATCTCTACTATTGCCTCTACCTTTCTCCCTGCTTCTGTCTATACTTTTGTCTCCGCTTCTATCTCTGCTATTACCTATACTTCTTGCTTTGCTTCTGTCTCTACTTTTCGCCCTACTTCGCCCCCTACTTTTTGCCCTACTTCGATCTCTACTTTTCGCTCTTCCTCGGTCTCTACTTCTATCTCTTCTACCTCCAGATCTAGATTTTCGACGTTCCTTATCATGATAATTCCTTCTTTCTTTCTTATGACGTGAAGATGAATGTGTTGAAGACTCACGTTTATTATATGTGATCATATCGCTGCTGCTATTAGTCATTGCTGTTAATATTTTGTCGTCTGTAGTTAATTTGTGCACTGTCTTCTGCCCTTTAGTATTTCTGAATTGATCCGAGTCAATTGATGTACCAAAACTAGATTCGTGCGCAACCATGTTCAAGTTCAAATCTATTTGTAGTTTTGGAAAATGAAAGTTCGCAGTTCCAATAGTTTCCTTTTTTGATTCTAAATAGCTAGCTGTATTAGTAATATTAACACATTCAGTACGATCTTCAGCATTCTCTTTAATAGCGGTGAGCATAATTGAGTTTCGTTCCGTTCCTATAAAATAAATTAACCATAATTAAGATATATATTTCTTTATATATGTTGTAAAATATCACCTTCGAATTTAATTTCATCTTTATTAATATCAAAATGTAAATCAGAAGAAACTTGATCACCTATAACATCGCAAGAGTTTTCATTGAATTTCGGCATTTGTGCTTCTTCTGAAATATTTACCGCTTCCTTCTCAATCGACACATTTTGTAGGGAATCATTTTCATTTAGATTAGATAAATTACTATCACTTGATACTTTTGATAACTGTGAGTCTTGTGATGCTAAGGCATCAAAGGAGGCACTGACCTCTTTGTATGTGTTTAACTCTGTTGTATTTGCAGACAGCACAATGTTTTGTACCTCAGTATCAAATTTTTCCGTGCATTTATTAACGGCACTGGTACTAGCCGAGTTGATTAAGTCTTTATTTATACTAGGTCCTTGCTTTTCTTCCGTTGTATTTAATTTTGTAGTATCATCACATTTTTCCAATGGTTCAAAAGGAGGTGAATCATCTTCATCAATTACTTTTTCAGATTCGCATTCTGACACTACATCTTTGCTTTCTGATTGTGTAGTAGCCTTATCCGAATCAGGACTTACTTGTTCTAAGCCAGTTGAATGATTACTAACATCTACTTTCAAATCAGACCCATTAGGCGGCATTGGTGGCAACGGTGGTAAGGGTGCTTCTTCTTGAGGTGACGGCGGTCTGATTATATCACATATATCTGGTTTCTTTATTCCAAGAAAATTATATGCAATGTCTTCGATTTTAGGTTTATAAATTGTACAAATTTTTGGATTTACAACTTGGTCTACTATGCGCTCCACGCCAATATCTAGAAATCCCGACCTGCATAAATTAAAAATCAATATAAATTATTGCCATTGTTGTGTTACGTACTCAGTAATATGTTTTCGTAATTTTTCTCGCAATTGTATTCTATTCACATCTGGACTCCACTTTTGTCGTGAAAGAAATAACTGTACTTCATTTTCGACACGTTGGTGTAAATTTTGATATGCAGGCTTTGTATCAACATCCGCCATAGAATCCCTACGGAACTCGTCAAATATTCCTTGGCTTTTCACTTCCTGGACAATATTATCAACAAAATTTGGATCCATATGTGAACTGCTATTCATCTTTTTTTCTTTGTTTTTACCAAGGCACAATTCTTATAAAAAATATATTTAAAGAATACAATTTGGTATTTTAATAGTGTTTTTTAATACATTTTTTTTTAAAACGTCAAAATAAGGGTTGCCATATATACTATAAAAAATGATTATTAAAAAGTAGTATATTATTGAGATCATTAAGTTGTGACTTATACAGGATGTTAATTTGCATATGGCATATTACATATACAAATGTAAGCATAAAATAAATTTAAAAGAAGCTATGAGATATATTTTTATGAACTATTGATTTTAGTTTGATAAAGAACACTATAATTAACTATTAGATTTTTATTTACTCGGTTCTAACACAATTGGTTGTAAAATATCAGCAGATATTCTCCAATATCAATTCGTTCACGAAAATAATAAATTATTTTCAATCATTTATAGTTTCAATTAATTAATATTACTTATATTTCTTATATTATATTATTCTTTCTTATATTAAAGTAAATATAATTTAAAATTTTTTGAACTGTGTGATTGAAAATAAGTAAGTGAAGAAAATGTCACACATTATAATAAGTCTGTTCCACGAGCTATTCGTAGTAAAACACAAGTAAAGTACAAACTGAGAGCGTAACACAAATAAAGAGCCAAATTACACTCTTTACACAGATTTTCATGGAACAGCTTTGTGTAAAGTCTGATGAGAACACTAGTGCCGCGCAAATAAACAATAGGTCTGTTCCACGAGCTACTCGTAGTAAAACTCAAGTAAAATTTACACGAAAATTTGCTGATGGAACGCACTTGTGTATACACAGTGTTACTCAAAAGAGCTACGAGAAGGTCGTGCAACAGAGCTATTGAAAAACTATTAAAAATGATATTTTAATAGATTATTATATCAACTAAAAACACAATTTCTTAAAAATATTTGTTTGAATCATTGAACCTCATTTATCCATTCTTCATTTTTCGCGTGACGAAACGCGAGTTTGTGTCTAAAGCACTTTTACTGTTGTTATTGTTGTTGCAACATGCAATTAACTAAAAGCAGATAAAATTAAAGTTTTTACAAGACCTATAGGATGGGTAAGAATGTGGATGGGTGATGGTTAAGGGTAGAGGAGAAGGGAATAAGTTAGAAGCGGTGGATTGTGGATGGGTGTCATTTAAATTGGAATCCACCCGGATCCAAACGGAGGAACCTGGCAACTTCAAGGGGGTGGGCTCAAAGGTCCCAAAGGTACGGGGTTTGAACTGTTCAGCACTTGACTATATTCTGATCTCACTTTAGCTAGAACAGTTCTTGCTGCACAGGGGAGACGTCGTTTGTCCTAAAGGATGTTAGGTAGAGGCCTGTTGAGAACCTTGTTGTTCAACCTTCTGTGATAAGAAGAAAAGGATCAACGAATGTACCTTGGAGGGAGAGCTCTACTGAGCTTGGCGCCATTAGGATGTTCATCCGTGTGGCAAGCAAGTGGGTATTGTTCGGTCGACTTTGGTTAAGGTAATTAGAAATTTGAGATCTGATCTCTCAAAGGGTGGAGGACGTACTATTACGTTTATGAAATCCTTGATAATGAGCAGCTAGGTGAATACGTGGTGATATCGGTTTTAAGATTACAGACTCCCGCCTTTGGCTACTGGAGACAGAAAAGATATCGACCTATACGATTCACCTAGGCCAGCCAGTTTGCCCTGCATCAACATAGGGATCAACCTATCAGTCTTCCATATATTCTGGATGATGCGTGAACTGATGGAAAAGTTGTCGAAATGTGTCGAAACTGAAAGGGCAATACTCCCGAGGTGTTTGAACATGAGCATCGAGATGCCATTAGGTCCAAGGGCTTTCGAGGCATTAACTTATCCGATCACATTAGGCAAATCATCAGGAGAGAACAGCGTGGTGTCGTCGGAGTGTCCGCTTCCGGAAAGCGTGTTTCTGTGGAGGCAGGGGAGGCAGAAGCATTGGACACAAAAAGATTGCAAAATTGATGAACACAATGCTTGAGATCTGACAAAGTGACCCAATTAAATATTATCGCCTTGTTGTTGGATCTATAAGGATTGGATAACGCTTTAATGGTCTTCCATAATTTGCCATTGGTGTTCAGATAGGCAACCAATCAAACTTAAGGCTCGATATTGACAAATGCTCACTGGTTTAGTAGACAGTAAATACCTTATAAAACCTAGTAGGTAGGACTTCATCAATAAAGCTTACCACAAGTGGTCTAACTGGAAAGGTTCTCGCTGTATAAAGCTCTTTTTCTCTAACTACTCAAAAAAGAAGGGCAAAAATCTCCTAAACCTGAACAGATCAAATTTATATACAATGATTGAAGTGATAATGGGTCAAACAAGTATAACAAGTATGGCTCAAAATAAGTATAAGGTGCGGTTAGGACTTCCGGAAACCGATGAATGCAGACTGTGTTTCCATACATATTCATAGTAAATGTCATTCTTTTATACAATCGGGAGATTTTCTCAAAAATAATTGATCCACGAATAAGAGTGGTGACGCATTGATCTGCGTAAAAATTAATACTTTATTGTCTTAATTGTCTTATTGATACAGCTGAAATAAAAAAATGCATCAGTAATTATAGACAGAGCGGGATATCATAGTGAATTAATAGACGCAATGTTATGAACAACTAATGTTTGAGCATACCAAATACAATACAATACACTTACTATTAGTAAGCATCTAGTATCTATTATACTAATTGTAGACAATACATTTCTAAAGGCGCTCTATATAATGTACATTCTTAATTAATAGAAAAAACTTTGAAATTATTGTTGCAGGTTTATTTTTGGTTTTTATGTTTGATTTATGTATTAATTTTTCCATACGTTCAAACAATTTTAATGTTTCCTTCGATTAAATTAAAATTAATCTAATTATTTACAATAATATTAATTATAAATTCCATTATTAATGAATATATATACGAGTATATACATTTGTAATATATGAAGGATATTGCTTAATATTTATATATATGTACCTTTAAATTCCCTTAACACTTTTCCGTTCAAATAATTAAATACTTTTAGGTGTACCATATTAATTATATAATATAATTAATAATTATATGTTTGATTCTACAAGTATACAATTCATAAGCAATAGTTTCTGCAATTGAATTCATAATTATAAATTAGACCTTATATAATAACATTATATTATATATATAAATAAAAAAGTAACTAAAATAATAGAAATATATAATAGAAAAATCTATTTAATAATGAATATGCTAAAATGTGAAAAAAAAACTTGCGAGCTTTACTATATTTACATATATCTAAACTTTAGTAATTATATCTAATATAATACATACTTAAAAATTTAGGATTTTCTTTTAATGCCTATGATACATAATGTAAAAAAGATCACAATCCACGCTGTCATCACAATAAATCCATTGTATACCTGACCATGAGTAATAGACCACCCTTTTTCTATTATATTTCGAGCTGATATTGAAGGTATCGTAAACGGGAAGAACATAACAATTTCTTGTAAAGACTTAGGCATTCCTTCCAGTGGCCATAGAAGACCTTAGTTTTATAAAAAAAAATTGATTTAATAATAATTAAATAATTGCTATGACTTACCGCAAAGAATAATCATGGGATAAAATGCGCCAGTAGCAACGAAATTTGCTTCCGTGTGTGATTTACAATAAACGGAAATAAGTAAACCTTTAACAATTCAAATACAAAACATAATACATTTATAAAATTTTAAATATTTTAAATATTTGCTTATACCGAAAAGCATTCCGCAGAAAGCAGTTAATGTTAGCAAAAACACCAATGTTGTTGAATCCCCTTTGTTGTAGGTGTCGAACACAATACCAATATACATGATAACTTCAAATGACTGGAATGCCATTATTATTATTTGCGTCAGCAAATGCGCCCATAACATTTCCGTGGCAGATACTCCTGCAACTAATGTACGATCCCACACACCGTCCATACGTTCGGATATAAAAACTGCAGCAGTCATAAGAGTTGCCAAGAAAAATACCATACTAAGGAAAAAGAAAATAAACCAGAGGCCACATGTATATTAAGTAATTAGTTGCTTACGTCATAACAACACCTGGCGCAACGTACTGCTGAAACTCAATGTCAAAGGAACCGTAAACAGGTTCTTGAAATTGTACGGGTATATTAGCTAAAGATGTTGGTAAATCGCAATCTGCCAAAACGTTTTTCATGAAGGAATCGAATTTATCACGTAGTTTCCGCTCAACAAAAAATGCGATTTGTTGGTCTATATGATAATAAGTTTAACGAAATGAAGTATATTTAAAATAACCTAAACCGATAAACTGTGTGAACTATATTTACCTGTCATATCAATATGGACCGACAATTCTGCGTTAACAAAAGCGCTATCATCTGCAAATCTGCCATCTTCAAGTACGGATTTTATCGATTCTGAAAAGTTATGTGGAAAGTGTATGTAACCAACCACATCTGTTCTTTTTGCTGCACTATGGGCATCCGCTACAGAGTTAAAGTAAACCTTGAAAACGCATTAATACGTAATTGACATTAAGAACAAATTATTTTTAATTTTTATTTAATATAATTTTTACCCTCTCTGCGATACCATCGCCCAACTCAGTTATATATCGACACGAAATCTTGTTAAACTCGCAAGTATTATTATAATTATAAACTGTTGTTAAATTCTTACTAAAACACTTTGTATAATCGTTGATTTCATTAGTCACAATTCCTAGTTTGAGATTAGTTGGAGTTTTACCAATAGCCAAGTAAAAACAAGTTAATTGAATTAATGGAAACATCAGCATAAAAATGATGCCACTATATTAAATGAGAAACAAATTGTAATCAAATCATTGTAGTCATTAAATCACAGCAATAATTGAATTAAAGTATTAATAATTGAAAATAAGAATGAGTTAATTTGTTCGCTTAAAAAGATCTACCATACCTGGGTTGTCGAAAGAGTTGTACAAAATTTTTTGTCATTAAAGCTTTTACACGTCCTCTAGTTGAAAACCATATCTTCTTCCGGTTCTCCATCTCATGTTCCAAGTATTCTGTTTTATTATCATTTTCGTCGACAAACTTAAGGGAAGGCTTCTCTAATGGTACTCTATTCGTTTCTGTATCAATTACTTCTACAGAGCTCATGACTGTAGACGTTCCAGTTGCTTTATTTCCGTCATTTGCAACAATGACATCGGAGTCACCTTGCTTCTGACTTAAAATTAAAAATGCATCCTCGATGGAATTACATTCGAACTTCTGCATTATTGCTATTGGAGTATCTTCAGCGAGTAAAACACCATTTCGCATTAGCCCAATCTGTATATTAAAAATGAATGCATAAAATACTCGTAGACAGTGTATTTGAATCATTTAAACTTACGCAATTTGCTTGCTTTGCCTCTTCAATATAATGTGTTGTTATTATCACAGCCATTTTGCTATTTCTTGTGGAATCGACAAGAAAATCCCAAATTCTATAGAAAAATTAATGATCACTTAATAATATTTTGGAGAGTACAATGAATACAATATATATATCAAATTATATATGTTGTATATAATTTGATGTTTTTATAATTTCGTCTCATACTCTTTGTAATATCTATTAATGCCAATATCAGTAGAAACAACTCTATCTCTACTTAGGTTATTATATAGACACGACAAAAACATGCACTTAACGGGTATATATTGTAAGCGTCGACCATATTTGTTAGATATAAACCCATTTTAAAATTAAAAATTACTGCTTAAAAAAAACTTTCTATTACAAAAAATAATTTCTATTAAAAAAACAGTTTCTTTCGTCATAAAGGACTTTAAAAATCAAATTTTATGGACACCTATTATTTTGTGACTTGCTTGTACTGATTTATCAAGATTTCTGAACTTCAATGTAATATAGATTCCATCTGCCTCTCTCTTATACGAATTTCAATCTAAATTTCCAAATATGTACTGCAATATTCCAATTTCTAATAATTATTTTCTAAACTTTTTTATACGCTCTTGTATTGTTATTGTATTGTCTATTGGTTTCCTGCTTTCTAGGTTTCTAAAGCATTAAAATAATCTTAAGTTAAACTTCAATAACAATATCACACTGTAAAATAAATTATTAACGGAATAGGTTTGATGATTTAGGATTAATAAATTAGCATATTAATGCTAATACGATATTAGTAGAATTATTTTTACTGCAATTTGTACCTATCTACAAACTTACATTATTTCAATTTTCTATAATACATCTAAAGAACAATAGAAAATTTTTTTCATATTTACTTTTCACGCAGCATAGGATCCAAACCTACAGTCGGTTCATCTAGGATCAATAGTTCAGGGTCATGTATCATAGCGCAGGCAAAAGACACACGACGTTGTTGACCACCACTGCATTTCTTTACCAATTGTTTTGGAGGTGGTAATTGTAGGAGATCTCGAAGTAATTTAAATTTTTCTTTTATTTTTTCTTCTGTTAGACCATAAATACGGCCAAAATAATAAATAGTTTCTGTAACTGTCATTTCTTCAACCAAAGCAATTTCCTAAAAAATAAAAGTTAATTAGTTTATATATGATATATATTCTTTATGAATGAATTAATCAGTATATAAGTTTAGAAAAAATATATATTTTTTAATAATCGTACTTTGATATAAAAGATGATTCTATAACGTATAGGGTCGTCAGTTAATATTTTATTTTTATCAAGTTATGTTTTATGCTCCAAAGCATAAATTCTTTAATTTACATTATTTAAATTATTTATAATTTTTAAATTTAAATGAATTTAATTTAAATTATACTACATATATGTTTGTGTAATATTACTGCTCGTATTAAAAACGATTCAGTTTCTGTTTTCATTTCTCCTCAACTTCAGGATAATTGCATTGCAGCAATAAATTTATATTTATATATATATATATTATATATATTTATTCTCTAAATAAAAGGCATTTTTTCACATAGTGATTTTACAAAGATTTTGTTCTTTGGAAAATATGATAGTATATAGTATAAAGTATATATAAAAGAAAAATTATGGTACTTATACATATTTCTACATATAATAGAAGAATAATTATAGGGTATACAGTATACATAGAAGAAAAATTATGGTACTTATACATACTTCTACATATAATAAAGGAATAATTATTTTAGTGACTATATATAACTAACTTGTGGCATGTATCCAATACGTGAACCGGGTATATCTCCAGGTTGCGTATCTAGTACACGTATGTTTCCACTATTCAATTGTCTTTGTCCGACGATGCAAGAGAGCAGTGTTGTTTTTCCGCAACCTGAAGCACCCAACAATCCATATCTGCAATGATAAGGAAATAAATATGTATTATAAATATAATGTATTCCACGCACATCTCAAATTCCAACACAAATTGTTAATATAAATAATTGTATTCTACTCACATAGAACCACGCATCACATTCATATTTAAATAATTGAGAATTATTTTTGGATTTGATTTGCTACCATAATATTTGTAGCCCTCCCGCACTTCGACCGCTGCCATTTTGTACGCAGGTTGCTTTTACTGGCACCGCTTCTGATTAATATGTGGGGTTGTGTATGTGTCAATAAGTCTTCAAACTGGCTTAAGAATAGCAACATACGATTTTAAAATTATAGAAATGTTGACTATCTATAAAAAGGGAAAAATTTTAATCAATTTTATTTATATGTATACATTTATATTAAAATTAATTTGATTTTCATATTGAATTCGACAATTCATAAATTGCTCAATAAAAGTATAATAAATATATATCTTTTTAGAATAAAAGAGGTAAACAAAGTGTTTAGTAGAAAAATATGGCATGTGAACATTATTTTATTACGTAAAACGGCAGACACGAGCCGTAAATTTATATTATTAAAAATATTAACAAAAAATATATACAACAGTATTAACATACATATGCAATATTTATATGTATGTAAATATATATATCTTATATCAAGCATACCAAAAGGTTAAGATACCTGTTTATCGATATTATTAACAAGAATTTGTGCAGCAATCATGAATATGGTTAGTGAATACAAAGAATCTTTACCAAATGTATTTTAAGTAAAATCAGAAACTTAGTTTTGTTGCACAATTTCAACAGTCGAACTATAATTTTGCTTGCCAATCGCTAAAAAGCTATGTTTCCGCTTACCGTTACCAATTTGAAAATTGATTATTCTGAATGCATGCAGGCTTACCACCTTTTGGTAAGTTTGGCTAGAATCAAACGATTTTATTCATTTCGCACGAGATGCGGCAACACAGTTTCTTACAGTTTTGGGTGCCATATTCATGTGATGCAATTCTGTTGAAGGTTAATTAATGTTCAAATTACAAAACATTTAAATACGAATATACTAAATTTCTAGACAAGACAAATGGAACTCATTTAACCATTAACCATTAACCATAAACCTCGAGAGCGAGTGCGAGTCGCAAACTATTTTCGGTTTATTAGTTTGTTTGTTTGTATATGCAGTTTTTGCAATAAGATATTTAATAAAACATATAAATATCTGTATTTAAATTTTTTCAAGCTTTGAAATAAAAAATTAACACAAACTCAATTGCATATAAGCTATGAGCAATAACTAAATGCTTATGCTCATGCCGATATGTAACTGACTGTAAACTTTAAAATTTGACGAAATGCCGAAATAACGCTTAAAACGTTTAAAAAAACTAATATAAAATAAATACAAAAAGACGAAAAGACGAAACGCAATCCAAGGTTACCAACAGGTTCGAAGTTGGTATGGTTTGTTAACTGTGTAACTGGGATTTTATATTTGCCAACAGATATAGCCAACAGATATATGAAAAATACGAGTAAATTAAAACAAAATATGTGCAACTTTTTGAGAGTGAACCTAACAACAACAATTGATGAGCAATCGCTATAACAATAAATACCTACCATAGCAAAAACAACAAAAACAACAAAATTTACATTTAAAATATTGTACAAGGTAATGTAACTTAACAATATTTATTTTGGCGGTGTCAACACTTTTAAACTTTATTTTAAAAATTAAATGCCTTTACTAATATAAAGGCAAAAAAATTAAAAATACGTAAATGAATTTTATATTTATTTTCTAGAATCATCTCACATCCCATTCAAAACGTTTTATATTATAAACTTTCATACAAAATAAATAACTTTTTCACCTGAACAGCCGCACAAATATATTAACTCATTAACATCATCATTATTTCACTGAAAAGTTGTTCAGCTCAATAAGAATAAAAAGATTAAAATCAATAAACATTACTTTTCCTAACTTATTTGAGATTTGTGTTAACATCACATTGCACTATAATCATTATTTTGTACATTTTTAGAGTCAACAAAAATATATAATAAAAAACAAATACTAAAATACTGAAATAATGAAATGATTAATCAAATTCAAACAAAGTTTACATAATCACAATTACGTCGTAATTACGTTGAAATGTCATAAAATTTTTTAGCAATAATTCAATTAATTATTATTATAAAACCAAAAAATTAGTTAATATTATAGCCAGTAACAATTCTTCTGTTAGCATTTCGCTTTAATATTCCTCTTTAATAGAATTGAAAGAAAATTAAATTTAATAATAGTTTATTAAAATCGAATACACACATCCAAGACAAAAATATTTATATGTACTGCACCCGAGTATATAGGATTACCAATATTATATTATATATACATATAAATTAGCACAGAATTATTTGTTTTGAGTAAAGAAAAGAGTGTAGAAATAAATCAAGTGCTTCACCATGATAATTCTTCAAAGACTATAATGACCCATGAAAATTTTGTAGTCACCAATGGTACTCACCATTCCTAATAAAGTTTTATTTCTTTTCATTAAAAGCTAACCAAATAGATTTTTTTCAAAGATAAAACTATACGGATTACAACAGTACAAAATTATTGGCTACTAATATATAAACTTGAATTTTAAAAATCAGTGGCCATATGAAATTAAAAAAAAATGAATAAAGTAAATATAATATTATTATATTACAATAATATATTATGTTAAATATTATAATAAATATATTATTTACTCATACATTTATACAATTCATTGCTCTAATGCCATCGATTTATGCAATAAGACTAGATTCAAAATCGATAATTAAATGAATAATTCATCATTAAAACATTTTATAAGAAATTGTAACAACAGTTGCGATAAGAGTATCTTTTGTATTTCATAATTTAAATAAAATTCATCGGTCCGGCACATGCAATGCGCCGCCTTAACATTTTAGGGGCTTTATTTTTTGTGGATCTGGACGAACGTCCAGATCTCCCCTTAAGTAACATCATAAGCTTTGCAAAAGGTTTTAGATGGTTTTAACCCTTGGGTTTTTAATAATACGGTAGCACAATGCTTCAATTTTTAATAACAAAAATTAATGAGACAATACAGTTACAGGCATAAGTTAGAACTATAATAGTTTAGCGCTTTGAACTAAAATATATCCCTACTCCCAATAACTGAAGACTACTGGAAAATTAACATTATAAATCGATGTAAGTTTTAATGAATACGTAATTCTTATTACAATAAACCAATTTGATTACCCTAATTAGTCTACTCACACAAAAGTATTATTTATTTATTGAAAATTTTAATTAAAAGCATAATAATGGTACATTAAAGTAAGATAAAGTTAAACACCAGCTAAACTAAATAAATTATTGAAAACTGTTTACTATCCAATAGCATTTAACTAAAGGTGTTTTAATGCACTATTTAATATTGTACAATTTCATCCATAATAATTAAGACCTACATTAACAAAATAGGAGATAATAGTTGTAACAAAGCATGCGCTGGGCAGTAACAAAGCAGATGAGACATGAGATTCCTGTTCACAAAGCGACAAGAATAATTAAAAGGGAAATTTAATGTTCTAGCATAATTACATAATCGGCAGTAACCCATCAACAATTCTACCTAAATCTAGACTTTACTTATAATCTTTACTTACTTCAAATTTACTTCAAATTAAAGACACCTAATATTTTAATAACGTATGATGAACCATTTAAATGTACCCAATTTACAATTTTATATTAATATTAAAAACTTCTTAAGTATTCTAAACAAACTGAAACTATTTGTACAATTAAACAATTATTACAGTTAGCCTAAGATATATTAACATGACTTAAATCTGTAACTAAATTTTAAACTAAAAGTGACAGCGCAAAAACTGGAACAATATAAAATGTGTGATAACTTGATGAGAATATAAAAAGACACAGTTGTTATTGTAACATATGCCACTTCAGGCTTCATGTAAATGGTAGAACCCTTTCAAATATAATAACAGGTTCTAAGTCATTAATAAGTGGACCTGGAACTTAGACCTTACTTTCATAGAACAATGAGAGGATGGTTTATTTGTTGGTTCACACTAGTCACAGTCTGTCTCACAAGATGACTAGGCTTACTAAGGCACTTTATGTGTATCCATTTTATCATTGTAATGAAAAGGGCAATTTCTTTAATTCCTACATTAGCATATCAAAAAGCATTTAATGAAAGGATATTCTGAAGTAGATGATGGATAGATGTATCCTAAATTGCATAAACGCCTACTGGTGAGTGCTGGACAGTGAACGAATAGAAAACTAAATTTTTTTTTTTGAACCTATGAGCCACAGCTATGAAAGACACTCCTAGTTGGTTAACATGGGTGAGTTAGGGTTGAGCAAAATGTATATGTATATATTCTAAAAATTGACCACTTTTATGTGTACATTGATTATGTAAAGTAGTATTTTCGTAAGGACTGAACTCTTTCTCTCGAGAGAACCACACAGTGATATAGTAAATATTCAATTGCTTCCATCATAACCTCACCCTGACAGAGATGTATATGTAATGTAATCTATATAAATGTTGTAACTTGAAAAAATATTTTATAGCATTTTGTCAGTAATAAGAAATTTTTTAAATATTAATTTATTTATATTTTCTTATTTTTCGATAGAAAATAAAACGGCAACGAAATTTATCATTTATCATTTATCAGTTAACATAATTAAAATATTACAAAAAAATTTAAATATGCAAAATATTATTTGAAATGTTCATCATTAACATAATTCGTATGAGAAACCAATATAACAAAAATGAATTACGATAACAAAAACAAATCAATTTAACGAAAAAAAAACAACTCTTGGATTATATAATGGAAATAAGTGGCATAAACATGACTCCTCAATGGTAAACAAGTTACAACAGCTGAGTGGCACCATCACCATCACCACACCAACACTAACGCCAACAACTAGAAAGCAACAGAAAATGCGGCAAAAAGAGCGTCCGCACACAATCACCTTCTTCTGATCGTACTAAATACCCACTTTACTTCTTAACTGCAGCCTTTAAAAAAACGAAACGCTCAGCTCTCAAATGCACTCATGGCATTCAGCATCGCATAACTGGACTCTGGTACAAGTGGGCAAGCAGAATATGACTTAACATTGAGTTTGTAAGTTGCAAGTTGCATGCTACACAAACACTGCTATCAGTCCCCGTCCCCATACACTGCTGTGTAAACTGTAAACTATAAACTGTAAACTATAAACAGTAAACAGTGCCCCTATTAAGCTCCACTCTGGTTCAGAAAATTTTTCAATGACATCGTTACTCAAAGTCTTTTTTTATACATATTTCCTTTTTAAGTGTGTTACCCTTTTTTTTTTGTTGTAATACATTTTTACACACTTTTCGGGTTTACTGATTGCACTATGATTTTTATTCATTAACATAAATGCTTTTTAACACAATTTTAAATACACATTTTTACCTTCATTTTAAAACACATTTTGTAATAGAAGATTTTGAAGATTTGTGTTTGATATTTTTTATTGTTTTAAACATTTTGTATTTTGTATGTGTTTGCTTTAATTTCTGCATATAAAAGCGTATATGTGTTTGTGCTGTTTAGGCAATCATCGACGCGACCATAGCATAGCGCATTTCTTTCCCTGTACATATTTTGTCATATTTTTTTTTTGCTATATTGTATATTATTTGCTTAAGTTTGTGCTTTAAGTCTTCTGTTTCACAGCACCAGTACTACTAATGCGTTTAAACCGATAGTATATTTTTTATTTTTTAATTATTTACTACCGACGTTTTTAATTTCAAACATCAAGAAAAACAAATAACCAAAAAAAAAAATAAAACAAAAAAATCACTTAAATTATTATACATATTTCATACCGTAAAACCAGATGATTTTGCAATTCCTTAACTTCCCAACACAATTTGGCTGCGACTCCGCACCGTACTACTACCAAGTGACGCGTTTGAGCTACCTTTTGATACTGAGCGAAACGCAAACTCTATTGAAATTGTTTTGCTAAAAAGTTACAAGTTAAGTTAAGTACGTCACACTCAACAGCGATATTATTTATATATACATTAATAGTTTATTTTTACTCGCACATTACATTTAAACTCGTATATGTAACTAGATACGAAAAGATTTAGCTTTATAAAGCACCACAAGCACTGTGCTAATATTATCAACAACAATAGCAACAATAGCAACAATAGCAACATTAACAACAACAGCAACAACATTACTTGAAAAAAATATGCGACAAAAAATACTAACAGTGGAGATCGACAGTAATGAGATTTACTAGTGCAATAACATATAGCGATTTATTCAGTACTCATACAGTATTAAATAGTAAATTCTCTTAATGTACAACGTGAATTAACAAGTCGATTCTTATGAATTATTAAATGTTTATATTATTTGCATTTACTTACTAATATCTAAAAACTCAGTGAGACATTTTATAGTGACTACAATTAATACATTTTATTAAAATATCTATTTTTTTCTTTTTAGTTTTTTTGAATCGAAAAATTGTACTGAAAGTCCAACATAAGTTTTGAAAAATAAACAATCTGCAAAAATGCAGATTGCATTGCTGCAGTAAGAATAAAATACGTTCCAGTGTACAGAAAAAGAAGGACTTCTGTATTTGTACTAGAAGAAGACATTACGTAATAGGAACCCATGCAAAAATCGGATAGCTTGAGACTTTTGTCAAAGTTACGAGGAGAAAAATGAGAGAGAGGAGAAAAATGTGCTATATACCTATATGTATATATTCAATTTAGGAAGGTGTACTATGAATAAATATATATATTTATATTTGGCTAAATTCATTAACAAATCATGTCGATTAAAATATGAAATAGGGAAGTAGATTCTACTGTAAACGATAAAATTGATCAGTAAATATTCGTAGCAAACAAAATTAAAAATATACTAAACATTTTCCCAGTAGTAACATAACATATGGCTGCGAGATATGGAGATTAACTGAAATGGAAGCAAGCAAGATAGCAGTGTTTCAAAAGGAAAATACTCAGAAAAATGTTTGGCCCCGTAAAAGAAAAGGGGATACAACCACGAGCTAGAACGGCTAGCTGAAGGTGATACAATCAATAAATTTATGAAAAAGCACTGGTTAAGATGAGTTGGACATGTGATAAGAATGCCGGATATGAGAGTACCGGTTAACATTTATGAGAACGCAATAGGAACCAGCAGAAGAAGGGGGCGGCGAAGAAAACAATGGAACGACAGTGTGCAGCAGGACTTACAAGAAATGAATATAAGAAATTGAAAAATAAAAGCAAAAAACAGAGAAGAATGGGCTGTATACTCTCGGATGATGATGCAATATTCGTAATGTGTCGACGATAATCGAAACCGTATAAACTGATTTAACTTTACTAAAGTACTTTGTAAAGTTAATTACAAAAAACATAAAAATAAAAATAAGTGTCATAATATCTAATTCTAACAGTAGACCGTTTGATTCAATACATAAAAATACACATAATGACTCAAACTTAATAATCACTTGAAATCAAATACTTGAAACAAAAAACAATTTAAAAACAATCCACACAGAAAAGTAATGTAACAGTTAAAAATGTTCTTTCTCCTTGCTATTTACTATCCACGTCAAACCAAGATTGTTGTTTCCGATTTAGATAAACTATGAATAGCGAATCAAACGAATAGATTTCGAATAGTAAATAAATGAATATTTTATTATTTTTAGCGAGTCTAATACCTAAAGTTATAGAAACAATAGTTGGTAAAAAGTCATTTATAGAGCTGATTTCCACTAAACATATAACTTTATAATACCAACAGAAGTAATGATTAAAAATAGAATAAAAAAAAATGGAAATAGAAAAAATAAAAGATATTAATTAAAACGCATTCCATATTAATGCGTTTTAATGATAAAAATGTGTTCATGTTAAATGTAAAGGGGTGATTCCCAATGATTGCAAACGTACGATTTATTACTATAAAATGCGATTCTAACAAATCGCAATATGATAGGGCTAGGTTGGAATTATTTAATGATTTCTAACTTAATTCAGCAACTTAAGTTTATACAAATTCAAAAATAATGATATGATGATGACTGATGAGTTCTAGAGTTCTGTACTATGAAGAAATATATTTGTCTGTTACAATTACAGATAGAAACAGAAGAATTTTAGTGTCGTTTGTTCATACAAGCGGTACAGCCTCTTTGTACATTCCAACGGCTATAAACAATTAAGAATAATTTATTCTTCAATAAAAAATTTTGCACACGTGTAAGCGAAACTGAATTTATAAAAGAACTCGTGAGTTGCCTATTACAGCAGTCCGAGCGGAGAGTATCTCTTACCATTCTACAAGTGTGCGAATAAACAGATTTTTTATGTATAAAAAAAAACATATATTGTATGTGTATTAATGGGGAATATAGATATTAAACCAAAAATAATGAGAAGAAGAAAAGTATGTAATTCTGTAGTATTTTTATTTATTATTATTTAAACAGATTAGCTTAGGACTCTGGAGGCTTTTTATTTTAAAAATCAAATCAGTTCATCTGTCAAGTGATTTGATGTAAGACAATAATAAGGATTTATTTTTATGAATCTGAACAAAGAATATAAATTAGATAAATGTTATTTAAATTAATTACTAAATTCCATCTTTCCATTATTTATCTAATGCATTATTTTAATACTGTACGAGATAAATTTAATAATTTAGCTAACCTTTATAAATTCATTTTTCTTTTTAGAATTAAAGGTGTTGATTCTACAAACTTTATATACCAGAATTAAGTGGGTACAAAGTTTCTCTCATGTTTTTGCTTTTTTACAATTATTAAAATTTTTCTTTCCTATTATACAAAAATCTAAAAGGTTAAAAGTCTTACTTAAGTCAAAGAATCATTATTAATATGTCATAAAGTCTTATTTTTCAACACATAAATGTTATTGTAGTAGTTTCGAGTTCCTCATGAATATATGTGATTATATACTTTTATAAGTCATAATATATATATCTTGAAGTCGATTAATATTATATAATTAATAATATAATATAATTAATTAATGCAAATAAATAATAATATAATATAAGTAATTAATCATATAATTAATAATATAATATATTAATTATTTAATATTATATGTAGAATAATTTTATTAAATGTACATTTATATGATTTTAAAAAGTTAATGTGAAGTGTTTTCACAAATGTTAAAAATATATAAATGACAAATATAACAAATATAAAAATATACAATTTTTATGGATGAAAGTCAAGTATCAAGATGAAATTCATAACACCTACATAACTAAATCGAGGCCCTATGCTCCACTGGGAGTTAACGGAATAAAGAAGAAGACATAACTAAATAACACTCAACTTATGCCTTAAAATGTTAATCCACCTATTTGAGCGGAGACTTCTTTGGGATTGCACCAACTACAAATGGAAGCCTGACGGTAAGTACTTCCAATCTTTATGACAATTTATGTTCTTTATGACAATGCCAAAATCACTCGTATTGCCGATTACCTTTTGATACTCGCCCGTAGGCACCTCACCCGGCTCCACAAAGTCCAACATGATGTCTCCATCCCCAATACTCTCCCTGAAGACTTCATTCAAGCCTTGCGCTACAAGTCCCCCAATACTTGTCCCACTACTTCAAAGAGTGTAACCGTAATCTTCAAACCATTTCCCTTTATAGTCGCGGCTTTCGTGACCCTAGTTCCAAAGTTTATTGCTAGTCTCTCTAGCTCGTATGCGCTTTAACCCCACCCCCTTCACCTTTACCCTAATTTACGCCCCAGCTTTCTGGCTTAGATGAACCTAGCTTGCTATGTAATTAAGCCTATATGTTCACATCTCGCTCCCCTGATTACTGGAATGAAGTGTCCATAAAGCTGTGGAAATCTTCTCATTTCATTTCTAAGAGATGGTTTTAGTGGGTTAAAGTCTCACACTGTGGCTTTCGATAACTTCCACCTACTGCAAAAAAAAGGCCTTAAAATCAAATAAAATTTGACAACTTAGGCAGTAGCATTTTATATGTATGTATATCGAGGTTGTATTATATAACAAACTTAAAAAGTGACAAACAAGAATATAATGAACTATTCTAAATTTACTTATATTATATATATTTTTTAATAATATATTTTTATAGTACATATGTATTTTTTTTATTTTGTTGTAAAGTATGTACTTAGTAATATTAAATCTATTTTTTTGAGTTTATCTGATAAGCTTGCAATGCATTCTCTATACATTTAATTAAATTGCACATTTCATATAAACTCTTCATTTAAACTTTAATTTAAATATACTTCTTTATTTTAAATATTTTTGAAAGATGGACTTTCAACCTAAGCCTATATTTGAGTAATTATTTAAATAAATTTATTTTCAGCTAGTCTTAAAATTATTTTTTAATGTAGATGACAACAAAACATTAAAAAATTATTAAAAAAATTCTTGAATTTTGTAAAAAATGTGAAAAACTAGGCAATAATAAAAAATATATTAAAGTAGACTTACATACAATATGTTATGTAAGCGCCAAAAGTTGATCGTTCGATGACCAATTTATTTGTATTTTAATTTTCATTTAACTTTATTCAAGGTCAACTTTCTTTTGCAGCAACGACCTTGCTATAAATCGACAACATATCAAGAAAAAAAAACACAACACAACAACAATTCATTTATAAGACATTGTGTATTGTTCAATAGTTTGAACCATTTCGGCTTTGTGGATTAGTTAACCAGTAAATGGCTGCATTATATGCTGGACAACTGTTAATTTAACAATTGTTAATAATTGAATAATTGTTAAATTAAAATTTTTAAACAATTATGTGGTACCAATTTCTTCTAAATTTCAGTATATGCCACTATATACCACTTTTCAAACTATCGATATTTAAAAAGAACAAGATAAAATTAAAAGCTATCATATATCAATAAGAATGACTTTATTTAGTTTTATCTATAATGCCATACATCTATATATATATATCTATTCAGACATTTGTTGTTTTCAGTTAAAACATTATCTATTTAAAAATCATGAAAAAGTAAACTCGAAATAGTTACCACAACACAATATGCATATACTTACTTACATATGTAGGTATTAACATATGTACATAATGTATATAATAAGTAGAGCTATGCATTTTTAGCTTAATAGATTTAGATAATAGTTTTGCGTGCAAATAAGTGTCCCTCTTATCAAGATGCGAAATATCAACTTCCATACAATTGTTTTAATAAAAATATACTATTTTTGTGTCATATTATTCATTATCGTTAAAAGTTTTAAATTTATTCTAATGATCTTATTATTCATTATACATTATTATACATTTATGACATTTGTCTTTTGGTACATTCTCCTCAGTAGAAGTTTTTGTGGTTTCTGGCATTCCAGCTTGAAGAGTAGCGATTTAACACTTAATAAATACATAACTAAATGGTAGGCATTGTAAAACAAATGAAATAAAAAAAAAAATATCTTCAAATAAATTTTATAAGATAAATTGTTTTTATTACGGATATTTATAGAAATAAATGTTGACATATAAATATCTTGAAGTATATATTAATATATATTTAGCAAAATTTTTATATACAAACAAATGTCTAAAGGGCTGATTTTATTTTTATCAGTTTTTTTTTTATATAAAAGATAGAAAATAGCTAGAAATTAATTAAAACTGAAAAAAAGAAAATGAAACTTTTTGAATTTAATCTTTTAATTATATTTAAATTTTTGAATATATTTCGAAATATATATATTAAATACAAAATTTTTAATATAAATTTTTTACATTTCAGAATAAAGTAATCAGCTGATGTTTTACCAAATACTGAAAAAAATTTCTGACCTGATGCCTTGGTAATTCGTTAACTTAATAACTTAGTAATGTTGGGATTTCACAAATACAATTACTCATAAAATTTTATTACTTTAGCGAGTTACCGAACACGTCTTAATACCTATAATGTATAATAAATCAACTTATGCCAAAGGCAACGACCACATTTTAATTTGATTAATATAAATTGACTTATAGCACATTTGCACCATCTCATTTAGGCGGTTTTGCTCATTATAACCACTAATAAGGATGATTTACTCATATAAATGAGCTTTTTAGCAATAATACCTTTTTTCTAGTGCTTACTCTGGAGTTACTTGATTAACTTTAAAATTTTGTCATTTACACTGGCACAAGTTACTTGAGGCATGTGAAAAAGCTTTTATATTTTAAAAAGTTTTAATTGTAGAGTTTTTCTTTGTTTACATTTCAATTGTAAGCAGATGACATTTAATTTCGTATGGTTACAAGAAAATAATTCAGCAGAAAAAACATAGAATATGCAAGGAATTTAATATAATTTAATGTCTAATATTGTAAAAAAGAACATACAATGATTTATAAAAAATTGTAAACTATTAAAAAACAACAAATAACAGTGATATTAAATATATATTTGATATATAAACTTATTTATGTATTTTTATATATCAATTACATCAATTTATATATAAATGATGAAATTTGATATTTTATTTGATATATTATTAAGTGAAGTTTACAAACGTTCTATCAGCCACATAAATGAGCTCATTAGAATGTGAACGTTCACTCATTAATATAAATGGGAAGTGCCTGAACGAGACACTGTGAATGTGCTGAATGTATATCATGTAACGCATGATATACTTTTTTCAGTCATCTTTCAATTGTCATTTATTTTTTAATACTATTTTTGTTCATATTTTGTTTATTTGCTTAAAAATCAATTGCATTCAAACAAGTTACTAATGATATTATTGTATTATTGTATAAGTATGATTATAGAAAAATTTTTTATTTTATGATTAATTGCTAATTAATCAATCAACTGACTTTACCACACAAAATATTCGATTTTGTTATATCTGGCATTACTTTATGAGCACATACTTCTACTAAGCAACTCTGCTGATTATTAACAACCCTGTACGTAAACATTTCTTGAAAGTTTGTCAGACGGCTGCAGGATTTTTGGCGCGGTAATTATTGTCGCAATTAATTGGTTTACTGTTGCGTTGATCGCGCATAATATTTTACAAAACTTTATCATATAGAACATACATTATGTTTAAAAAAACTGGTAAATGATTAAAATATAATGTAATTCTCATTTTACTTATATGTTAATTTTGTACAGTAAAAAAGAAAAGCAGCAACAGCGCCTTACCTATTTCCAATAGTAAGGTAACGGAATCTAAAAAAGGTGTTATAAAAAAAATCTCTAGTAAAACTGCTGTAGATTCAAAGAAAGACTCGCCGAATGACAGAAATACATCGCCTGAAGGAAATAAATTGGTTAACACACACAGTTTATCTACTCCAAGAAAAAGTAAGTAGATATATTTTATATATGAATTTTAACAAATTTTGTGTGATTTTTAGGTGTCCGAAACAATTTGGAAAAAACGAAGAAAATAGCAGTTGAAGAAAAAAACAAATCTGTTAAACATAAAAGTTTATCAACTCCAAGAAGAAGTATGTGTAAAATTTAAAATAAATAGTATGAAAACGTATTAATTCAAAATTATAAATTTTTATTTCTTTTAGGAAATACTTCAGCACTGAGCTCCAAAATATATAAATCTAGGTCAACATCACAATTGTGCCATACTCCAACATCTACAAGAATTATTGATTCGGTATCGAACATTAATAAAAGGCAAAATACAAGGAAAAATTATAAAAGTATGCCAAAACTAACGTCATCTACGAAAAAAACAAAACCATCAGTTTCCGATCAGACAAAAAAATCAGCGAATTCAAAACATAAATCAGTTGGAAACGGACTTACTGCAAATATATTCAAGGACAAGTTTCAAGGTGACGATCAACCAAAAAATAACATTACTGAGCCTCCAAATAAACGCTTAAGTCCGAAAAAGTCAAAAGATGATCAATATTTAAACAAAAATCAGACCAACACAAAATTCAATGGATCGCAAAATGTTTTAAGAAATCGTAGGAAATTAAAAAATTCTAGTGCTGAGCTAGATTTCATTCCTGCCAGTAATGAAACTTCTAACGAGGATGTAATATTTGTTACTGAAAATGGCATATCCAAAACTAATGTTACTGGAGTACAGCACAAGAATTTAAGTGAACTTCAAAAAAATGTTTTGAATAACGTTGAGTTTAAAGATGTAAATGAAAATTTTAATCTTAATAAAAACTTTACTGGAATTCAATTTAATGCAACAAAAAAAGAAAGCAAGAGAAGAGAGAAAACTATAACAGATCTAAGTTTTGACAACAATGAAGCTTCTACCGAAGATGTAATATTTGTTGATGAAAACATAGCTTGTAAAAGTGTCATATCTGTAACTGATAATACTGAGGCGCAAAAAAATGTAAGCGATTTTACTAAAGTTGACACAAAAAAAGAATATCACCATTTAAATGCTTACGAAGGTTTAAAAATTGCTATAAAAAGTCCTCTAAAAAAACCTAAAAAATCAAGAACAGCAAGTGGTGAACCAGATCTCAGTATCATAAACAATAAAACGACTATCGAAGACATAATATTTTTCGATGAGAATATATCCTGTGGTAATACCATACCTAAGATTAATGTTAATGTAGATCAGTCAAACAGTTTAAGTGAAGTTTCAAACAGCATTGAATCAAAACATGGTAGCGATCATTTGAAAGCTGCTTTTATAGATTTAAATAATCAGTGTTTAACGATTACTGCAAAAATTCCTCTAAAAAGTGAGGAATTAAAAACAGCTAATGCTGAAACGGACTATAGTCTCATCAACAATGAAACTTCTATTGAAGACCTAATATTTGTGGGTGATAACATTGCTTGCAAAAATGTATCTAAAACTGATGTAATAGGTGTATTTTTAAACGATAAAAAACAAGAACGCTCAATTCATGAACAGGAATGTAACGAGCCAATAGTAAATAGTAACGTGTATTGTACAGTAGCCAAATTGGATACTGATTTAGATGACGTGGAATTTACTGGACACATACAATTGATAAACGAGAATCAGAATTTTACAGATTTCGTATCTGTTGCAAAGTCTTCTTCGCCTATCAGCAATGATAGTGCAAAAGGTTCATCGATAGCCAATGACGAACATTGTTTGCCATATAAAAGTGGTGATTTACTGTGGGCTCAAATATATAATTACTGTTATTGGCCTTGTATCGCTTGCCCAGATCCAGATGGAAATATTATTACGAACATAAGTTCCAAAAATTTTGTACATGTTATGTTTCTTGCTGATAATTGTCGAACAAATATGGCGAAAAATGTTATGCCATATGCAGGATTAAAATCCTATAAAAAACTTGTCGATGATATCGAGAAAACAGAAGGCAAAAAGGCAATCCAAAATAAATGTATGATTCCGAATCGAAATAGAGAGCAAAAATGGTATGAAGCCGTTCGCGAAGCTACTATTTTAACAAGAGTGGATCATTCGGAGCGTTTAGAAGTGCTTAAAGAGATGTATGAAAATACACGGTAAGTACAAAGTAAAGAGTTAATAAATTAATTAATAAATAGTTTACGCCCGTTTCTTTTAATCTTGTGTATATTTAATATTTTATTGCTTATATTAATTTATGTAATTTATGTAAATATTAGATTAATATCAAAAACCAAAATGAAGCGACGATTGACAATGATGGAAACATATGATGGAGACTCACAAATAAGAAGAGATTCTATAGATGATATGAGTACGGAAATGGTACCTCTATCCAAGAGACAACGATCAATATCACCATTTAGTCCACAATATTCACCTATAAAAGCGATGCCAAAACGTACAAAACTAAGTCTAGGTGCTGAATTAAGTAAAGAAGAACCGTCAGATACTTGGAACTCTACCAACAGCTTATGCCCTGATATTTTCGAAGACCCGAATTTTAAAAAACTTCAACTTGCGTTGAAAGAATTTACTACGGAAAGTAATATGAATGATAAACATGACGAAAGTTTGCTTATTTACGCAAAAAAAATATGGTCATTAAAATATATGAATAAAGTCGAATATGAACAACAACTTTATAATAGTTATAGTGCTTCTGAATATGGGTCAGTGTTGACCGACATAGAAAACGATGGGTCATCGTCATCAGTGAAACGCTTATCAAATAGGTTGAAACATATAGCCTTTCAACGTTTGTCAACGAACTTGAATCAAATGAATACTAAACCGGTTAATGAGTTAGTAGAGAGAGTACAAGAAGAAAGAGTAAAAAGAGAACCAACTCGTGCAATAGAAGAAGTTATTGACGATTTGTACAATTTAGATCAAAAATATTTATTTCGAGGAGTTGGAAAGTTTACAGTTTGTAAGTATTGTTACAAAGGGGGTGATAATATAATAAAATGTGCGAACTGTCGGTCCTGGATTCATGTAGATTGCGCAACTAATACTCGAAAAAATAATGATGACAGTAATGTTAGACGTTCAATAACTCGTAGAAGATCGCGATCAAACAGCACAACAGATTCGTCTCTAAACATAATTGCATCATCAATTAATAAAAATGTAAATACACAAAACAATTTAGCTGTATCCAGTCAGGATGCCGTTAACGATCTAAATACTGCCAGCAATGATTATCATTTAATTGATTCAGATGTATTAATTCAAAGCAATCACGAACAAACAGCAAATAAAAATCAAATCTGCTTTGAATGTGCACAAAATCCTGCCCCTAGATGCTACGTGTGTAAAAATTCTAAATTACTTGATTCGGATGAAGAAACTTTGATTTGTCATGTACAGCAATGTCTCCAAGCTTACCATCCGTCATGTTGCAGATATTGGCCACAAGCTAAAATCCTCAAATCTAATGGCGTGATTCAGTCATTCAGATGTCCATCGCATGTATGTCACACATGCGTTTCAGATGATCCAAGAGGAAAATATCAGCACTTGACCAAAATAATAAAATGTATTAGATGTCCTAGCTCATATCACGTCAATTCCCATTGCATTCCAGCTGGCTCTCAAATACTCTCATCATCATATATGATATGTCCAAGACACGATATAAGTAAAGCTGATGCTAAAATAAACGTAAATTTTTGCTTTATATGTGTTGGTGCCGGAAATCTTGTTTGTTGCGAAACTTGTCCAATTGCGGTTCACCCAGAATGCGCAAATATTGAGTTGAACACAAAAGAACCATATATATGCGAAGAATGTGAGTCGGGACGGTTACCTCTTTATGGCGAAATGGTTTGGGCTAAGTTTAATAATTTTCGTTGGTGGCCAGCAGTTATTTTAGCACCTACTGAAATACCAATGAACATAAAGAAAAAGCCACATAATCCATTAGACTTCGTTATAAGATTTTTTGGTACTCACGATCATTGTTGGATATCAAGGCGGCGTATTTATTTGTACATGGAAGGCGATGATACTGCTCCAATCAAGGGTAAAAAAGGTAATCACAACAAAATAAATATTTAGAATGAAAAAAAATATAAAAGTAATAATTTTTTATATGATTAGAAATGGATAAGAACTACGAACGAGGTGTAAAAGAAGCAAAGAGAATATTTGAAATCTTAAATTTAAAAAGAATGTCTTTGTTAAATAAAGGAACAAATAAATTAGATCCTCAACCATATGAGAAAATTAGATCTAACCGTCTTGTTCCGCCTGTTAAAGTTCAAAGAAATCTAGAAGATATTTTAGTATGTGGGTGCACACCAGATATGCCACATCCTTGCAGTCCTGAAGCAAATTGCATAAATCGTTCATTATACAACGAGTGCTTACCAAAGTTATGTCCAGCTGGTGATCGTTGCGAAAATCGATGCTTGCAGTCAAAAATATACCCAAAATTAGAAGTTATACATACAAAAAATCGTGGTTTTGGACTAATTTGTTTAGAACCAATAAGTTTTGGTTCTTTTATAATAGAGTACGTTGGTGAAATCATAAATGAAGACGAATTTAAAGCGCGACTATCTCAAAAAGCAAATGACTTTGATGATAATTTTTATTATCTATCATTGGAAAAAGATCGAATTATTGATGCTGGTCCTAAGGGAAACCTAGCCCGCTTTATAAATCACTCATGCCAACCTAATTGTGAGGCACAAAAGTGGTCTATAAATGGTATTACTAGAATTGGTTTATTTGCTTTAGTGGATATCTTACCGGTATTTAAAAAATTTATATATCTAAGTGTATTACTATTACTAAATGTTTATTTTAGAAGACGGAATTGACGTTCAATTATAGCTGGAACCGCGTACTTGGCTCTGGTTCGAAGACTTGTTTCTGTGGGGCTCCAAAGTGTGCCGGTCAAATTGGTTCAAAATATATGGAAGACAAAACTAAGGTACAAAAACTGAATTTTACTATAAAAAATATTATACAATGCATAAAATAATACTATATAAAATATTATACAAACTAAATAAAAAATATATCAAATATCCCAAATATACTATAGGTTCCTGATGATGATCAACTTTCGCAAGCAAAAGTCACAACAAAACCAAAAGGTCGTCCACGTTCAATAAAAACTAATGAAATAAAAGTTAATTCGGCTAAACGGTCTGATAAAAAAAATTAATTGCACTTATTATTGACAGTTATTGATTATTATCATTCAAAAATATATCTAAAAATGTGTAAATAACTGAAATCGACCATAACCATTTTTACAACTCATTTACAAAAGAAGATATAACACTAATAATCATTCTGATGAATATATTTCAAAACGTGTATTTTATTTGGAAAATTTTATATATAATTTATTGCTTAATTTTCCCACGATTTAGCATGAAATTTTAAAATGTATGCTTTCTAAATATAAAACTTTGATTGGATGCTTTTATTTAATTATGATAAAATATTTGTTTTTGTATATATCTGCACTTTTAAAAAGAAAATTATGACAGTTAAATATAATGTTTGTAACAAATTATTTTTATTTATAAGTTTATTTTATAATTGAACACTTAATGATAATTTAGATAATTTTGAACTTGTAAAAATATTTAAAATGTGTTTTTATTATGTACATTAAATTTTTTAAATTATGCATAGATTCTATAAATTAACTTAAAATAAAAAATCTCTTGGTTGATTTTGTATTTTTACATTCACACATGTTCACAACAAATTTTATTTTATTATATCCTTTTTAATACGCAGTGTTATACTAGTTATAAGAGTAAAGACTTAATAATGTATGAAATCATTATACATCAACAATTTATTGACTTTTTATTATACTACAATTAATTTATTAACTATATATTAACTACTTGAGTTGGAAGCGTGTATAAAAAATTAATAAAATTTAACTTTTCATTAAATATGTAGTTTTAAATATTTTTTTAACTAAAAGTAACCGTTATCATAAATTGGTACAACAGCGGATATTCGTTGAATAATTGGATTTAAAGACTCTATATTTAATTCGTAAAGTCTATTAAGAGCAATCAAGCGCATCCCGTTTGCGTTGTAAATTTGAACGACAGACCATTTCTCCAATAGCTTTAAACAGTTTCGAACAGAATCTATCGATACACTTTCAGCTGAAACAAAAATATAGGATTATTTCATTTTGCAAATAAAAATTTTGTGACAAATATATATGAGAGGTATTCACGAGGTCGAGTAACGAGTTCGGTAACAGAGTAAAAGCGGTTTATTTTCTAATGTTACTCACCATATATACACTGTCCTTCTTTCACATTTGCAATCAATTTGTTTATAATAATTTTTATAAATTCTGTTTCTAATGTAGGGTTGTTGTATAAAATGTAAAGTGATTGGGCTACAGCTAGATATGAATTTGCAAACGGTGCCAGCACCTCGCATATTGCTTTTTGCATTTTTATTGATTCACGATCAAAAAATATGTCCGGTTGTTCCACATCGTTATAATCATCTTCGGAACCGTCCTCAAAATAGGAAGTTTTAGTGTATTTGACGTAATCAGCTTCGCATATAAACAATTTCTGTCAATGAGATCAGTGTTAAAAATATAAGATGAAACCAAATTCTTCAAATCAACTAACTTCATTCATGTTGAAATACTGCCTTTCAATCAAGACATCCAGTGCATTATATAATGCATCTTTCAGATTTTCTGTAGGTTTGCATAGAATAAACTCGTACCTATATACATCACAATTTTGTTCAGCTACTTCCACAAGTTTTGTCCTTGTTATTCCTATTAAAGGTGATTCCTGAATTTTGTGATAAATAATTTATTTTATACAGTTAAAAAAGATTTATAGTATGGATAACATACATCACTTTCTGACAAGCTTTCCTCTTTCGTAGGTAATAGAGAATGAAATGTAGTTAATAAAATAGATTGCAGAGCAAAATGTGGTGTCAACATATTGGAATAATATGACAATTCAATCATACTTTCGATGTTAGACTGAGGCTTAAAAATTGTTTCCCCATCTTTAGTATATGTTGTAATCAAATCTTTAACAAACGATTGGACTGTAGTACGATTTACATAAATAATTATTTTATTACTTACCTCCCAACAAATCAGCAGCGTAAAATACAATCTGTAATGATTCTCCTGCAAAACCCAAATCTTTTTGACCAAACAAAGATTCACGTAATGTATCAAAACTTTTCGCAATTTCTTTGCCAGTTGCCCCCTGTCTATGTTCAGTAAGTAATATAAACGATAATGCATTAGTTGACATAACTGAAGTTGCCTGTGCGCAATCATATACAATTTGGCGAGATATACTATCGATAAGGTTCCGATGTTCTTCGCATACTACATCAGTACCATAGAGTGAAGAAGTAGACTGGTTGTGTTGTAAAACTCTAAAAGGAATTTTCAATAAAATGTTTGTAATGAGAACAAAAAAACTACCTTTGCGCTGATATATAACTGTTTGGTAAAGTTTCATCTTTGGTTATTTTATTGTAGGATTGAACAAGTTGACGGATTGAGTAAGGTTCGTTAAAATCTATACGCATGAGGCCATAATTTGATGTAAGTGCCTTAAAAAAATATATTTATATTATGAAAATAACACGAATATATGGAACATACCTTCCATATAGCACTTATTGCTTTGGAAAATGATTCAGCTTCTTTTTTTTGTCCCTTTTGTTCTCTTACAAAATTACCGTCAACTAAACGCTCATAATTTACTGAAACTGGTACAAGTAAAGCGTCACTGATGCTGTGATCCATAAACGCATTAACAACTACTGATAATATTCCACCTTTAGGCATACATGGCTTGCCAGTGCGCGTACGTCCTCCTTCTATGAAAAATTCTATGTTGTGACCGTTCTTAAGTGCATGTTGTATATAGAGTTGCAGAATCGCACGATATAATATATCTTTGTTGCCTACAACTGGATCTATTTTACGCTTAATAAAAAATGCGCCTAAAACGAAAAAATGTTTTACCGATAAAACATATCAAATTATCAAAATACCTAATCCTCGCAATAGTCCCCCAAATACCGGAATTTGTAAATTATCACCTGCTGCAACGATTGGACATCGTATGTCATTATTTGCTAATATAAAAGTTACCATTATATAATCAAGATGGCTTCGATGTAATGGTACAAAGATTAAAGGAACACCTGGTGCGTCATCCGAAATTTTTTTCAGCATTTTAATTTGTTTGGTATTTGTAACAACACCCGTCAAAAAACATGGTAGCAACTTATACAAAACCCAAGAAGTGAGTTGAATCAAAAATGTGTTAATGGATGAACGCATATTTTTTAATGTATTAATGGTACGTTTTTCCTGTGATTTTAAAATTTTTTGATAATTTAATTCTTCTTGCTCACTACGCGCATTGCTATCTTGGTTATGATCGTTTTTCAATCTATCCAAAATCCGAGTACCATTCGAGCTACGTTGTTCGCGTAAAATTTGTTCGACAGCCTGCTTTATTGCAATTTGTAAAACTGAATCCTTTTGAACTATATTTGATATCTGTAAATTTCTCATATTATATTTTTGTATTATGAAATTCGATTCGCTTACCTGTGGATAATTAAATTTTTTAATGTTTAAAACCTGAGACAAATGGGAGAAGAAAACATTATAATTGAAACTCGAGACAAAAGGTTTTCGTCCAGCATGTGGTGTTAAGTTCAACATATTTTGAGTTCCGGAACTTTGTTGAAGTGTCTGTGCAGACCTAGTTTCCTAAAATTGAATAGCAATATAATTATTGTTGTTATCGTAAGTAATATAAAAATATATAAACCTTAAACCAGCTATGTATTTTATAAAATTCGGTAATCATTTTTCTAGCTACATTTATCAAAAACACAATTAAAGAGCCGGCAACAAACCGGCAAGAAAAGGAGATAAATGACAGGGTTACCATCATCACTTTTTTTATTAATGTTTTTCTAGAGTTAACAAAATACTAAAATAATTGTATTCTTTTGACATGAATGCTCCAATAGAACAACTTTTGGTAAATATAAACCAGTAAATACCCACATGACAAGTAAGAAAATTTTAAATAAATTTGCGAATGGATTCTATAAAAAAGCTTGTTATATATATATATATATACATAACAATAAAATGAATGACACAAAAAAGTTATTAGTGAACATTTTATATTAGACTTTTTTTTGTTAGCATGTCGCAGAAGAACAAATAAAATAAGCACTACATTTGATGGTAACTTTGAACTAAATAAAAATTTTGTTAGGCTTATATGTGCTAATGGGCTCGCAAGGATGGCAAAAAACAGCAAGTTGTTGGCCTATACTGGCAGAAATGTACGCAAACAACAACACTATTTTCTTTACCACAGCCAGTATGGGTATACTTGCTAAACACATCGACCAGAAAAAAAGTGTTACCAACGCAATAAGCGAACTATTGTGAACCTTCATTGAAAACTCCAACAAATATTGCAATCATATGTTAAAAATCATATGTATACCAAAATTGAAACAAAATTCAATCATTTCATAAATTTAAAAATTAGAATTTATTTTTACACAAAATGTAATTTACTTGCATATGTGCAAGATTTGCAAATTGTAACATCATTACACACTTTTTCTTGCTGTTTATTTTTTTTGGCAAATTGAAAGTGAGCATTTTCGTCATAACCCGAAATAGCAAATTTTGCCGTGCCCGTAACACTTTACATAACATGGCCCTAAGTAAAATATTGGCATCACTGTTGCTGTTTGTCAGATGTTATGTTTTCGCAAAGAGCAAAACTTACATACTTGCTATATATGCACATAATGCAAGCAAACTACATTTTGTATAAAAATAAATAATATAAAATTGAAAATTGAAGTGCATAATATATTAAAAGCAATATTAAGAATGTAGGGAATTTCGAAATTTTCTTTTATCACAAAATTAATAACAGTTTAGAATATTTATGCCCGAATAAGTATTAATTTGTTAGCAACTTATAAGTTAAAAAATTTAAAGCGCTGTTAAATTATACTTTCTTCATGTATTTCTATATATTTTTGTACATGTTAATGCGCATATTTTTAAAAATATTTATTTTCCAAAATTTTTAAACTTGTGAAACTTTTCCATTTTATTTACAAGCTTTGACAGATGACTGGAATATTCGTTGAAATCTTCTTTAGTTGAAATTTTCAATGAAGGTTGACAACAGATCGCTTATCACTTTGGTAACATTTTTTTCTGCATTCGCTAAAATATTTAGTCGTATAGAAGGAGAAAATAGTATTGTTATTTTGCGTATATATTAGCAAGTTGTTTTTTTGCCACACTTAGGAGCAGCCAAATGCACCTTTTGTAAGCTGAATTCAATAGAGATTTATAATTTGATTTTAGCTATTAAAATACATGCTTAAAAATTTCTTTGTCCTTTATACTTCACAAAGTAAGTAAAAAAACAATTCCGATGTTCCATGGAACCTATTTGATAATTTGATATTGAGCAACTTTTTTCACTAAACTATATGCCAATATTAATTACTTCTCAAGATATCAAGATTTAAAATTATTAACCTTTTATATTGATTGCACTAAGACATAAGAGACTTGTAATCCAGCAAACTTTTCAAAGGTATTAAAAATTTAGTTTAATTTGTTTACAATTTTGAAATTGTAAAGATGTATGTGGTTTATGTAGACAACACAAGCAACAGGTAACAACAAATAGATTACCGTATTCTATTAACGTATTATGTTTTAAGAACTTTAATTTCTTTTGAGTGTGAGTCAATAGTCAACTAACTATTTGCCTTGTTTTTATACTATCATAAACTCAACTACTCGAAATGCTTTGTAGTTTCTACATAGCATAACATTGGAGTTAAGAGGTTGTTTTAACTTTGCTACTTTAAGATTGCTACCAACGAAATGGGTCTGTCTGAAGTGATCGAATGTAATTTTTGTCTAAAAGGGGATGACTCTGCTAGTTAATTTCCCTAGTAATATGTTTTTATATTAGTTACTTATTTCACATTAAATTACTCCTGTTTGATTATGATTATTTTCATAGAACGGTCTTTATATATAAATAAATCTTTTCATAACAAAATAATATTTATAAATACGGACAAATATATTTTATTGTATACTTACTAATTTAGTACTATTGCGTAATGTAATTAAAAGTTCATTGCCCATGTTGTTAAACTTTATCAATGATGATCGATAATCGATATTTAAATTTAAGTTAGGAAACAGGCCAGCAATTATTGCAGGTGCTCTGTAGATAATAAAAGAATAATAAATATAAGAAATATAAATAATTTAACAAAGCAATATTTACAAGCAAAAATTTATAATCTTATTAAACAATCTTTATTTTATTATATTCATTGCATACATCATTATTAAACAAAAATCTAATTAGATAAAAAGATATTACTTCATTTCTTATTAGAATAATAAAAAACTAATCTAATAAAATGACATTACTTCCTTACTACCTAGAGATTTTAATAAAAAGTATTAACTATTACTACCTAGAGTTTAATAAAAAGTATTAACTACGTGATAAATAAGTACATAACTAACATGCAAATTAAAATTAATATTGATGTTTTTACTTTTTTTCTGTTTACAATAAATCGTTTTTTAAATATATAGATTAAATAGTAGGTACTTAATTAACAAAGTAATTAGTTTAGAATAAAAAACTACAATGATTTCTAAATATAGTAATCTCATCTTTTTTAATAAATATTTCTGATATTCAATAACTCCAAATATCATAATTCGATTAGCTTTTTTTATTATTAGTAAATATGACGGCAATTAAAAACAATTAATTATTTTTAATCTATTGAGCTTTGTACTTAAAGTTTATTATACATTCTTTTTATTTTCACTTGGTAATATAAATAAGATTAAAAGAAAATTTACCTTTAGTATAAGCAACATTCTTAATGTTTTTACACATAATCAATTTGCTATTATCAATTTCATATTAATGGATTTATTAAGCCGTTCTGCAACTTGAATAAATATTTATTGATCTTAAGCATTTTTTTGTTTTTATTGTAAAGAAAATTAATCTAATATTAAAGTCAAATTGTTTTTGAGAGAAATGTGAGTCAACACTCATAAGGGGGCTATGGAAACCATATTATGGGTGATATCTATATTGTATGAAATTGAAGAAAAGGACGTATAGCACAACTGCAGTCTTTTACATGTTTTCAATTATTACAAATTAAGAAAATTTCACTATATTTATGATGAGTAAGGTTTTAGCATAAAAAAAAGTCGCAATAATATATATTGCCAAAGTATTAAAGTTCAATATAACATACGATCAAATAATCTAATAAAAAATAAGTACTGAAATTTTGTTGAAAGTTATATAAAAAAATAATAATTAACAAATTATTTCCAGACTAATTAAAATGTTATCAATATAAAATGTTTATGTTATTATATATTATATTATCAATTTTTTTTAGATCTTCAAGTCTTCCTTTAGTGGACGATATTATATTGAAGTATAAAATATTATCAATAATATTGAATCCCATATTTAGAAAATGAATTTTAAATATTGCTTTATATATCTCATTGGAATATAAGTTTTTATCCTGCGTTCTTCATAAAAGAATAATAAATTCACAGTCAAATCGTACTTAAAGCTTAACTAAGACTCTGAATATAAAATGTATTATTATTGATTACATAAATTATATATTAAATTCGTTTTCATAAACTCTGTTTTGGGACAAAGTAAAACCAACGAAATTATTTTTATAAAGAAATAATTCCATTATTTAAAAAAAAAGAAAGAAAAACGCAAGAGATAAGAAATTGAAATACTAGGTTACATGTGTACATTATAAAGGAAATAATGATGCGCCACACTGTTGTGAATGAATAATTAATTTAATCGCTAAGTTCTTTGTTTTGTTTTATTTTTCCAAAATTTATTTCCAAATAAATGTATAGATATTATATATCTGTTGTGTTATTTATTTTATATTAAAGTATTTACTAAATATAAAGCCTTTGAACTTTTCATTAATATTTATAAGAAGCTTTCAAAATTTAAATTAAGTATAAGTATCTATCTAATATCAAAACATATTATGTGAAAAATAAATATTTTAAAGTTAATGAGTTGTAACTAATTCAAAGCAATATATAAATATATACACATATATTAATATATATATATATATTTATATATATATTTAACTGTACAGTTTAAATAATTATTTTAGTAAATACATTGTGACCGAAAAGTTTTCGGAAATTCTCATTTAAAATTCGCGCGCTGTATATTTTTCGATATTTTAAGTTTATGTAGTTTGGCAGCACTGTCCTTAATTACTATGCCAAAAATGAGCGCGATCTGTCAGACAGTTCGTTTACGGCAGCTGTTGAAACCAGTTCACCTCAGTAGTGCGTTGCGAAATGTCTTCGACGGTCGTACGACCGTCCTGAAAGGCTTTGTACCACTCATAAACTTGAGTTTTCGATAAAACTGATTCCCCATAAGCCTTTTGTAGCATTCGCAACGATTCTGCACACGAAATTTCGTTCGAAACACAAAATTTGATGCAAACTCTTTGTTCAATATTTTTTTCCATTGTTTTTTTCGCAACGCACTACTGAGGTGAACTGGTTTCAACAGCTGCCGTAAACGAACTGTCTGACAAATCGCGCTCATTTTTGGCATAGTAATTGTCCTTAATTGCTGCCAAACTACATAAACTTAAAATATCGAAAAATATACAGCGCGCGAATTTTAAATGAGAATTTCCGAAAACTTTTCGGTCTTAATGTATGTGCTTTACAAATTTGTAGAACACATAACCTTTACTGAAAGTGATAATATTTATTATCTGATATCAATTAGAAGAAATAATCTGTTTGGATTTATATATTATATAAAAATATTTCATCCAAAAGATGTCATAGTTCATATAAAATAATTAAAAATTAATTGTTTTTGAGCAAGTTCAAGCTTCATCTCTGTACTCGAGGAAAGATTTATTTTTTTTAAGTTCCCTTTTGGGAAGAGTGATACTATTTAAAACCATTGTTACTGCTGTACAAGTTTCCTATATTGGCTATAGATTTATGATTGTTAATAAGATTAAAATATTGATGTATATTTTATTTTTGACTAATTTCATTATTGATGTTTTAGGTAAGAAATAATTTTTAATAATTGTTTTATTTTTGTCAATCATCCTTTAATTGGTGCATTCCGGCATTTTAGTTATGGGTTTATTAACATAATGAAATATTTTTTTGATTAAGAATTGCAAACAAGTTATGTTTGCAAATTATAAGTTATACCTTAGAATCCAAATTAAGGATTCTAAGGTATAGACATATTATAAAAACTACCATTCATTTATATAGTATATAAAAGAAATATTTACATATAAGTTTATAAATGAATAGATATGAATATCAACCAGCTATTCCTATCCAATATATAGCAAAATCGCAACATCGTTAGATTACCAACTAACTTACTTAGTTGTCCTTAATAAACGTGTAACATTTTTAGCTGTTATAATATTACACTCAGCTGAAAGATATCTCATTTGTTGCCTGACAAGATTACTACAATTTGTAAGCACAACTAAAGATCCAATATAAACTGGACATTTTGCTTAGAATTTTTACTGTAATCATGTGATATCATAGTAAGCCAATGTAGCCTGAGTCGGTTACCTACATACTAGTATCTTTACTGGATAAATCAATAGTAAACACATATAATAAATAATAAACATAAATATTTTTGTATCGTAAATTAATAATTTTATAAATTGAATTGTCTTTGTCTTGATTTTTTATAGAACTTAATTAGTTGCATTACAAAATTTTAAATTAAACAATAATTTCATAATTTGTATTTGTCATGTAATTCCTTTCAAGCTATCAGCTTTACAGATCCCTGTAAACTACAACAACAATAATAATAATAATAATAATAATAAGATCGCAACACCTATCATTCGATTGAGGTGAAATTGTAATCTATACAAAAATCTGTTATCATTATAAATAATAATACTTATCAAATTTGATAAAATACATATTCATTTATTCTACGTTACTATTGTAGTATTATATACTAATTATTTGTAATTATTTGTAGTTAATTTAACATCCAATTTCAACTAATACTTCAATAATTAAAAAATTAAATATTTTTTAAGTAAATAAGTTATTTATAAAAAGTAGTTTTATTTTAATAAATTATTTTCTCACTTAAATAGTCCCTATTCAATGATTCTACTATTGATTATTATATTAGCCCGCACTGAGGTAAAGTTCGAATATACTTTGAAACGTGCATGTTTTTTATATATTGAACAATTATATAAAATAATTAACATTAAAACTAATAAGTTTGTTACATGTATATAAGCCTTATCAGCAAATTTAACTAAAAACAAAACGTTGACAAATTTTGCAAATTAAATAAGTTTATAAAAGAATTTAAAATTAATTTTCTTAATTTTGTTATATTACTTAACTTATAAACAGTGGCGTAAAAATGGTTCTTAAAACGAGTACATTCCCCAGATCACATTAATAAATCTTTTTTTCAAGGGACGTCAAAAAGGTATGGTCCTCCGGGTTGCACTAATGTTCACGACACCACTGCTTATAAATTATTTTCAACTTAATTTAATTTTCCATTCGTATTTTAATTTTAATAAAGTGATAATAAGTTGATACTATTTAAATATTATAATAATTTTGTAATAATAATAAACTTTAAAGCCATCTCACCTTGTTTTTGCATAAATGTAGTAAATGATGAGGGCAATTGAAGCTGCTTCAATGCACCCCAACATTGAAAATTCGAGAGCACTATGCACGAAATTCACTAATAAACCGAGCATTTTTGGGTTTAGAGTATTTGTCCTAATTGACACCAAATTAGAATAAAATCATAGATGGAAACGTGCCTGTAACGAGCTGCAACTGCTGATGGCTGAGTCTGACGTTTCTTAACTGTTTTATTTCGGGAGCAGTAGGTTATCACTATCGCGTGATTGTGTAATTTTTAATTTTTGCAATTGATCAATTTTGTGAACGTATGTGATTCGATCGATCTTCACGAGCAAAACCTCAAGAGTTTGACGAGCTAAACAAGTTTACGAAATCTTTTAATCAGTTTAGATACTCGTTGCATTGCAATCTGTAGATCTGTAGATATCTCTAAATATCTGTTAATATCTGTAAATGTTTAATTGTCGAATCTTCACCAGTTTGTGTATTGTCTTTTCCACTGCAGTTTGTGTTTGTTTGCCGATTTTGGCACTTTTTTCTCATCTGAATTGCGACGTTTCAATCAGCAGCGCAGGTTGGTTTATTGACTGACTGCTGCCAGCTAGGCTGATGATGATTTTGATAATGACGACGTAAATGCAAAATATCGTATGATCACGTTTCGTTTTTATTTCTTTTATTGCTTTTAAGTAGACGACAAAAAAGCCAGCGGCATAAATTCTTTTTTAAAACTTGTACTTTATATACTTTGTATTTATTGTAAATTTGATTTATTGTTTATTGTTTTTTCGTATTGAACGCATTTAATAACAAATAATATAAATAATATAAGAAGAATTTGTATTGTAAATCAAATTTACAATTAAATAAATTTGATGCTTTATAGTTTCAATGGCACTACAAACACAATGATGCACAAAAATAAACGAAAAACACAAGTCGTAGAACTGCGACGACCTCACTCCCATGCGGCAAAAGATGGAATGTTGGACGACTATTGCAAATTCTCTTTTTTAATTAAATTTCATTTCAATTACAGAACACAGCAGAACACACATACTAGATCGTAACATGTAGTAGTCATATAATGAACATAAATATATTAGGTAGTGAACATTTATTCTTGAAAATGAGAGAAAGAGAACTACGCTAATGGAACTGATAACAATGCCATATGCGCTTATCATATGCACGACTTAACTCTGCTGTTCAATTTTGTAAATTGATCTTCACCCGCATATAGTGTAGAGAACTATATCAAATGCAAGATTTGATTAAAAAAACAACTGTCGGGTAAAGTCCTAAGCCTTTTGACAGAGGCTGATCGACTTTTAGTCATCTAAAAAGAGGAGTGATTTCTGAACGTAGATGTCACCGGGAACTTTTTTGCTACACTCTTTAACCGATGTTACTAAGAACTGACATAAACATTTATAGCTTCATAAATATCATGCCTTGTGCCACTATTCTCCAGGTGCAGTTAGTACTCTCTCAACTTAACACTCGACCAGGCATTTAGCCTAAATCAATTACTAAATTTATTAATATCCGATCCCATCATTATTTTAGTTATTTTACTAAGTATTATTATTTGCTGGCTTAAATGAATTTTGCTGACTAGATATTAAACCAGATTATTATATATATATCTTGCACTTTCTTTGAGAAAGGAGATTTATTGGCTTATTATCACAATATGTAGCATGAACCTTTTCTCTATTTATTGCTGTAAGCAAATGCGATTTTATTTGATTCAATTCATATACTTTTGCTATTGCTCTTTTCCCTAACTACTTACAGAAAGATGCTTGTCATACTTAGCAACAATTTATCGTTTATTTCCAATAGTCCAGAAAACTGCCTGTATCGTGTGAAAGCGAAACCAACGCATATTAAAATATAAGATGCATTACCACTGATGACTTCTTTAATTCTATATCGGCAAAATTATAAGTGCACGTTTAAATTAGCCAATTCTATTTGTTTTGATTTCAATAAAAGTAAGAGAGAAAATATAAATATTATCAGACCAGATGTTTGGGTTAACGTAACTTGGTAATGCGATAAGTCTCAAAATTGTAATTATACATAAAAATTCAGAATTCGGACTTTCCCACACTTTTTACTGATAAAAAATTAAGAGCTACATACCTCACATTATTCCTAAATTTCACACAAAAAAAACCTCATAAGAATATGTTGTTATAGAGGAGTATTCATAAGGAGTGAATACTTGTGAATTGTCTTGGAGAGTCTTTTAATCCTGTTAGCGATGATACCCTTTTCAGCTCACAATATAATTCAAGAATTTTGCAGTAAATCTATATTCAAAACGAAGGCAAACGATAGACAATCCGACCAAATAGTTACAATCATGAATATCCATTTCCTATTTTTAAATATATCAGTACACAATCAATTAAAAATAAATATAATTCTACGTTGTATTTTAGTTATTTTATAGTGTATTATGAATAAAATTCATACATGTTATATGTATAAAAAAGAAGAAAGCAATAACTTTAATTAAGTAAAGATCAGTTTACTTTTTTGCTGGTGCAGCCTTCTTAGTAGCTGCTGCCTTCTTTTTGCGTTCAACTAATGCCTTTTGAATCAATTTAGTGCGATTGGCTGCTGCTTTGGTGGCAACGCTAGCGAAATGTGATTTTGCCAATTCAACGTTCCTTTTTTTAGCATTGTTAACAATTTTAGTAATTGTTCGCTTTTCTGCAGCCAGAGCAGCACGACGTCTTAGGACCTCAGCATAAGGATTCAATTTAATAAGCTGACGTACGTTAGATAATGGATTAAGACGACGTACACGACGGAAAACTGTCTTACGTGGATCACGTAAAACTTTTCTGATTTCTTCAGATTTAAGCAAACGAGTCAAATCAGTATTTGCCATCTTCGGTTGTGGTAAGTTGTAACCCTTTTTCAGAGTCGATGGTTTCTTCCATGAACCGAAAAGTTCGTTCAAGCGAGCAAAAGCAGATTCAGTCCAGATAACAAAACGACCAACATGACCACCAGGTGCCAATTTCAATAAATTCATTTTATCCACGTTCATGGTTTCAATACCAGGGATATTGCGGAAGGCACGACGAAGACCTTCATCCTTGTAATATACAACCAAAGGTCCACGACGAGCAATACGACGACGATCACGCATTGTACCACGGCCTGCACGGAAACGTTGAGACTTGTAAACCTAAGATTATGAAAAAAAATATGTTAAAAATGTTTTACAGATTAATACTCGTATAAATGCTATCATTTAATTAAGTTGTCTCTTTTTTATTGCCCCGTATATAAAACATTAAAGGTTCAATTACGGAACGCCTAAAAAAAGAAATTTATCTAGCAATAATTTATCTAAACGATAAACTACATTAATCAAGCAAATTTACACTTGAAACTGGTTTAAATTATTGCAATACTTTACTATTTTTTTTAGAAAAGTTAGCACTTACTTTTTGAATATCAGCCCAGATTCTCAAACGTCTGAGGAATTCAACAGCTTGTTTGGTTTTTTGCAGTTTTTGTACATTATCTGATACAACCAATGGAAATTCAGATACACCATCAATGATGTGACCTTTAGATTGTACAAGAGCTGGAACACCAGAAGCAGCTATAGCAGATACCAAAGCATAACGACGTTGGTTAACGTTGATTTTACGGTGCCAACGACGGAAAGTTTTAGTAGGTGCAAACATACGACCACCACGACACATATTACCAAAAGCACCCTGACCGGAACGGTGAGTACCACCACCACGCACACGAGGAATACGGGCAACAGCACGACCAGTACCCCAAGATTCAGCAGAAGTTTGATGACCTAATATACAGTAAGCACTATTAGGAATTAAACAATTAAATAAATTTTTCAAATATACCTGCTTGCTCGCTAACGGCATATGCCTGGCGCTTATTACGACGCATCAATTGGTGAATTTCATTTACAACATCTGGGCGAATTGGAGCCTTGAATACAGATGGAAGGCAAATGTTTTTTTCTTTCACTTGCTCATTTTTTTCCGTGTAAACGGATACCAAAGGTCTAGCGTTGGCTAAACTCTACAATAAAAAACCAATTAATTTCTTGTACACTCATAATTTACTGTCAAATCACAAACACGTGTATACTGAACAAAACAATATTATTCCACTGATTTTAAGCTATTTTTAAGCCACATTCGAAAGTTAACGTGACGATAAATTACGCACGATATTTTTAACAATAAATTTAAACACTTTCTTACCATTTTAAGTGCTTATATACACCAAAATTCCTAAATTATATTTCTGCAACAGCAGTAAACGTCCACCATAAAATAGTAGCGGACCGAAAAAGACAGCATTTCGACGGAAGTACAATATGGCGTATTTTTACTTGAGTTATTTATCGGAAGGGGGCGCCTGCAAAATCATTTGACAGCTGCCTTGTTACAGTGATGGAGAGAAATAGATTAAACAGATTATACACGCTATAAACATTTTTTTAAGATTCAAATATTATAAGCCTTGCATATAATTTTATTTGTATTTTGAAATAATTATTTAAAATTTATAATTAATTATCATAATGTGTCATAAGTACGTACCTACACACACTTTTATATAAATTGTATTTCTACATATATTAAATATTCTCCTTCACCGTTTCATATATTATTTTATTATATATATTTATTATGAATAAAATAGAAAAAATTATAAAATAATAAAAAATAAAATTATAAAAAAAATAAAATAAGAAAAAATTTGGAGAGTATTACAAAAAAAAAAAAACGCAGTAAAAACAAAACTCTAATATGTGTCTTCAACCTATTGAAACTTAATCTAAGGTATCGAAATTACGTAAAGTAAATATTTAAGTGTTGAAATATCCAATCTAGTTGTCCTGGTTGTTTAAACCTGCGGACAACTAGGAATTTAGTGATTAATGCATGAGTTTGGATGGAGCGTTTAGTAAGGATAGAAGAAGAAAACGAAGGGTGGAATTGAATAATGGAAAGATAAGAATTTTGGTGGGTGGTAGAAAACTAGCCTGGATTGAGATGAGTGTACCTGATCACTTCGATGGGATGGAGACGTACATTCATAGGTCTTAAATTTGTGTGTTTTACCATGAAAACAATTAAGTTACGTCACTAAATATAGAGTTGCAATTATGGCATAGACTAGCTAGTCCATTCTATTATCCCACCAAAGAAAATAATATTCTGACAATGTAATAGAAAAGTGGAAGTTAATAGACATTAAATTTAAGAGTATAAAATTGTTTATGCCGAACAACAAGGACAATAGTGAAGGGAGAACATCACACTGGTGAGATAATTATAAGTATTGGAGCAAGGTTATCGTATACCCTCCTGCAACGATATCCCCAAAGGCAGCAGAGGTTGCAGATCGAATTAGAAGGAATAGTGCAAGAAAAATCGTTATATATAAAATATGTAGAATTAGCCTCAAAGAAAATAGAGGTTGCAGATCAAATTAGAAGGAATAGTGCTAGAGAGATGAAAATGGAAAGATTATCGCGCAAGAAAAATCGTTCTACATAAATGATGTAGAGCTTTAAAAAATGTATTGGGTTAATTAGTATAGTAAATCAATCTTATTTTTGCCTAAAATGATGTTATTATACGTTCGGCTCAGGTATGTTTAAAGTAGATAGATAATTTTGCTAAACAAGTTGCTTTAATTGAATTAAATAATTAGTTTGATATTTATTGTATAATCATTTTTATTTAGTGCACAATTTGTACATTAATAATATAGTTTTAACAAGCGTTGCATAATTACATAATTTAAATTCATATATAATTTGATATAAAGTTTAACTGTTTATTGATAAAGAAAAGACAACCCGCGCACTTGATAAATTCGCAAGAATAACTAGACGGAAAAGTCTCTCTTGCAAATCAAATGGCACATTTGTGATTTTAGTGATTTTATGCACCGCATTATTTTGAGATTTATAAATAAAAAAATGTGTTGGCTGAAGCTACGCATACACCAATAAATAAATTATGTTACACGATATTCGTTTTTGTTTTGTAATCTTATTTGCAGATTATCTTTGTTAGACTACATCTCGATCTCAGACTTATTGCTAATTAAATTCCGTAATTCTTCGCTCTAATTTACGTGTACGGTCTTTTCGTATACTTTCTTCAAGTAATTGTGTTAAATTTCTGCAAGATATTACATATTAATATCCATAGCTAAAATTATTTAAAAACGTACAAGTTAGATTTTACAAGTTCTTTTTTGTTGTTGTGCAATTCCTTAAATTTTTCATCAAAGGCTTTTTGCGATGCGATTAAAACTTGAATGCGATTTTTGAGTTCGGATTCTCTACCCAAAGCTTCGACCAATTGTTGCTCCACAAGTGCAGAATGTTCATTTTCTGAATATGAAACTCGATTTGCGTTATTTTGTTCCTTAAAAGAATCGGTGGCTAATTTTAATTGGAGCTGCATATGTTCTAAAGCATTTTGTAAAATTTCAATTTTACGAATGGCAACTTGTCGCTCTTTAATCGCTTCCTCAACTTTGACCTTCAAACCAATATTTTCCTCCCGGATATTTAAGACTTCTTGTGTTAATAAAGCCATTTCTAAATCAATGTGTCCCAGTTTATCTTGTTTTTTCAAACATTCATCACTGTCGACTGCCACTCGAAATTTTTCAAAATCACTGAATGGAGATTCTAAATTTACGATTGTATTTTGTACGGTTGAACGTCGGCCCTTTAATTTTGAAACATGGTATCGTAAGCGGTTGTCGTCTTCTTGCGTCCATGATGTACAAATCTTATCAGGTATGCTAAAACTAAAAATCAAATTGTTATAAATGATCCATAAATATGTAAAATAATTATTAAAAATATTTATGAATTCATTATATTTTTAAATTTATTAAAACATAAAGCTTTTAGTTAATATTGGTGTTTACTTTCCGAAATGATTTGCCAATTTTTTTTAGCAAATAAAAGCTACTCAACAGACATAAATATTCATGATGACAAAGTATGCCTGTGCTCGAGCAACTGTCTCGAGCACAGCAAAACCCTCGAAAATGTTCAAGTACTATTAGGTTGGTAATAGTTTATATATATATATAAATATTAACTATTTGTATATTTATTACGATACATACGTATTTTGCCATGGACCTAAACTATTTTCACATAAATCCTTCTCGCTTTCCAGTCGGTCTAATAGATGTCGAGCTACTAGCTCTACAGCTTTTCGACTATCTTCAGCACCTGCAGAATTGTCCATTATCAAGCCCAGTCTAGAATGAGACAATATCCAAAAAAAATGAATACAACAAACAAAAAACGAAAAAGAAGCAATGCAGCAATCTTACCTGCTTTCTAACAAAGCTAACATTACATCATAAGCTTCTATTGCACGATCACTGCAGTTAAGAGCAGTCTGTAATGCAATTGCATTTGATTCATATTTACCACAAAGTAAATATAAATGCTCACAATGTTCCTTACATTCCTCCAAGGTAAGTGTGAGTACAGTATTCCGGATTTTGAGATGCTCAATTTTACGCTGAAGTTGTTGTAGTTCATTTTCGAATTCAGATGATTCCATAAAACTCTTCAACACACTGCTTTGCTTTAAATCGGAAACCAAGTGCTCAACAAAGTCAATATTATTTAACTAATTATAAAAACATTAACAAATATTTATAATTTTATTTTGAATTCTCTAATAATTACTTCGCTTTTTGCTGAGTCAGTAATTGCAAAGTTTTCGCATTTGGTAGCACATCTGAGTTTTACACGTTCAGCCATTTTAGGAACTGGTAGAGCCTTTTTAGTACTGAGTTCGCAATGCGTAAAGGTTGCTACAAATTCTGTTACCAATGTAAGCATATAATTTATTATTTACATCTACAAATAATTTACCTGATTCATTGTTAACAACACAGTTTTGCACAAATTCTTCGCCTTTTAAGTTTTGATAATATCGATCCATGGAACAACTACTTTGATTTGCTTCAACGTCTTCACCATAAACTTCAATACTTTGATCCTCTTCTATAACTTCTTGGGTCACACTTGCAGTATTAGCAATTTCTGATTGTAACAATGCAATCTGTGCTCTTAAATGTAGCACCTCCTCCTGTAAGGCCTGTTAAAGAAGTTTTTGCTATTAACGTACTACAGTCATACACAAGTTGAGGCAGTATTACCTCAAGTTGCCCTTTGTTGACAGTATCATTCAGTTTTACTTCCTCGTGAAATTCGCTACCGGCATTTTCTCCACTAAAACGAAGATCGTGATTTGATATTGCTCCGCCATCAACGGGATCCGTTTGACATTCTGCATCAGGATTTGTCAAATTAAGTTCAGAATTATAAATCGACCCTTCTTGATAACTTATTTCTAATGCAAAATATATTTAATATATGTAAATTAAAATATCTTTGAAATTTATTATGTGCAAAGTACCACTGCCTTCAGGTTCCTGCTCTTCTAAAATAGTACTATCTTGTTTAGCTCGCAACTTTTTACTTAGTTCAGCAATCACGCAGTGCATTTCAGTAATTCTACATTCATGTGCCGTGCTCACAACTTCTAACCGTCTCAAGCACAAGTCTCTTTCATTTTTGCATTCCTCAAATTGACGTTGCACATCAGATCTCTGCTGTTCTGCTTGCTGAAGACGTTGTGAAAGTTCTACAACTTGCTTCTCAAGGTGGGTTTGCGTTAAATTCTCTACCTATAATAAAAAATAGTTTTGTTCAAAACCAAATCAAAAATTTTGTAAATCAATTTATAAATTGCACTTTAATAGGTTTTATTGGATGTGGTTGAGCTATCAATGTATATTCCCAGCTGTTTCGAAAATCATTCCCATGCAAGTATGGATCTCTTGGTTGCGATTCAGAACAACATAAACAGCTTAGGCTGCGTGGAATTAAACTTTCTGATATCATGTCATTACTTCTCGATAAATTTCATTTCAATTTAAAAGAATTACGTCTTAGTCAAAGCGCGATATTATGCTTTTGCATTACAAAATGCAAAAGGGCAAATAGGATGCACGTCATTAATGCGTAACATTTTTTTTATTTTTTCAGTACTTGCGCACAATGCAACTGCAGCCTAAATAAAAACAAGAATCGTCTTCGCGCTTACCTACCTTATTTACAATATCTAATGTAGAACACGAACTAATATTATTATCACTTTCATTGGTATCTCGCTGATCTGGTGATTCGATGACATCTCCTATCAGTTTAGCATGTCCACAACGTGGAGATACACTACCAAATAGATAATATTCGTCATGTTGGCTATTCTCTTGCGTATTTTTAGTTCTATGTGGGCCCAAGCAGGAACGATGGTTTTTTTCAGAAGCAACCATCATCCGCTGCTGAGTACGAGCAATATGCACATCATTATTGGACATATTATGTTTTGATCTACTATTTTTGTTTTTACAATCTTTCCTCTTTCTTCATCATTTGTTTTCATGTCTGACACTTGAAGTGAGCACGCCCTCTTTTTACATTTTAAAAGTGTTTTTAGCTTTTACACTGAGTTAAAAAACTTTTAATTTATGTTATTTAAATTTATATCAGAATAATAATTTTTAATATATAAATAAATGAACATTGAAAAATATATTCTGGTCTGCGATCTCCCAAACCAAAAATTTTATTTATTTCTCTAATAGTTGTGCTACCATATGAAGTATACTATAATGAGTTGCCATATTTTAATTCAAGTATAATTTTAAATGCAAAATGCTGTCCATAAGAATACTGCCTTTATCACTGTGAACCAATTTGACAATCGATATACATATATTAAGCTTTTTCTTTTGCAAGCATGTCGGTAAAGAACAAATAAAATAAGTAATACTTTCGATAGCATTTTTGGTCTATTGTGCACAGTATGATATATAAATATTGTAAACAAAAATTTAAAAAAAATTTCTTATTTTTTGTGTTATATATTTAAATTTATTTATTTATGAAATTCTAATATGATTTTAACATTCACAATAGACTAATTTGTGAATTTGGCCGCACTGAAAGATATACAATTTTTTGCAAGTAAAACCAATGTCTAAAGATTTCAAAAGCATTTTTAGGCTTCATAAATTTTCTTTCGTGATTTGAAAGAATTTTTTTTGAACTCTGAAAGAAATTTTTCAGGTACCATTATCTGGAAATGATCGTTCGTTCACAAGCGTTTGCTTTGGTGTGGATGCATCTTAACATATCCCTTAAAATTAGAATCATATAATAGAAACTTTTGCTGGAGATAATTAATAAGCTTTGTATAAAATTTATGCTTTACAGAAGAACTATCAATAAAAACTGTCAATAAAAAGAAACTACTTATTAAGCGTTTTTGGTCGCTAGTAAGTGTGGCAAAAAACAGAAAGTTACTGGCCTAACTTTTAATTTTATATTATGTATTTTTAAGCAAATTGTAATTTGGTTGTATTAAGTGCACGTATGCAAGATTTGCTGTTTGCCAAAATATAATATTTGACAGATTGCAACGGTGATGCCAATGCGAATATGGACCAGCATGCGTTCTTTGCCACACTTGCGAACAACCGAAAACGTCTATTATTATTTGTCTTTTATTTATTTTATTGAATAAATATATTAACTTGTAACATATTGAGATAGATAACAGTATTGATATAGCTATATGCGATATTGTTCAGATAAGAAGTTTACCCTCATACATATGTTCTGTAAATAAAACACTATTAATACATGTTACGACTTTGTCATATTAGAATTATATTCGGAATTTGAGAGATGTGTATAATCAACAAAATAAAACAAGTAACTGAAAACATTAAATTAATTTTATGTACTATTTTATTAGAGCAAACAGAAAAATGGAATACGCTGGGAGCAACAGAAATCTTCGTCATCAAACAATATATTCATCGGTTCATCGTGAATGGGCTGCTTAATATTGGCCTACTTCATTTTGTCATTAGTTGAATCGCACAAATTGGACGCGGCGATTTTTATCATTATTAGTTTTGTGAACAGCATTTTCGCACTTTTAATTTAAGTATTTATTATAATTTCATCATGCTAAGCCGAAAAAGAAGAGGTAGTTCATTATCTTCAAGCAAACAAGATGACGACTCTATGCAAATGGATGACTCTACACCAGAACAGTCTCCTGTTTTAGTTACTTCAACGAGGAAAAAACGCCGAATTATATCTGATCCTACTGAGTTGTGTCAGCAGTTGTATGATTCAATTAGAAATATCAAAAAAGAAGATGGTGCAACGTTGTGTGACACTTTTATACGAGCTCCGAAACGAAGACAAGAACCATCTTATTATGATGTTGTAGCTAATCCAATAGATTTATTGAAAATACAACAAAAGTTAAAAACAGATTCATATGATGATATTGATGATTTGATGAACGATTTTGAATTGTTGGTAAATAATGCTAAAGCATTTTATAAGTCTGATAGTAATGAATACAAAGATGCTGTGGCACTATGGCAATATGTACAAACAAATAGAATGCGAATTATTGATTCAGCAGGCGGAATTGACGAAGAACCCAAACCAAAACGTCGGTATACCAGACGTTTAACGGATGGCGATGATACGAATCGTAGTATTGAAGAAGAGTTTAATCCATATGAAGAACTTTTTGCTGCAGTTATGACAGCTACTGATCCTAGTATGAATGATAGGCCACTCCATCGTATGTTTCAATTATTGCCTTCAAAGAAAGTGTATCCTGATTATTATGATGTCATTGAACATCCAATTGATTTGCGTCTCATAGCAACAAAAATCCAAATGAACGCATATTCTACTCTAATTGAAATGGAAAAAGATCTACTACAAATGACAAAGAATGCGTGCCAGTTTAACGAACCGGGTTCTCAAATATACAAGGATGCGAAAACTTTAAAACGCATGTTCACTCAAAAACGAATTGAAATCGATAGTGGTAAATTTAAACCAAGTCGACGTGTTAGAACCCTATCAAGTTCTGCAATTGCTGGTAAATATTTGTACATAGAATACTTTCAAATATTTAAATATATATATATACATATATTCTTTTCATAATAGCTCTGAAAGAGGAAATAGATAGTTCAGATGATGAAGAAACAAGTAAAAAAGGTGAGGGACCTATGTGGGCATTGTTTGATCATCTCTATAATGCGGCAGGAACATCAGATCATTCTGGCATTACTGGACCTCCTCTTGGTACTTCACTTTGGAAACTCCCAGTGCGCAGATTTCATCCAGAATACTTTGAACTTATCAAGCGACCAATATCGATGAGTCAAATTCATACAAAATTAAAAAAGGGAGACTATGCTAATATAAGTGATCTCACTGGAGATTTGTATCAGATGTTGGACAACGCTAAAAAAGCATTTCCTGCAACCCATAGGACACATAAAGATGCGGTAAAAATGTTAAAAATAATGAATGCTAAGCTAGTAGAAGAATCGCTTGATCAAGATTTAAGTGAACCAGAAGATGTAGAAGCTGATGAGTCATTACCTATTTTACCACGTAAAAAAGGACGTCCACGTATAAACTCTAGTTCAAGCACACCAAATACTCCAAGCTGTTCAAATACAAAAGCTACTCGAATACCGATTAACGCAACCATTAAAAAGAAGATTCTTAGCATTCAAAAATACCTTGTTGATTTTACTGTTGCCAATAGAAGACTAATTGACTTATTTATGGAGAAACCTCAAAGGAAAGTTTATCCTGATTATTATGACATTATACAAAATCCCATAGATATGAATATAATAGAGCATAACATACGTTCAGATAAGTATTCTACAGTCGAAGATGTAGTTGCAGACTATCGCCTTATGTTTTCTAACTGCCGTCAATACAATGAAGAGGGTTCTACTATATATGAAGATGCGAACAATCTTGAAAAAGCGTTAAATGAAAAATTGAAAGAGTTTCCTGGTTTAACTGATATTAAAAAACCAGTGTTGAAAGGTCCAAAGTCTAGTCGGAAAAAAGTTGGCATAACTGATAAACTGTGGCAGTTTTATGAGACAATTAGAGACTTTCAAGAACTTAAGGGTAAACGACAACTCTCCCTTATATTTACAAAATTGCCATCAAAAACTGAATATCCTGACTATTATGATATAATAAGAGAGCCAATCGATATGGATCGCATAGGTCAAAAGCTAAAACATAGTATATATGAAACAGTAGACGAATTAGCAGCTGACTTTTTACTTATGTTAGAAAATGCTTGCAAATACAATGAACCCGATTCACAAATATATAAAGATGCATTGGTTTTGCAACAACTTACCCTACAAACGAAGCAAACTTTACGTAATGAACGGGAAGCTGTACCTGATGTTTCACTTGCTGTACAAGAAATATTTTTGACATTATTTACTTCACTCTATAATCATCAAGATGAAGAGGGTCGTTGTTATTCCGATTCATTAGCAGAACTACCTGAATACGATGAAGTTGTGGACGAAAACGGACATACGACAAAAGTGCGTGGCATATCTTTGGATCTTATAAAACGTAGATTGGATAAAAGTGTTTATAAAAGATTTGATATTTTTCAAGAAGATATTTTTACTTGTCTTGAACGTGCGCGGAAATTGTCTCGCACCGATTCGGATGTCTTTCAAGATTCGTGCGAACTGCAAACTTTTTTCATTAAAAAACGAGATGAAATATGTAAAGATACTTTAAGTTCTCCAGCGATGCTTTACACATTAGAGAAGTTACTGTCGGAGGTCGAAGCAGTTCGTCAACAGAAAATGATACAGGAAGAACAAGACCAAGAGGATAAAGAAGAAGTGGAAGCAGCTGCCATGCAAGGTGGTGAAAGTGTGACTATAAATCAAAATGTGTTTTCACCTGGAGATTTTGTATACTTTCAACAACCAGAAAATAAAATTCCAAGTGTTGCTTGTATTGAACGTCTTTGGACTACTAATGATGGAGTCAAGATGATGCAAGGTGCTGTATTTCTTCGTCCGCATGAAACTTTTCATGTGGCTTCAAGAAAATTTTTGGAAAGGGAAGTATTTAGAAGTAGCGTTTCTCAAACAGTTTCTATGGACAAGGTTTTGGGAAAATGCTACGTCATGCATATTAAAGACTATATAAAATTAAAGCCTGAAGGTTTCGCAGAAAAAGATGTGTTTGTATGTGAATCTCGTTATAACGTTACACAACGACTTTTTAGAAAGTTTAAAACGTGGCACTTTGTTCGCGATAATGATCCTATTAAATTTGTAACTCGAGAAGAACCTTTGGAACTAAAACGTGTGATGTCGGTATTTAAAGAACGTATTGAGAAACATAAAGGTGAATTAGAGGAACTTAAATTACAAGAAGCATTAATAGAAAAAGAAAAACCAAATGTTCCGTGTGATCCACCAACAAATGCTGAAGCTAATGCTGTTTATTATCAGCAGTATAACACAATTTGCAGTGGAGTAGTTAAAACTGGAGATTTTGTCTACGTAGCAACTCAAACCGGTAAACAGTCTATCGCCCAAGTTCATCAAATATGGGAAAACTCAAATAAGTCTTATTTCCGAGGTCCATGGCTATTGGCGCCAAGTGAAGTATCACCATCACTGAGTAAGCAATTCTTCAGACAAGAATTGCTTTTGTCAACTGTGGAGGAAGTTAGTCCAATAATAGCCATTGTTGGACGATGCGCTGTTCTTGAATATTCTGAATTTGTAACATGTCGCCCTACAGAATTTCCTGAAAGCGACGTTTATATATGTGAATCAGTATATGACGAAATGAAAAAATCTCTGCGAAAGAATACAGGAGGTTTGCGTAAATTTCAGCACAGTTCAGATGTTACGGAAGATGAAATATTTTATTTCAAATCACCCATAAAACCTTTAAAGGAACCAAAATCAAATGATATGAATGAGAGTTTAGGAATATTAGATGACTCATTGGATGGTAATCCACCCTCCTTGAATTCAGATATAGTAGCTGTCGCTTCTCCAGCGCCGTCAGTTTCTTCTACTCCGATATCGTCAAAAATTAAAACAAAAATAGCTAAGAAAAGTCTTACAGGTTACATACTATATTCAAGTGAAGTGCGAAAAGGTATATTAGATTTTTTAAAAAATTAACTATGTATGTCTTTGTCATACAATTTTTTTCTTTTGTAGGTATAAGTCAAAGTAACCCTGAAGCATCCTTCGGTGATATATCGCGTATGGTAGGAAATGAATGGAAAAACTTGCCAGCTAGTGTGAAACAAAACTGGGAAGATAAGGCTTCTAAATTAAATGCAGAGTTTGCAGCAGCTCGTTTACTTGAAGTTGAGGAAGGGTTAAATTGTATTAGTCCAAACCCAACTGATGTGTTAGGCGGACTTACATATGAATGTCTTTGGGATAAATGCGATGTTCAATTCGAGGACTTAGTCGATTGTATGGAGCATTGCATACAAGATGGAAATGGGCATGTACAGCGTACTTCATCGCAAGTAGCAGATTCAGAATATGTTTGCATGTGGCGTAATTGTATACGCATAAAAAAAAATATGCAAGCTTTTCCATCGATGTCCAGGTTAATAAAACATGTACGAGAAGTGCATCTTAGTAAATGTGGAAAAAATATACCGACAAATGAACGTAGTAAGAACTATGTGGTAAGAAAGCATAAACCAGGTGCATCACATTCTATGCAGCAATCCAGTGCCACATCGCCAAGAGGTGCTGCTAATGTAGAAGGTATGCAGCCACCATATCAAGCAATAACACATGTTCCACCACCAGAACCAATGTTCATTACTGTGCCACCTAAACCGCAAAGGGTCTTACATTCAGAAGCATATATTAAGTATATTGAAGGTTTACAAGGTCATAATAATTTAAATACACAAATGACATCAAAAAAAGCGGTAACACCAATAAAGCCAGCTAATATCAGTAAAGTTAATTTACCAACACACTGGCTTGGTCAGTACGCTACAGAAAATGGAGATGACGTTGTGCAAGCTTTGTGTCATTTACGTAATTTTATGCTGGATGATGTATTGCAGATACAAAGAAATTGCTATTAAAACAATAACTGATATTATTAAATTGATAAAATTAACATAAATTATGTTTAACAGTTTGAAAAACAGTTTTTCTAATAAATATACCTTCTTTTATTAAATTTAAATTTTGTTTATTAAATTTTAGAATATGTTTTTTTTTCAATTTTAAATGTAATTATAATACACATGAGAATCTCTAATAATTCTATGACGGAAGAAGAATACTTATCAATATTAATAAAAAAAATTGGTGTTCCTTTTGTTTATTATTCAATTTGTTTTGATTCTTCATTTTTGCATTATCAAAACAAAAGAAGATTACAATTTATATATTCTCATTGATTCTTCTTTGCATTCCATTTCAAACAAGTTTTTGTGAATATTTGAAATGCTTAATGACATCATGTTTATATTGTGATTCTTATCTAATATAATATATAAAACAAAATGCGGTTGAAGACGGCATGTACCGGCAACGCGAAGGTATTAAAAGCTCTTGGTTACTTTTCGTTTGTCAAACAAAAAGCTCAATAGGAAAGCTTTTTTCGCTGCTGTTTGTTTGGTATAATTTCTGAACATTCGCTGAGGTGCGTACACAGTTTTTGAATCAGTTTGTATTTGATAGTAATTTGTAGTGGTCACAAGAAAATCATAAAGAAAATGTCTGATGCTAGTGAGTCTAAATTTGGTTTCAAGGACAAGGAAAAGGCAGAGGAGACGCTACAATTATTAGAGAGCCATGATATGCAGTATAGGAAATTGACTGTACGAGGATTACTTGGAAGAGCAAAACGAGTGCTTACAAGTAAGAACAGAATAAAATTTTAATATTATATAAATTTTATATAAATACATATGTTTTCATTTGTTGTTGTCTTACCTAAAATTACTTTATGTAGTGACCAAAGCAGAAGAAAAAGTTAAAAATATAAATGAAGCAATTGCAGTATTTGAAAAGTGGTTGGAGGAATATGGAGGAGGTGCTGCTAATAAAAACGCCAAAACGGATAAGGAAGATAAAGTAGAGACAGTACCTGGGCTTGGTTTTAAAGATAAGGAAGCAGCAGAAACAACATTACGGTAAGGATTAAGTAGTCTATAAGACAAGTTTCTGTTTATGGTATACATTTTACACGTACTAGTGAAAGACTGAAGAGACCAAAACCGGTTTTTCTTTCTTGTGAGGAGAGATTCACTGCAAAGGCGTTTTATTAATAGTCAGTTACGTTATAAATAAATATTGTTAATAAATATTAACATTCAATTAATATTTCTATTAGGAGTTAAAAGTTGATACATAGGTTTTCCATTGATAATAAACTCTCTAAAAAAATAATATATGTGATGTTTACAACGAGTATAGACTGTTTTTTATACTCGTATATAATCCAATAAATGCATAAAGAACATTTATCAGTTATTAGATTTATCAGTAAAATTTTTGTTTCAGAACTTCAAAACATAATTCTTGTAGTGATAAAATACTATTATACATACTGCGTGGTACTAAAAAAACAGTCTTTAATGCTCACAGTTATATGTATAGTTCAAGTGTATTTATTATATATAGCAAATTAGTCAAAATGCCTTTTTTTTTTAAATATGTTTTCTATATTAATTATCTGCTGTTTTTGCTGTTGTTATGACCCAGTTCTGAGGGTTTTGAGATTTTTATCTGAAGCATATGGCAAGGTTAATTTAATCTATTGAATTATAGAATAAATGCTCGGTTCATTTGTATAATTTTATTGAAATTGTAGCGAGAATAGCGGGTTACGGAAAACTGTTTTCTTCTTAATTATTCTAAAAACTATCTGTTTTTGTTTTAGTTCTTCATAAAGTGCAAAATCTTATTTAACCAATTTAATTTAAAAACATTTTTTTTTCAAATTTATTACCTATTAACATTCTTTGTAGCTGATAATAATTTATACCAACACTTTTTTCGTTTTCGTATAGTTAATAAAATTTACGAATACGAAAGCGAAACATTTTGAAAATTTGCATACCAATTAGATCTCCCCTTGCGCATACTGCCAAGAGCTTATGAGTGTATCTATAAGTTATCGGCTATACATTTGTTTCTTTCAATATTTTCGATTATATTAAAAATGTTAGCTGTGGCTTGTTGGTTGCATGGTGCATATCAATGCTGAGATATTATGTATGTCGTGATATATATTTTTTATCAAAAGTAAATCTTTTTTTATATAAAACTATTATGAATTTTGTTAGTTAAACATTTATTTGGTTTGCCGAAGGTCACAACGTTGGGATGATGTCATGTCATACATTTAGCCCATGCGCTCACAGTCCATGAATATTCTTTACCTCTTCGCAATTAAGTATTTACGCTAATGACATGTTTAGGTTTTTATTGATATGTGTACTGTGTGTGCGCGCACATCAGAACAGTACAAAATATATTAATAATTGTAATAAATAACAAATAAATAATAAGTAAAGATAAAGTAGCTCTGAGCTCATACGATATCACAGCTTCCACTACGACAAATAGCAAATACATATGTACGTATGTATATACATTTGTATAAGTGAATATTCCATATATTCAATAAATTATTTTATTTGAAATGAGTAATTTATTTAAAATTATTGTACATAAACTTTAATATTGCTTTTAGCTTAACAATAACTTTAATATGTATAGTATATTATATGATGAGGTATCATATATCGGTTTAATAATTAAACATGATATTTCATTTTTTAATTTGATAAAAAATTTTATTATTCTAATTCAAGTATTAATTTTATTATTTACATAAGCTTAAAATTTTGAAATTATATTTGAAAAAATGAAAAAACTTTTATGGAAAAAATATAATATATATTAAATATAGTTTTTGGCACCCCTTTAGTTCCATTATCTTTTACATTTTATACATAAAATTAAACTCTTAACCACCTGCCAAGACCTCTTGCACGATCATCTTCCCACACAATATAGTACCTTTTAATTTATATATATTTTATATATGTATAAATATATCTATCCGTTTTCATATCAAAATATAAATTTATCAAGGGAGAACTGCTGAAAGTAACTCTAATTTATATCACACAGACCTTGTGTTTTAAAGTTGTAGCTAGAATAGAGATCGATTCTAATTCTCCAAACGTCGTGATTTGACCACAGATTTTGATTCATTTGAATATTCTATGCAACTTTCTCCACAATCTTATATACCGATATGGTTTGAGTCTTTTTATATTAAGTACTGGCTATAGTTAAAGGGGTTTTCTTTGTAATGATATGAAACCTAAACAATGTTGTCATCGACAGATTTTTCAATGTACTACTAAATGATGTTGGGAATTGTTCTTGATACATTTCATGTAATTTTTGGAACACGTATTAAAAAGGCAGCAAGATTCTATTTAATTTCAATTGACTATTTGAATAATTCACTAAAAACCTTGTTGTTTTTTATTCTTTATGGAATTTCTACTTATTAGTTATGAAAATACAAGCTCAAATAAAACAGTAAATTAAAATGATTTTTTAACCTACATATTTTTATATAACAATAAAATATTATTTATTTATTAAATAATATTAGAAATTATTTATTGCTTAAGTATAGTTTTAGCATTGAACATATTTATACCAGGGGTTTCCGGTTTTTAGTACTGTTAGCATTTTGGGCGCTGACTACGTGCTTAAATAAGCTGAAGAAGTTGTTAACATAGGAAAATACTATTGGATCAAATTTACAAAGTAATATAAATTCATATTTACTCCGTTAAATATTTTTGGTGGCCATTTTGAGGACCTATAATAGAAAATACGTTAGTAAAGGTGTTGAGTGACATATACTTCAGTACACACAATATTAGTATTTTTCTTCTAACTATAATAGAAAATATGTAGTTATTTTTTAAATTGTTATTAAATTATTAAATTGTTATTATTATTTTGACGACCATTTTGATAAAAAATTTAAATTCTTGATATAAACTATTGTTTTTAATTAAGAGGTTTTTTTTTATTTGTTATTTAATTAAATTAATACAAAATGTAGTAAATTATTTATTATTAAATTATTAAAATAATTAAATTATTTTATTTTGCAGTATTCTTGAAGATCGTGACCCAGAATATCAAAAACTCGCTGTTAAAGGTTTAATTGGAAGTTCAAAACGCGTCCTTTCAGGTACAAAAAATGAAGATAAAATCAAATCAATACAGGAAGGTGTAAAGATATTGGAAGATTTTCTTGAGAAGTTTGAAACAGAAAATATGATGAAGAATAATAAAGCATATCTAGCTTACACACTTATCGAAGACCTTCCAGCTCCAAAAGCAGAGTTAGCTGCAGAATTCATTGAAGCATACGGTGGTTCAAAGGCCAAAGGGAACTATAAACATCTTAGAACAATGTACCCTAAAGATGATTCCATATCATGGGATATTATACGTAACAAAAACATATCAAAAATTATGGAAAGACTTAAGGCTGAAGAAGCTAAACTATTTGATAGTAATGGTGCGCCAAGTGATATTCATTTAGAATTGATTCATTGGGCATATAGTCCTCAGCCAGATAAATTAAAATCATTTATACAGAAAAATAGCAAAAAAGTTGCTGAAAAGCGGAAGAGTGATCACAAAACAAGCTCGAGTTCAGAAGATAGTGATGATGAAACTCCTAAAAAAAAGAAAAGAAGCGATTAAAAATGTTCCAATGTACTTTACATAAAATTTGATAGTTCAAGTAACATATTTTATTGTATTGCAAACAATAAACACTTAATTTTATATAAGTTATTTTTTATACTTGTTTTTTTTTTACAAATTTACTTAATATTTTACATATTAATATACAATATTTAAGCACTTTAATTAAAACTTATGCAAGGGACTACTATAAAACAAAGTATCTGGTGGTGTTTTACTACTACTGGTTAAATGCCCAATCAAACTTCTTTCTCTACCAGTTTCATGATCTAAAATTGTACCACTATTAACCGTACTTCTGTTTAAACTATCATTTTTTGAGACCGAAAGAGATGAAGTTGTACCAGCGAGCACGTGACTGTGATCAGCTTTTGCAGGCGATAAATGTCCGTAAGCCATATTAAAAAGTGCATCTGGATCGCAAACAAATCGGTAAACGTACCGCTCACCATTTACTTTCTGCATAATACCCTTCTCATAATAATAGCGTAGACTACGTGAAAGCTTATCATAGTTCATAGCTGGTCGGTTTTTTTGTATTCCCCAACGTCTTGCAACTTCTTCGGGTTCAATTAATTTGAACTCCATACCCCTACCAGTCCAGGCTATACAACTTGAGCTATGAAATGATGGTTTTTAAGATGATGGTGTTATACAAAACTAATTAAGAGACATACCTTGTAGCGGGTTCATCCAAAAGCGCTACTAAAAATTGCCACAGCTGTAGTGAGCCACGTCTCTGAGTAACAGTTTGACTAGTAGATATAGCGTTACTAGTATAAAGATTCTCAAATTTCATATCGGCTTCAGTCGAAGTAACTGTTGTTGAGTCTACAGCGCTTGGGCGCAGTAAGGAGTAAGTAGACGATATTGTTGTATTATATGGACTGTCGTATTTAATATCAGCTTCACCTGTTGTGGATGTGGGTGGTCGTAACATATTGTAAGCGCTATTACTTTGAGCATTGTAGTGTTGATAAACACTGGGTGAATTTGTTGAAATGACACTTGAATGATTGAATTTAAAAGCAGAATTCGCCGCTTGTGTGGGGCTCGTCAAATGTTGGTGCTGTGGATGCAGATTACCACTATGGATTTGCGCTTGATGATTACCCAAATGTGTTGTGGAGTCAGGATGTTCAATTTTTGTATTTTGAAAAGAATGACCAATCTGAAGTGAACTGGAAGAGTTTCCTGAGTTGTTACAAAACACAGCATCTGAAATATATGATTAAAGTTATATGAAGTGAAATATTTTAAATTTTAATTTTAGTATTTCATTTTGCGAACATATGGTATACAAAATGGAATATAGAAAACACACATGAACAGGTTGAATCTAAAAGACGACGAACATCTCAAAAGTTGAGGGAACATATGTTTTACTCTTAATTAGGTTATACTTGAAACTTAAAGAAACAAAAGTTGACTGATATCATCGATGAAACATATAGTTCAAGAGAGGTGAGGTATTTAGCTCAAAAATTGTAAAAAATTTTTACGTTTTTTTATTGAATAATAAATAATCCATACAATACTAACAAAAATCAAGTGGACGTAACATACCCGTAGAAATATTAGATATGAGAGTTATGTTGAGTAGGTACAATTGGTAAAACCTTTCCTCAAAAATTTTTTTTCATTATTTCTTTGGCTAAGTTCTTGTCAAATCACTACCCGTATATGTTCTGACCCAACTATAGCGAAGGAAACACTGTAAACTATAAAAGAGGAAGTATTGAATTGATGCAGAAAAAAAGAAGCAGCACAGGCAGCAATAGCTTTAAATCATTTCACAATTAATGTAATAGCCATTAATATTAATATATAAAATTGTCTGCCAATTTTATATACATATATTTCAGATGAACACTTTACAATTAGTATATATTTTGCTACATATATTGAAGTTGTTACAGGTCATATTTTAAGAAACCGTTAATAGTAAAGTCTCATGAAAGGCTTAAAAATGTGGTACAAACACAGAAACTTCCAGAACTATTCATTGCGTGCAAATAAGAGAAATGCATCTTACGAGTATAAATTATCTTTAAATTTAGATATATCGTTGTCATGTTCTTTAATACAAGGGATTTATGCTTTGCGATTATAAATCTCATAACATCAGCTAATACCATATGTCATACATATCTTAATATATATTAACTTGAAGCTTCAAACATAACATTGTTGTATAAAACATTAATGTGTCGATTTTCAGCATATGGCTGGGAAGCATGGACTCTTAAAGTACAACACTCTTAGTAGTTCGCGACTGTGAGTTATCTAACTAACAACAATGTACTTAAGGGAATTCTTAAAAAAAAAACAAAATGATTCCTAGACTGAAGAAGTGCACGATATCGAACAAGCTCAAGAACCATGAACACTAGAAATTACGAAATCAAGACCAATGACCTTATATTTTGGAGACACACTGTGAAAGAAATTCTGATCCACACCAGAATATGAAATTATGATATAAATAAAAAGAACGACCAATCACTGATACTGTGATACATAATTACCTTCTAATACAAAAAAAAAATATGAGTAAAAATGATTGGTAAAGGCATTTATACAAAAGTTAGACTATTGATTCATTCATGTGAATGTTTGCTTAGTAATTCCTAATTTTATCTTCTTACCGTTTTGCTTAATAGTTTTAAATCACTACAGCGCATTTTTAGCGTATAATAACCCAAATTATTTAAACGGCTCATTCAATTTTCCCATGATATCAAGAGGCTAACATTTAACGTTACATAACCCATCTTCATCTCTATTACGTACGTAACCAACGAACCGTTAAATGTTCAATATGGCACAATTTATTGTTTTAAGGATACACATGACTACAAACTTGACTACCAGCCAGATTGGCCTTTAATAGAGAACAACAAACAAATGTTAATGTATGGAGAACTCAATGAAAATCGCACTGCTCTTCTTCGAGGCTATTAAATATTCAATGGATGCCTTGCATAATCCATGAGAAAGTGTCGACAAGTAAAAACATCATCAGTAAAGCATTAAGCCTCTTGGAATGGGTTCGAGCATTAAAGCAGCAAAAGCAGCAAAAGGCGCAACAGACACTGCTCAACTCAAAGAGGGTTGCCAACAACAAGAAGTGCAGTAAAAATTGGGTGCAAATATCATAGATATCATAGGGGCGCGGCTAAACAAATTTCACTTAAAAAAAGAGCAGACGAACTGCTAAAAACTACACAAAAACAACAATAAGAAAAAAATAATGAAGTGGAATGTGGGGTGAGAGAGCCCTGTATATTCATTTCGAAGGGAAATGATTTTTAGTAAACAAATTCATGAAAGCTGATTTTTCTGCTTTATATTTTTAAATTGAATTGAATTTTATGCGGTTACATTATCAGCTTGTTTCGCTCGATATTGTTAAAGTGTATCGGCATGAGCATATCAATGAGGAGTCATGATACAAAAAGAAAAAAATGAATAATAATTTCCAACAATATTACTGACAATTGGATTAGTTATACCTGCTGTAGGCTTCTTTACTTCGCTGTTAGAATTTTTATTATATATTCAAAACCATATTTAATATGCAAAATAAGTAAAAAGAATAATGTAAACAAATTGAATTATTTGTGCGCGGTATCTGCAGTAAACCAATAAACCAATAAATCATAACCACGACGTATCTTTGATTTTTCAATTTTATGCTTAATTTAAATAAATGAAACCGCTTGACGTTAAGTACATGTTTTCAGATACAAAGTTAACCTTACCTTCGTCGTTTTTCTTTAATATCCCCGCTGGTGGCGATGATGGAAATCTTGAGTGAAGCATTTAACAAAATAATAAAAAAACACAGTTGGAATTATTAAAAACTTTTATGGATCCAAAATAAAGACGCTTCTTCCAAAGCACAAAATAATTTCTTTTAAAAAAAAAAAACAAAAAAATTATATATGTTTAGAATAGGGGATATTTTAAACTTATTAATTCGTCATGATTTACTAATAAAAAATTGTATCAAATAAAAATTGTAAATGTAATAATATATGTAGACAAGTATACACTCGTTTACTGAATTCTTATCATTGAATTTATACCAAAATCTATAAATTTCATAGTTCAAAGTGTATTAACCACCATTTATTTACCTGTAACAGTAAGGATGTGTCACAGCAGGAATGTCGAAAAAAGATGACGTTCTTTCATGGCGAACTCCTTTCACATTTACTGAAAATATCAAAGCAAAATAATAATAAGTTTTCTTCAGTATAGAAAAATAAAGAAAATATTTATTTTAAGAAATTTTTTTAACATTTAACTTTTGTTAGATAATAATATTCAATATTAACACTCAACGGGGTATCTTGTTTGTTGCTGCCATTAATATGGTTTTTTTTATAATCACAATAATATACTTATAACATATTTCATATATTTGTCCATATATGGGAATGTCAATTGCATAATGAATACAAAATACTACTATTGAATTCATATTAAAAATAAGAAAAACTTAACATTGGTTTTGAAGAGCTTCAATATTGTTCAAATCAGATACTAATCAATTCTTTACTATATGCGACCTACCTTATTTTTAGATGTAAAAATCAACATACATATATATACATATTAAAAATTATAATCCCTTTTCGGTAATCGTTTTATGTGGTAGTTACACGACATAGTACACTAATTCCATCCATTTGTTGCATCTACAACTGAAAACCTAATACAATATTTAGTTAATCACTAGAAAAATATAATGCAGTCGATCTGGGGAGAACAGAAAACTCAAAAACAGCTGAAATTGTGGCTGGTTAACTAACGTAGAATAGACGAACTTATGTGAGATCACGACCTCCATATGAGGATTTAGCGAAATACCTATGATGACTTACTATTAAGAGAATACAATTATTCAGTTGAAGTGATTATAACTGGATTAACATGTTTGCAATGACATGTACTTTTGATATTTTACTTTTAATTTGAAAAAGAAGATAGATGAATGAACATCACTAAATTAAAAAACAGCTGGTGACAATAACATAGCCACTAATTTTAAAAATTGAACACTCATACGTATAATTATATGTATTAGATTTAGATTAGATTTTAAAAAACGGATTGGAAACATGTCACCACGTCACTGCATTCTTTGGAGATTATTGTGACACACCCACTTTAGTTTCATAGACAAGTAGCAGTTAAGAACGCCATTATGTCCTTTGCAGAGATGTTGCCTAATTCCGTTATAAGTTGATAGGCAGTGGATAAGTACCGAAGTCTGAGTCTGGCGAGACTATCACAGTGACACAGAATATGTCATTGTGCAGTTTCCTCTTCTTCGCAATAAAGCCTGCAGCTCTCGTCTCTAGTAATACCTAGGTTCGTAATAATACCATTGATGTAATCATGTTGGGGCAATGTATAGGAATTCAAGCAGATATCGCCTAAAACTAAAGTAAATAGCTATAGTCTAAAGCAAGCTTAATATCGTGTAAATGGGAGAAAAAACGAATGATTTGAAAAAATTGTGTTGTGAGTAATTAATGAATGAATCAATTAAAAAGCAGTAATTGAAAACTGTAAAAAAAGCATTATGTACTTAATGTTACTTGCAGGTAATGACTTTAGGTAATGAATTTAAATACAGAACAATACTTCATCTTTTCTAATAAATTTTAATACCAACATATACGTATATTCTAAAAATGAACAACATTTACTAAAGTAATCAAACCATTCAATAAAAATGTTACTCTATATTTGTATTGTAGGGTGATATTTTAAATTAATTACGAAGTAAACTCCTTCGGCCCTTCACACATGCGAGCAGTCAATGTTCAACTTAATGCCAGGGTAGTAGGTATTTAATATAAATAAATAAGAATAGTTCCTATATGAAAAATTTTATGTATTGTATTAAGGCTTTGTTTATTTAAAATTTTAATATGTTTTAATTTGTTTTCATATTTTGGAAAAGTTAAACACTGAGCCAAACACTGAAGTATAAACAAAGCCTCAAGCAACTCCAAGTGTTTTAAAAATTCATAACAAAATTAAAATTCAAGCAAACAACATAAAGGACCATTTAAAGTGAACGGGGATGGTACATGTGCAAACACTAGCATTGAGCGGTACTTGGAGCAGAGATTTACAGAATCATTGTTGTTGAAAACACCTAACGGATAAGCATTGAAATAAAGTAACTCACCATTGTATGCTGGTCCAGCATACATTACAAGCTCTTCCGTCGTCAATTGTTGCGGGTGGTGATGATGGGCGTGGGCGTGTGCATGTGCATGAGCGTGCGTATACCAATGTTCCCTCGTTATATCTAATAATGTATATAAATATATAAACCTTTAAAATGATAATATAAAAATAATTTAATATACATTTTTGTTTTTATGATTTTTATTGAAATTAATTTTCATTATAGGATGCTAAAAAAATTTGTTTAACTGACCACTTGTTTGAAGCGTCGTTGGCGGCACCAATGGTGTGCTAGATGTTGCCGCCGGAGCTGATAGTATTTCCAGACAACACGGTGACTTTTGCGTAACTCCGGAAAGATTTGATACATGTGTTACATCCATGACCGTATTATTGACCTCAGTTTGAAGATTTTCACTACACTTTTTTGAATCATCCGGTGATGTACTACTACTGCAGGCAATTTTCGTAGTAATCGATGTGGTTGGAAGCGTTGACGAGGAAGTGCACGGCACAATATCACCATTATTTATTGCGGAATAAGAACTTTCAGTACTTTCTAAGTGATGAGTTGTATGCACTAAATTTTGATGAATATTATCCATATTAAAATCCGTTCTAAAGTCTGTCTAAAATTTAAATATGATTATATCATTTTTAGATTCATTATAAAATTATTCAATTTAAGAATTTTATGCACTTTTACATATGTCTTAAGAAGAAAATTTTATTTATTTCTCAACAGGAAATTGTGACAAATTGCTTTCACCGGGAAATTGGAAAAACATATTTGAATATGATTTTTGCTAGCATGGAATACAAACGTAATTTGGAAATTGAAAATTAACCCTCACAAAATGTTCTCAAAAACAGGAAATCAAACTGGTGTTGAAAAACCACAAGTTTTTGGCAATAATCACCGCTGAGGAAGAAGCATTTCCGCTCGAAACATGATGTAAATTTAGATTTACTATAAGGGAAAATCACGAATTATAAGTTGAAACATTTTCATTGAAATTTTGCAATTTGTTTACGATTAAAGATGAAAATTATAAAAAAATTTGAACTTATTTTAAGTAAAAAAAATTTAAACTAAGGTCTACAGAATTTGATATGTAATAATATGTAATAACAATTAATACAATAATAAATTTCTGAAGAAAATATAATGTATTAATCAGGGAAACGACGTAATAACAATATAAATGGTAATTTACGAAGTACAATGTCCAGAAACCGGTAGCTAAAAACAAAAAACCAATTAATGGGGAAAGCAATGCCATCATTGCAGAAACATAGGTTTTCTTTACCAATTGCTTACTGGTTTAGATAAACTTAGACTTCTGCGTAGTAAACTTCTTTATTGTAACTTTCCCCATAAATTACTGGAATGAAATTTTTTTGATTAAGCGTACAAGTATATATGAGATATTGGAAAACATCTCAGAATTCATGTATGTATCATATCGGAATTCTATAATTGTCAATATTATTTATTTTATATTTATTAATATATTTTAGTTATTTGAATTAATTATAAAATTCATTAATTTATAATCTGACATATGAAACTGATTTATTTTTTAACTTAGTACTATTTTTTGGTAATATTTTACCGAATGATAAGATAATTGCCAAACTGTAAGCTATATAATGCTATAGTATTTTCTATATAAATACTGCCTCAAGGCAACCATATGGACCGGAGCCTATTCTTCAAATCAAATCAATATTAAATCAGACTTCACCATAAAGCTAATCGCAAGTCTAAATGGTCTAAATGGTTACGTTCTCTTTGTACAAAAGTCTTCTCCCAAACTACTCACAAAAGAGGAGGAAATATCTGCTTAACCTAAACAGATAAGATTTGAGAACAGTAATTGAAGTAATAACTGCTTTTTAAATAAGCATAAGTAACAATGGCACCTAATTTTTCTTCTTCTTTGTTTTAAATATTTCACCTTTTTGCTCTATTTATCACACAGGATTTGCTACATAAACACGACTTCTTTCAATTTGGACACTATAATTTATTCGCTCTATTTGAAGCCTGTGGAATTATATCTATTTTTAATTGTTAATTAATAATTTTATTTTTTTAAAAAACAAAAAGTGTAACATTTTTTGTAAATCTTCTTAAAATCCTTATTTATCGAAGCTAAGCATAGCTTGTCAATTTGTCTTCTTGTCCAATAATATGATATCAATATCGTTCGGATAGCTTCCACATGCAGCTCTAACAAATATATAAATTTATAATATTTTACCTTAATATGTACTTGCAGATGTATAGATATATGCGAATATCAAATTTTGAAGAAATCACTCCAAATATTGGAAATTAAAGCCTAATTTATATTAAACCATCGTTCAATCTTCATTTTTGTTGTTTTCTTTGGAAGTTACTTAATTACTTACGAATGTGACTACTTTTATCTCCCGCTGAGCACTTGCTCGTAGGTATCCAAATAATATATATGTTTTCGGGAAAACATAAACAAAGCATAAACCTGGACAGTCGCAAATCATTCTAATTAGTTTAACAGCTTGGCACTTGCCCCAATGGAAACTTTATCCATTGGCACTACAATCTTATGCCTTTGTTCCACATGCTGTACTGAAACATAATCAAAGCGAATTGCGCTTCGGCAATTAAGTAATGAGAATTGACTTTGTGACTAACGTAACGTACACATGTGTCAAGTGCAGTAACCTCAACAAAAAAGACACAATTCGTCTCATGGAGTTAAAGACACACTACATCATACTTTTTAAGATATCACAATGAAATAAGTTACAAATGTAAAAAGTTCACCTTTAAAGCGTTTTTGTTTATTGATATCCATTTCATTGCTTTAAATGTCAATAAAATTGCAAGTGGCCTGGAATATGTGACTTTCCCTATGTGGCATGTTTGACTTTTACCGAATACCAATTAAAATTTAACACAATTTATTACAGTACTTAATTTAAAATAAATTAAACCTTTAATAAATTTGTGATACTTTTTTTTGAAATTAGAAATGTAATTGATTTTATATAAGGACTGTGTTATCATGTAGTGGTTAAAAGTATATTTTAATACATTTTATTGACATCTCTTTAAAAATAATAAGATTTCTTTAACTTAAATAAAATAGTATTGTTAATATATACACAATTGTTGGTAGATAATTGTCATATTTGTAATATTTGTAAACATAGTCAAACTTCCATAACCCGAATTTTCTATAACTCGAACTAAAAAGAGTTCAACAGGGTTTTAGAGAGCAAATTACATACAATTCTGGTTTCATAACTCGAACTTCTATAACTCGAATTTCTCTCTAACTCGAATAAAAATATTAGGTGCCAATAGGAATGTGGCATTCTATAAGTCAAATTTTTGTTTTAAGTATGAATCCATTCTGGTGTTAGAGGAAGTCCCTTTTTCTACTAAACCAAATATATAATTTTTTTTCGAATGTTGTTTCTTCTTGTTAATACCAGTCGCTAGCAGCGTGGTTTAAAGTAAATAATATAACTTCCAATGCTACTCTTACCGATTATATTGAGATTATATTGAAATTTGTATATCAAGCTTTCCTACAGATGACGATAACATTGAGCATTATAGCTCTGAATTAGTGGATCCAATTCTAAGCGCAACGAAAAGTAATGATGAGGGTTCGGTGAATGTTGTTGTTCATCCAAGAATGAAGTAGAAATCCTATTCAAAATTCTAAATTTATATATGCAAACGAATGACACCACAACTGATGATTACTATAAGAGTATGAACACAGTGGAATCTCTTTTTACTGAAAATAAGAAAAGAATTAAAGTCCCAAACCCTAATTTCTGAATATTTCACTTTACTATAACTTTTGTGCCTTATTTGGTTAACAAATAAATACATTTTTTTAAATGTATTTCTAGTTTCTTTCAAAAATAAAAAAAAAAAAAATTCTCTAACTCGAAGTATTCATAAGCCAAACCTTTTCTTTGGAAAAAAGTACTTCGAGTTATGGAAGTTTGACTTACATAACTCGAAAACGTTTGATTAAATCGAACGTTTTCCATTTGTTCAGGCACAACCTAGTTCAAGTCTAGTTGAACGTCGTTGAATTAATGCATTATATTTTTGATTAATAATTATCTTTCACGTACTCAAAGATCGCCCCAACATATCTTAGATGCATGACTATTTATAAATAAATATATACCATAATTTTATATTTAAACTAATACATTATTCTTTAGTGGGATGAAAATTTGAGATATTAAAATCTAGGTTAAAATAAACTGGTAACCAACAGCTGACTTACTGAGCAACGAATGAAATTTAGTCTTAATGTATGCGCACATATACATCAGTATCCTGTAAAAATGACTACTATTTCAGGAACCTTCTGTTGGTATGTAATTAATATGCATAGCTCTGCATAATATCTGTATTAGTTTTGATGAAGCAGTGATAAAATATATAAACAATGTTGTTTAATAAAAAATTATAATAACTATAATACTTGTAGTGTACATATTACGAAGAAAGCAAAAGCAACACAAAAAAGTCTCTTCAGTGGACTGAACGTATAAGGTTCCCTTCAACTTCTCCGACTTAAGTAAAAGTGAAACCAAGTCTTTTGCTAGGTCAAAATCCTATGTTTTGACTAGGAGTGCCAATGTATATATTTACACATAGTTTATGTTTATGCTGATAATATCTGTATTAATTTATTATAAGTTTATTAATTTCCAAGGATCTAATAATATATGAAAGTGTAGAATTTTTTCAATAAGATACTTAGCAATTTATCTGATATCTGTATTTCAAAACGCAAAGCGTGTTTTCTAAATTTTCACATTTACATATAAATAGAAATTATTTTTATTACTTGTCACAAATTTCTTTGTGTGAACTATTTTATATACAAAATTACAGTACAACTTTAGTTTTTATTAAGCTAAGATACTTAATTTATCGCACCGTACACGCAAGAAAGTTGCTGCACCACCAGAAATAACCAGAACAGCAAAGTGTTTGGATGAGTAAAAGCGAAACCGTGAAGGTAAATTTCTTTTCTGGGGCAATGTACTTGGTTTCTCAGTTAAGACATTTGCACAAACTAATTCATGAGTATCTCTCACATACACAGATAATCTTCATTTCGCAGATATAGTCGCAAATTACCCTTAATTATTTTGGTGCATGCAACGATTGTGGAGAAATTTTAAGATTGCTAACAAAAAAATAAAATTGAAGATGCAACGGAAATTTATGAATTGCATAATTTATAAATAGAGCAGCTTATCTTATGAAAGATGAAAAAAACACTATTTTTCATAACTATATATGTTAAAAAGGAAATATGGAAAATAAAGGGCAATAGGAACTCATTACAGTTATTATTCAGTAAATATAGACCGTTATACCCATAGACTTGTCACATATTCACAATGCCAGTAAATCTTCGACGTAGTAGAATAGAATGAACAATTAATGTTATTAATTATAACGATAAGTACTTAAATGTTTAGTTGATAGATAGATGTGATGAATCTTATATTGAACTTACTCTATACATTTTATCTTTCCAAAATGTGCTTTAATTAATTATTATAATTATTCTTGATTATTCTTGTATCACATGCGTCCAATCTATTTCTACTAGTATTATATGTGTACAATAATTTATTTATAAATAACATAACATCTATTAGTGGTGTTATAAGGTTTCGCCTCTCCTGTTTATTACTGTGTTTGATGCCGAAATATTTGATATGCAATAGACCTCGCAATCCACTGGAATCTTATACAATCATATGCCACAAATTATAGCTAATAATTAACATTACTAAAATCACAATTCTGAAAGAAAACCAGTTATATTTCACAGTAAATCATGAAAGTAGATTATATTAAAGAT